GCGATGAACTAAGCAGTGCTGGAGTGAGCTTCCTTGATGAGATCAAAGCCGCACCTGGCCGCAACATGATGCTAGCCCAGCCTTGACGGTCGTTGAGAATCTTTGTGCCGGCTTCTTTGTGTTCCAAGCTGTGTTTACCCATCTAAGCGGTGGATGCAATTGATGGTGGCTGCCGATATCCCTGACCATTGATCACTCACCAGCCGCAATCATGCGTGTCTGGGTCGAAAGGGCATTTTGATGTGAAAACGCGGTCGAGGTGGAGTGCTCATGGGAAGGACCGATGTAGCGAGACGAGGAAAGGGTAATTGTCGACATTTCAGGCTCTGGCGCAAGCTTTGTCGGATTCATTGGGCTCAAGACGACCGTTGAGAGAGCTCCTAGTTAGCCGAGATGGTTCACCAAATACTCCAAGTGTGGTCCAGGGTGGTCAACACGACCGGTTGAAGAGATGGGTGAGTGCGATGAGTGAACGAAGGGATCGAATGATACTCAAGGTATCCGGCTACATGGCGGTCTCCTATGTGGAAACAGCAAATCAGTGACCATCTCGACGCTTCCAAGGTTGTTTCAACGATATCTTTTCCCGTTTACCTTTCCATCCAGGGTGAGACGAACTAACCAGCCCAGCGAATCTCTGGATTCACCAGAGCTTGAATACTCCCGATGTCAGCCTTTGCATCCAACAGTCCTCTGCTGAATGGAAGTCTGAATGGAAGTCTGAATGTGCCTGAAGAGTCCAGAGCTAGCTCCGAGTTCTCGGTCCTTGCTGGTCTCAAGGCCCCAAGGTCGCTCCCGAGTTTCTGGGTTGCCTGATGAACATGGCAATTAGTAGAGAGTCCACGCGTTTGCCAACGGCTCGTATTGGACTTGAGGTGCACACAGTTTTCAGATCTCGGGTTCATTTCAGTGAGAGGATTTCGAGAACTCCAGGGCCCCAGGGCTCCCGAGCCCGAGGGTTGAGAACGTCGAGTTTCCCAATTGGTTTATCCGCCCCCCTTCCACCACAGCCTGGACACTACCTGGATAGCACTTGAGCATTCCCCGAATTACGCAGAACGAGTGATTCAAACATATGGTCGGTGCCAAACCAGAAGACTCGAATTATCACCGTGGAGACTGACCGTCATTGGTCGGTACATTTCTCCGTTGCGGGCTCCTTAAGAGGCGAGATACAGTGCCCTCTCCATTCGACGTGTGGATTTTCCTCCTTTCCCCTTTGTTGGAAATTCCTTCTTATTCTGAGTTGTCCTTTTTCGCCTCTCTTTTCAACCCGGTATGATTGATGTCTTGCAGGTGCCAAACTGATTGCTCCCTACAAGGCTAGGCGGAGAAGACATCCAAATGAGCAACGTGATATGAGGTACTGATCTAGTTAGCTAAAATGTCCCACTTCCTCCTCATTCGTATCCTGCGTTCTGTCCCTCTTTGATCCTGCTACACTCTTGATATTGCAATATCTCTATCGCAATTCCCTCTGAATACCTCCAAATCACACTCGAGACCGACCGCTTTAAGTTATACCCCTCTCCACTTATAATCCGTCCGTACCTCGTACTTCCACTTAGTCTGTTGGGTAGTGCCAATCGGTTGTTTGGTTGCTGATTCATTTCTGCGGCAATAGGGAAGAGAACACTCCCAGTCTTCAATAGCCTGGGAAGCACCACTGTCGAATTCAAGTCTGCCAAACCAGAGAGCGTAGGGACACACGAGACGACTGTCGATCAAAATGTCGAATAGAAATGCATCCAACGGCCAAGCGACGCAGGACGAGCAGCAACAGAATGCCTCGACGACCACAGGAAGGTAAGCGAGATGGTGATATGTTGCGCAGCATGTATCCTGGAGTGCGGATATCCCCTTCCTCTCCGCTTCCGTGTTCTGTCCACCACTCTGTCCATTGTGCCTGTCTTGTTCCCCTTGTCTCTCTTGTCTGTTGTCTGTTGTCTGTTGTCTTTTGTCTCTGATCTCTTTTGCTCCATGTTCATCGTGTATCTGGTAATCGCCTCTGTGTCCTCTCAGCAACACCCTTGCCAACCTGTGACAATCCTTTGCTGACCATGAACCACCAGGGATGAACACCGTAGCGATTATCGCAGTCAACCTGTGCAACCGGGTCGAGACATGGATTATTATCGAGCCTTCCTAGAAGATCTGATCACCGTCATGCGGAATGCCGACGCCGACGCCGTCTCACGAATCGTATCACTCATCCGCTCTGGGGCTTCAAACGACGAGGTTTACCACGCCATCCAGCAACTCCAGTCCGACTGACCATTCTCGGTTGCAGGAAAGATCATGATTTGCCATCAAATCTTGGGTCTTGCATCTTCTGCCGAGGGGTCTCAACGCCGTGCTGGATGGCTTGGGACATTTTGTGGCTGGTTTTTGTCGCGACGCCCGACACGCCACATTGCAATATCCATTATGTCTCAAATGCATAGTCGAAGCAAATTAATTCGTACCTCCATCTCCCCTTTTCGCTATTCATTTGAGGTTTGCCATGTGTTCGAGGGTTGGAAGATGTCTGATCAAACCCAAGGACAACCGGTTTGAAAAGCATCCCGATTATCGATACAATGCATACGCGATGCATTGCCCATAAGCGTTTGTCCTCACAAAAGCTGATGCCGCTTGTGCTGTCGGGTTGTATACTCAGTCTGTTAACGTTACCTCAGTATTGTGCAAGGTGCACATGCCGTGAATCAGGGTTGAGTGGACAAAAACCACTCTCGATCCTTGTTGAAAGAGGAAGTGAAATCCATGTATGACGATTGCTCCACCATAAGCTATCATCTGGTGTTGAGAGGTGATCGGCTCTTCGTCGCCGTCGGCCAAGTCGATTTGGCGCCACGTTGGAGTCTGAAATTCAGACACATACAGCAACAAGACGCCACCCGTGGACGGTTTCCATGGGTGGGTCGCAGTGATACTGGCCTGTGGTAGGTGCAATGACACGCCAAACGCTGAATACAACGCCCATTCAACAAGGGGACCATCGGTTTGGACTGATGGTAATGGAAAACAAATTTCGTGATCGGCGCAATGAGTACACATTGGTGGCGAGAAACTCGGGTCACGTCTATTGCCTGTGTTAGTACGGAGTACAGGGAATGAAATCTCCATCGGACCAGGTTGGGAGGAAGCGACACTGTCGTCGTGTGCCTTCTGGCCCAGCGAGACAGAGACACAGAGACCACAGTGATGAGATCACTTTCTTCCCTTCTACACATCAAAGGTGCAGTGCTCCAATGTGTTAGGGTAAAGTATCCCCAAAGGGGTCAAGTGGAATGAGACATGGGCTCACGGATTCTATCTCCGCGCGGTGTCCATCAATAGAGGCTCAGGGAGTAGTGGATCACCCTGCATAGCTGCGCTCCTATTTTCTTTCCAGTAGACTCATTTCTCTGTGTTCTATCAAGGCAGTCAAACAGACTCAATCTTCATCTGCAAAGATTTCCGTTTGGGATGGGCTGTACTGACCAGATTCCGAGATGGACTGGGAGCAAACTTGCCCTTTCTTGACCAGCAATTAACACGCATCCTACTCCTCCCGCCCTAGTCGCAGCCAGCACTCTTACCGCTCCCTCGACGCCGACCAGCTCTTGTTTCAAGCCAGGACTCTTGCATCTTTCACACCCGTGGACCACTGAGATGGAGTGGGATGTAGTGGGAAGAATTCGCGTGCCCGATCGATAACCAGAACATTACACCTCGATCCTTACTCTTGGGCAGGTCCAGCACCGTCCCCCACGAGAAGATTCATGAGGCATGATGAGCCAGATCCTGTTCCCCTTTCCCACGATGATGAGGCCACTTCAAGGCCCAGTGATTGCTCGGGGCTCGAGGACCACACCACGCAGCTTCCCCTTAGGTTTTGGCTGTCGTAGCAACAAGCTCATCGAGGGAATAGCCTGATCCAAATAATTAGAGGCCATCGTTCCTCTGAAATGACATGGGCGAGATGGAAAGATGAGGTGGAGCAGAGATCGCAACCTGAGTACCTAGGAACACCGCACCGTCTCGTGACCGACACAGACTACGCCCTCGTCCACCGCGCCCTCGAAGGAAGCCGATCCCGTGCCACAGATGGAAATCAATCCCCCGTACTCCGTACATTTCGACATATTCACCCCCATGCGTCCACAGTCATGTCCTAAATCCACGTCGGGGTGACCCTCGGGGAGGACATGACATGACCAAGGGTCAGGATGTCTGAATCCTGTTTTCCACCACACCTGCAGTCTTTTTCTTGGATTTTCTTCGCGGGCACTCCAAGAGTCATCCATCACACCGCATCATTCAGCTATGGTCACGTCGTGTTTGCAATCCGGCAATTCGAAGGCGCACGCTTCCGTGGTTCGTACTATAATCCCAGGCACCAGGGTGTCGGGCTGTCTTACAACGGTCTTTAAATGGGCTGCTACATTGGAAAATAATGGATAAGGAAATACTAGGAGTGGTGGATTGTCTCTTTTGCGAGGGTGGTCGATCCCGTGTCGATGGCTGGTAGTTGGACATCGAGACACTCGTGGGGAGTCCGAAAGAAGCTCGCCACCGGCTTCATTGAAAGTATTCAACTGATGTGGCTGGTTCACGTCTCCGACATCAAAACCATCATCCCAGATGGTGGAGTTCCAGGCTGAAATAGGCCCTTACGCGCTCACATATGTAGTCTCTTGGGTGGCTGTTGGCTGCTATGACATACTCGTATGCCGCCGAGACTGGTTGTCTATCAGAAGGATCATTGGATACATAGCTTCGAGGTTTGCATTCGCGGTGCTCCCAGGACTACAAGGTTGCTGGCTTTATCTGTCCCCCGGTGAGCGCAACGAAGGCAGCGAGTTCATCAACAACAGAACATTATAATATGGAGAAAGAATATAAGATTCACAGTCAAGTGGATATTGAAGACAGCAATTTTCATTCATTGCAGCATTTCTATTCATGCTACATTTCCCGGCTCGTCGTGATCATGCTAAATTTTGGGTTTGCTATATTTAAGGAGTGCAACGGCCGGTGTATCGGGGGTACAGAGAGCAGTCGCGAACGGTGTAGCGAGCGCACAGCCAGGCAAGGAAACGCTCAAGACCAAGACCGTAGCCACCGTGAGGAGAGGTACCGTACCTATTTGAATGTGAGTAATGGAACGTAAAATGGACAGAGGCAAGTAGACAGGGGATCTAAGAGCTACGGAAGTAACTTACTTGCGCTGGTCAGTGTACCAGTAGTAGGGAGAGGGGTCCATGCCCTCGTGCTTGTAAGCGCTCATCAACTCATCCCAGTCGTCCATTCTCATACTACCGCCGACGATCTCACCGACACCGGGCATGAGCACGTCAACACTCTCGGTGACACGGCGGTCCTCGGGAGCCTTCTTCATGTAGAAGGCCTTGATTTCAGCAGGGAAGTGAGTCAAGAAGATGGGCTCGTTGATAATATCGGTCATGCGGCGCTCCGCAGCCTCGGCGATATCGTCACCAAACTGGTGGGGCTGGCCCTCCTCGTTGGGGATTTCGTGCTCAATCAGCCACTGGATAGCGTCGTCATACTTCATGCGGCGGAAGGGACGCGAGGGCTTCTTGAAGTCAGGGTTGAGGTGCTTGATGTATTCGGCGATCTCGGGCTCGGCGAGGATCGAATCAATGACGCTACAGATCATCTCCTCGAGGTGATCAAGCAGATCAGTGAAAGTGATGAAATCCAGCTCGGCTTCAATGTGAGTGTACTCGGACAAGTGGCGACGGGTCAAGGACTTTTCCGCACGGAACGATGGACACACGCAGTACACGTCACCCAGAGAGGGGAGACAGGTCTCCAGGTAGAGCTGGGAGGACTGGGTCAAGTAGGCGTTCTCGCCGTAGTAGTCGAATCCGAAGAGGGTGCTACCACCCTCGACCTGAGTCTGCACCATGGCGGGAGGAGTAACCTCCAGCATGCGGTGCTTCTCAAATGCCTTGCGGAAGGCACGCAGGGTAGCAGAGCGCACCTTCATGACGGACGAGGAGGTCTCACCACGCAGCACGAGGTGGCGGTTATCGTACAAAGTCTGGGGGTCGGCGTCGGGCGCCACACGGGTCGTGATGGCTTCCTTATCACCAGCGGCGCGGCCGATGATCTCGAAGAAGTCGGCGTGCAGCTCGCGGTCGTTGGGGGCATGCTGCTTGGGGGGCACAGCGCGCATCTCTCCGTGGATGGACATGGAGGTCTCGAGGGTAAGGGTCATGATATCGTAGGTCTTGACCATGTCGCCGGTCAGGATACACTGCAGGTATCCGTAGCCGTCAGTGAGGGTGATGAAGACGACATCCTTCTGCGCACGCGCACGGTGGACACGGCCCAGGACGCGGACACGGGTGCCCGGCTCCTCGGACTCGGGAGTGCGCAGCTTCACGGTGGCCGGGTCGGTGACGTCCAGGCGGATGCGGACTGGCTTGGCGAGCGAGGTGTCCTCCTTGATGACGACCTTCTTGGCCTCCTCAAGGACCTTCTGGCGCTTGTCGGCCTCGGCCTTCTCGCGGATCGCCAGCTCCTGCTCCTTGGCCGCCTTCTTCTTGCGTTGCTCCCAGAGGTTGTTGGCCTTCTTCATGGCCGACTTGGTGGCGGGCTTCCACTCCAACTTGGCGGCGGGGTCGACATCCTCCCCAGCGGCATCGGTCTGGGACTTGCGCGTCAGGTACTCGATACCTTCGGTGGTGGGGGGGTGGTCGAGGTAAGCCTGGACGAGGGTCTTGTAAGGGGCGGTCTCAGAGCCGTTGGCGGACTCGTCCTTGCCGACGTCCTCATCAATGTAAATCTTTGCGGCCATTGTGTCTTGCTACCCAGAGAATGGGAGAGTTCTGTGGACGAAGGTGGTTAATATGGGTCCGCTGTGAGTCATACTCGACTTCGCATTCCAGAAATTCGAAACCAGGCTATCGGAGCTCACCTACCCAATGTGACAGAGAAATGTCTGTTATCTCGACCCAATTGCAAGTTCAACACAAAGGTGAAATCGAGGTGGGGGTGGGGTTGTAAATTTCCGATAGATGTTGTCCGCCTGAGGCATCCAAGATATAAGCGCGACAGTCATCTTCCCCGGAATTGCAACCTTCGACAGGTTCATCCTTGGATATGAACTTATTTCTAAATGTCTCTTCCTTTTTATGTCTCTGAGCGTAATGGCTTTTATTGTCTCACACCTGGCTCTCAGCCCTTCCCTTACCGGCTATCGTACCTAGGCACTCTATACGGCCCTCTCAGCCTCGGACCATCCATGGATCAACACACCCATCCATACCGAGATCATTTATCTTCATCGCCGTGTCTCAACCCAATGCTTGTACAGTATACAGAGTCCTGGCATACGAGGTCCCTTGTACGTAGATACGAGGGATCACGGGATCGGAAGAAATGCCACTGTTTCAAAAGCCAGTAGTCCAGCACTAAGCCCGGTAGTACATAGTACAGGATATGTGGTTTATAGTCCTATGCCAGGGGGTGATCATTGGACCTGACCTGGTTCTGCATGGAACCTGATATGCGGTGTTTACTGGCCTTAATGCTGGGAGAAATACAGTCCAATCCACTCCAGTCGAGAGTCTGTAAAGAATAGGAGTTATACTTTATTCAGACATCGGGAAAATCGGGGCCCCTTAACCCACATCGATATCCTGCCCCTTTTAATGTTTTTCTCGACCTTACCTGGGATTCACTTCCTTGCCTGTCCTTTCGCCTCTTGCTGCTTCTTTTTGAGATTCGTTTTTTTTTTTCCTTCGGGAATTATTGGCTTGTAAATCCTCCCCTAAATCCCCCCCTAAATCCTCCATCTTATTTGCCCCCCCTTTTTTTTCCCTCTCTTGTCCCCTTTTAGTTCCCACTTAGCCCTTTTCAGCTAATGACTGTTTGTCCCCAGCGTTGGATCTTTCTCTTCTCTTTCTCACTTGTGACGCTGCATGGCCCTGGGACTCACATACATATGGGCATTCTCTAAGGCCAAGTTCGTCTCATTCCCCCCCTACACATTCCAATTGACTGAACGTCTCTAGACACGTCTCCATTTGAGACTTTCTACTTCTTCCTCCGTTTCTTGACTTCTGTGGATCTCCTGAATGGTGATCTGATAATCCCTGTCCCTTTTTTTTATTACTTTTTTCCTAGAGCCTCGTCTGGTTAGGGTCCCTCCCCGACACGACCAGGTCCTCTTTCAGGATCAAGTAGACTTCCCTCGCCATGCAAACCTCGGATGTATCGAGCATCTCGAATAATTCGCGTCTGATCCATCCCAAATACGCGTTGAACGGCGACACTGGGTTCTCCCACGGGGCCTATAACAACAACCATCCCAACTCCGTTCAAGGATTCTCGGATCGAAACGCCCGTCGCGCAAATATTCCTAATATCAACACCGGCGCCGGCCAACCCTCCGACATGGCGTCCGCCTTCGACATGAACTATACCCCCTTGCTCCCTTCCCAGCTACTGGTAGGCAGTCCTTTCCAACCCGGAACCCCCTCGGCCTTTGCGTCCCCTCAGTTCCAGAGCTTCGGTGGCTTCCCGCAGACCAATGGCAATGGACACGTCCAGAACAACCAGAACCACATGCACAGCCCAACCCAAGGAATGCAGAATCATGGGCTGTATGGAATGATGTCTCCGGATAGTATGGGTCCCTCGCAAATGATGGGCGCACCGCAGTCGCCCATCAACGGTATGGGGGGCATGAGCAATGCGGCCCTGGGCAGCCCCCAGGCGTCGGTGGCCCCTGGCATGATCTCGGGGACCAGTCGCACCGTGTACCTTGGAAACATCCCGGCGGAAACATCTGCCGAGGAAATTCTGAACCACGTCCGCAGTGGTCAGATCGAGTCGGTGCGCCTGCTTCCTGATAAGAACTGCGCATTCATCTCCTTCTTGGACAGCAGCTCCGCGACTCATTTCCACTCGGACGCCATTTTGAAGAAGCTGGCAATCAAGGGCAATGATATCAAGGTAGGCTGGGGCAAGCCCTCTCAGGTCCCCACCTCTGTGGCATTGGCAGTCCAACAGTCTGGTGCGTCGCGCAATGTTTACCTCGGAAATTTGGCCGAGGAAACATCCGAGGACGATCTTCGGGAGGAGTTGGGCAAGTTTGGGTCCATCGATACAGTGAAGATCGTCAAAGAGAAGGCAATTGGCTTCGTCCATTTCTTGTCCATCAGTAACGCCATGAAGGCCGTCACTCAGCTTCCCCAGGAGCCGCAATGGCAGGCACCAAAGCGCGTATTCTATGGGAAAGACCGATGTGCTTACGTCTCTAAGACGCAGCAGCAAAACGCTGCGCAGTTCCTAGGAATCGCCCCAGGATATGCGCATGTGCTCAACACGGCTGACCGTGACTTGATCACTAATGCGCTTGCGCAGCAATCCGTCGCAGCGGCCGCCGTGGCGACAACTGCGGGAGGTGTCAACAACCTTGGCAACCGCACTATCTACCTTGGAAACATCCACCCCGAGACCACAATTGAAGAGATCTGCAATGTTGTTCGTGGAGGCTTGCTCCACCACATTCGATACATTCCTGACAAGCATATCTGCTTCGTGACTTTCATTGATCCCACCTCGGCTGCGTCATTCTACGCATTGAGCAACTTGCAGGGACTGATGATTCACAACCGGCGACTCAAGATCGGCTGGGGTAAGCACTCTGGTCCTCTTCCGCCTGCTATCGCCTTGGCGGTGAGCGGCGGAGCGTCACGCAATGTCTATATCGGAAACCTTGATGAGGCCTGGACGGAAGAACGCCTTCGCCAGGACTTCTCGGAATACGGTGAGATCGAATTGGTCAACACCTTGCGCGAGAAGAGCTGCGCTTTCGTCAACTTCACCAACATCGCCAATGCCATCAAGGCCATCGAGGGCATGCGCAACCGGGAGGATTACCGTCGGTTCAAGATTAACTTCGGCAAGGATCGCTGCGGAAACCCACCACGCCAAACCGGAAACACTCAACAAAACGGTCAACAAGCCCGCAATGGTTCTGGATTGGACGGCCAACAATCGCCAGATCCTGTCATGAACGGATTCCAGCCAAATCTCACACACAACGGCTCCCAGCCCAGCCCAACACGCCCTGCGCTTTCCCCAGCCCCTGGATCGACTGGCTCCCAGAACGGCCAACAGCACCGCCACCCACTGCAAACAGTATCCTCTCCATCGGGTGTGCTGAACGTCGGCTCCAGCAACCCACTCACCATGTACCTGAACCAAATGACTCACCAGGGTCAGGATCAAGAGAATCATCTCAGTGACCCCATGCTAGCAGGCCTGCAGGCACAGCAAGCTCCGCAGCAACATTTGTACAACGGCGCCAGCAACAGCGATCTCTCGAACGGGAACATTGAGCCCCCCCTGCACCAACACAAGCCCTCCAACAACAGCTACCTGAGCGTGGCCAACGGTCCCAGCCACGGCCACCACGCAAGCACCAGCAGCCTGAGTATCCCCCGTGCTTCGCACTCGCGTGCTGTCAGCTTGCCCTCATTCTCTCAAGAGCCCTTTGGTCCTGTCTCAGGGGCTCCTAGCCACCCGCGCGCTGGTGGTGCCCACCAGCCCCAGCAGAGTTTCTCCAGCTTCTCCGCCCTTGGCGGATTGAACCACTCTGGATTTGGGTTGGCTATTCAAAATGAGAACTCGCTGCCCGGGTGGGCAGAAGAGGAAATTGGTGCCAAATAATTCACGCTCCGACAGATGCACCTCGACTCATTCTCGGCGAAACTAATATATCTTCCTTTCTTTTTTTGTTTACACATAGTCCATTCTTGATTGTCATGTCTTCCCCCCCCATCATTTCATTCTGATTCGTTTCTTGTATTGGTCATAATCTCTTTTTTTTTGTCACCCCTGACACTTTGCCATTCACTCTCGAATATTTCTCTTCTCTTTCTCACTTGCCTGTTTTGGATTATCCCGCCCCCTTTCTCCGAGCGTACCTCGTTCGACGATGATCTTATTCCCCTATTAATCCTTTTCATGCCACCTTTCCCTTCTTTCACCACATTGTATTGCTACCTGGCTATGGGTCTCTTCCTTTTATCCTTTTATTTCTTCTTTATTTTGATCTAGGGGCCGTGGGCACACGGCTTCATCCGCTGAATGATGCCACGGAGAGGATGAGTTGGATGACTCGTGGCGACCGAGTTCGCCTGCATCATATACCATACACTCGGGCAATGGTTGCCCTTCTTTCTCTTGATCTTTCTGGTCAACGATACTTTCATATACTGTCAGGCCGGTTGCACGGGTGGTGTTGCCCAGTGAATACCCTGACTCGCAGAGACGGTTGAGGCTGCAGATGTGTAATTAGTGGAAAGGTCCTGGGGAAAGAATGAAATGAGCCGATGAGAATAATATACTGTAAAGATGAAAGAATCAGTCGAATGTTTCCAAGGTCCTTAACGTAGCCGGAGTGTACTCTATATCTAAACCCTGCTAAAAAAAAATAGTTTGAAACCAAGGGAGTCTCACAACCTTGGAGTGTGGCCATATCAGTGGACAGTCACTACCTAGGTAAATTGGAAATGTTTCCACCAGCTATCCATCAACCAGGACTAGGCACATTCATTCCGAGGGTCACTAATTCTAAGGTTTACTCCACGCATTCTCTCCTAAGTTATTCAAGGTTGTCGCAGTCTCATCTCCCTCAGAGCCGTGATACACAATCACGTGACAGTATATACCGCAAACTTTGGAAGGACCCACATCAAATTGATGCTTCACCATCTTGTCCTCTTCCGCCCCCCACAACACGCAGTTGCAGAAGGAACCTAGCACCACAAAATGGCGCTGCCACCTGAGCAAATCAATATCAAGCGTCGACGCGAGGAAGAACCTGTCGAGACACTATGTACGAGACCAATCCCCTTGTTTTACCCCCGATGTAGACCCCTCCAAAAAACCCACTTGCTTTAGAATATCTCTCCTTCAGCCATATTGCATTTTCCAAGATGTTGCCTTTGCAGTACTGATTCATGTTTTAGTCATTCAATCCGCTGTGCATCAGACCAAGCGGCGCTTCACGGATTTTGTCTTCCACAGAGTCACTCTTAAAGCCAACCAAGTTGAGGATGGTTCAAGTCCACCAACATCGCCGCATCCAGCCGCGCAGCGGCTGCTGCGTAGTCCCCGCTCTGTAAGCAGTCTGCATGTGAATAGACGAGCACCAGCGTCGTCCACAGGCGTGCCCACAGTGCGAGCCACCTCGCCAGGGGCTGAATTCCGCGAAGCGCAGCGGGTAGCAACAGCGCGCAAAGAAGCTGAAGAGAGGCACAAGAATGCCATCTATTCGGGCCCTTCGCCATTCTCTGACCTCCCAGTCCTCCCCAAGCCTGTCTCGGGTGCCTCCAATGCACCTGGAACGCGCAGCTCTGCACCAAGATCATCATCGCCCAGCCGCGCGCAGGCTCTCCGTCGATTCCAAATCTCGCGCTCAAATCTGGCTTCTCTTCACGGTACCGGCGGTGGCGTCCAAAAAAGGCGAGCTGGGCCAGCGCCTGGCGTTGCCGTGCTGGTTGAGCAACTCCAGCGGAATCCTCATTCCCGCAAGGGTTCTATGGTCTCTGATATGATTGCCGAGGGAGAGTCGTCTTCCAGGGGTCTTTCTGCTTTGTCCAAGGAGCTTGTTGCAGACCCAGTAGCTTCATCGCCTACCAAGCCTCGCAAGCGCCCGGTCGTTAATCAGGCCGAGAGAAAATGGCGAGAAGAGCGCAAAAGCGCAATCTCCACAGCGAAGCAAAACCTTTCTGACTCGCTGGAGAAATCTGCCCAGACACAGGATCGAAACTGGGATGAAGAGTCTGATCGTTTGGCAAGAGAGTTCGAGCAGGTCGCGCTGGAGATCGAACAGGATCAAGAAGAGGACCATGGTATGGACGTTGATTCCCGGGTTGCTAGTCACGCACCTGCGCCTCGTCCTCAACCCGCCCTGAGCTCTGCTCCCAAGACACCACTGAAGCACCAACCACGGCTGCCTAAAGAACCCCGGATTGCTCCCTCTCCTGCGGCTCCACAGGCGACAAAAAGCGACGAGGCTGTGGAGGATGACGACGAGGGTGACTATGTTTACGATGTGTATATCCGTCGACCTCTGTCGGAAACTGAGATGCTCAAGAACCCATTGGCCGAATATGAATCCGAGCAGCAGCAAAAAAGCGTCGTGAAGGGGCAACCGGGTGTTGGTGTCATTGTCATCACTGCCGAAGATGAACAGTACTGGGAGGACTTTGTTGAGGATGAGGAGGAGGAATGGGATAGTGAAGATGCTGACTCTAATGGTATGTACTGCGGATCCCCTATGCCCCAATACGGTCGTTCTTGCCCACTGCTCTTACCTTGGATCTGAACTGACTCAATGCGCGTGTCTCATAGCTGAAAATCATCCTGCAAATGATTATCCCGATGAAGAAATCTCCTCCAATGACGATGAATTCGACTTTGATGATTCTGCGAGCGAGGATGGTGGTGATGGGTACATGTCGCGTTGGCGCGGGCCTGTGGACTCTGACGATGAGTATTGATGTGGTGAATGAACTTGTATGAGTGAGCCAGCGGATGGTGTCCGTCTCTCCTCTCTGCTCTCTGCTCTCCCGTGGATCTGACCTATCCGCTGAGCTGTTGTGCTTTGGGTCTCCATTTCTATCAACGATATCTTACACAGAATCCCGTATTGCAAGCTTAATTACCCAGTCTAGTTAGCCTGGGACGTACTAAGTGGGAGCCTCAGGTGCGATGTCCTCATCCTAGACATTTCGTCTGATGTTAATCAACCAATTCATCTACGTGGCCTCGATATCTTGTTTTGTTGAGAATTAGCGTCTACGGAAGTACCCCAAGATGCATATGATAGGCTGGCTGTGCTCGAAGGCTCATACCCCAGCAAACCCGATGCCGCCTCTGCGTGGATGTTTGTTTGACCCATGTACAAACCAAAGTAGGCCACACCACCCCTGTCATGGTATCACTACAATGTCGTACCTAGGTATAAAGCTGAACCAATACCCAAACAAACAAGTTTGCGAGCTGGGAGAATTCCCCACCTGGCCGATCCTACAATGACCTAAACGGACGGTGAAACAGGAAACCCCCATGTCCATCCGATCCATACCTAGGTATGTGGGCGAAAGAAAAGCAGCCAGTAGCAGAAAAAGCCGCAACCAACAGCGCCAACTCACCATGTCACGGCATCGTGTGATTCGAATTTCCCCAGCGTTTCGAGGCCTAGGACCCATACGACAAGAGTTCAAGTGAGGGGCACCGCTCAGCCCAGGATATTGGCGGATTGCAGTGCCTCTGGCATAGAGAGTCCGATCTCCTCCGACTTATATACATCTTCAAATTGGAAGGACGTGTATACATCCACGTGGTATCGTAATGCGGGGTAGCAGATGTCATTGACGGGAAGAGTCGGTTTGTTCATGGGATCTTGCATCTGGCAATCAGATATGATGGTTGGACTTTATTGGGTGAGTGATCTCACTTGACAGTCCTTGGTCCCGTGAATATCTCGCCAACCTTCCAACCTTCCAAGGTTGACGTACGAAATAGAGTATGTACTGTACTAGTAAGTAGACGGTCACACTTCCCAAGTTGGTCTCGCAAGACTTTTGAAACATCGCAGATCAACTGTTGACTACCTAGTGACTCCCGTCAAATCGAGCGAACCCCACCAAGAACTCCTTGCACCCCTTGCCAAGACAAGGCTGCCACCTGCAGAAACAACACGGTTTACAACCTAAATTTCTGTAAGGGAATTCGGGCACCCGATCGATGGAGCAGAATCAGATCATCCTCCGTGTCCGGTTCCACTGCAACGCAATGTGTTAGTACGCTAGATGAAATATGCAATATACTCGAGAGGGTCCACCTTGGCTACTCAGCGTGTCCGGAGTAAACTCTGCGGTGTTTCACATCTGCACTGCAAGGCCTGCAATGTGAGGCTCTGCACCGTTACGGTATTTTTCAACCCGAAACACCCTCACCAGTCGCCCGTATTCGTAGGGTTGCATGCCTCCCCGAAGCAACGTTCTGACTCGTAAAACGGGAATTAATGAAGATGGCGTCACTCTTGCACAGGTCTGTACGGGGTAATGCCAAACCGAGTCAAAATCTGCGAGGGTCGACATTTCGACATTTCGACATTTCGACGAATCCACTATCCCTCGTATACCGAAGAAGAACGGGACGCTAAATCCAATCGCCGACGACTGGGGCATTCCCTCGCGGATATCTCCATTTTTCAAAGTTGATAGAGTTGATAGTTGATTCGCAGTAAAGTTTGAAGGACATTGCATATCTATTTTTCTTTTTTTGGTTTGCTTTTGCCGCTTCTCTCTTTCGCGGCAAATGACAGATCCGCTGCCCAGGTGTGAATGCCATTATGCTTCCGGTATCTAAAGTCTACTCGGAGCTTGAACACAACCTTTGGAGAGATCTCATATGGCGTGGATGGCCGTAAATGACAAAGTGCTCGTACTCTTGCTGAAGTACTGTATTGTACCGCGAGGGGCTAGTAGGCCTAGTCAGTGCCGAAAGACTATCCTCGCCCAGATACAACCTCATCAAAATGCTACACACCATCAATTACAACTAGACTTCTGAAACCCAACCTTTCCTCGTCATCGGCATTTCAAACACCAACATCCTCTAGCCCATGGCGGAAGGCCCGTTCCCAAGTCTAAACACCCGAATCTCTGGTTTCGGTGTGATGTCGGCAGCATTAGCCTTTTGCCTTTTCGTCAATGCCCCGGGATTGATTGGCGTGGATGGAGAACGCACACGAGTCGACTACCGCATCGGTGAACTCACCGATAGTTGTTGAGGTTGGCGTGCATTGGTCCGTCTCTTCCAGTTGGGGCATAAGTGCGAGGTGTGCATGCATCTTATGATCGCCGCGGTCGCTCATGACCACAGAAGGATTCTGTCGGTGAATCCATTCCTTGCCATTCGGATTGGACCAATCAGCGATGCCTCTAACTGTTGGTTTTCATTAATACTTCTCGTTTGGTGAATCTTGTTTCTTTTTTATCTTTGGGCAATCAAAAGGACTTCTGCACCCAGGTTTCGTGTTACATCCGCCCCCTACACCCAACGCCGGCCCTGTAGCGAAATTTTTGAGTATGCTCAATTGGACTAGTAGATGTATGGATACATGTTTTGGTTTCACAACTTAACCTTCGATCGTACATGTAGTACTCCGTACTCCGTACTCCATAATGATACCCTAGATCAGGCCGCCAGGGCTGATCGGAACCCACAGTGGAAATTGAATTCTGCAGCATCCAGAACTCAGAGCTCATATCTGTAATACGGATTGTGTAATGATGAATAATGGAAGACGATAACATCGGGGTCTGAGCCTGACAATGGTCTTGTTCTCCACATAGAGCGACACTAGCCTCTTGCATATACGGGACCCCGTGCATGATATATACGCCGCCGAATGAAAATCCACGATGAGGTGGCTGTGTTTCTCCGGCAGTTAGTGGGTCTTGGTTTTAATTAAGGTCCGATGGGTACTACATGTACTGCACAGGCCAGTCCAGTACGAAGCAGATCTCGTCCCGTGCAGAGTCAAGCTGAAGAGTTGTAGATCCAAATAATGATCCCCAAACCTTGGAATGGAGTATGGAGTACCGTGTCAGATGCATACGATCTTTGAGACACCGGTGCCTAGTGAGTCCCACTTTACGTGTGCGACATCGTCGTGTATTCGGCACGCCTACCTTATACAGTACAATAAGCGAAGTCATCTACCACTCGGGGGAAAGAAAAAAAAAAGCAAGAGAGAAATAGAGAAAAGAAATTAAGCTAGCAGGTGGCAAAGAAGGAAAGGATCGCCGAGCATAGTATACATACTGTAGTACAAACAATAATAAGCACAACATTCGGTTCGGCAAGAAACAAATCGTCATCTAGAGCCACGTGCTATTAGTGCTTACCCCCTTGCTGAGCCGGTCTGCATGGCTCGGGTGGCTATGGCGAAGAATCACGATGTGTTCGTTGGTGGCGAGCAAGTAACAAGCTCAAAGGGAATCCACGCGAAAAAGCCGACATACACATACGAGTGATGACCATGCGCTGTACTCGGCACTGTGTTCTCCGTCGGCCATGCCCCCCATTTTCGACCGAATACGAGTCGTGAAGAAGATCCGCCAAAAGGCGTCCAATAGTACGAAGTGGATTAGAGGTCTTCCGGCGGACCAGAGAACTCCTGATGCCAATGTGTCGTGATACTTTCCAACGCGCATCGAAGGTCATTGGCTACATCGTATAATTTTCGATGATTAAATTGGCTTGGCTGAGGCTACACATATTGAGTTGAGGAATCCACCAGGGCTCCAGGGCTCCAGGGCTTATATTCGTGCTTACGTCGCATGGAATCTTCCCCCTGCCATTGTCCGCATGCGTACTAGCGTGTATTATTACCAGCCGAGGTGTAATTTGCGGTACGAGGGCTCGAAGGTCATACCAGGGCTAAATACTCCGTGTACTTTTGACCCGGGATTCTGATTCGTTTGTTCGCCTATCATTTCTCTGTGGTTTTGAGGGTCGATCGATTGAGTTGAGCATCATCAGCCCGATCAGTCTTCACGATTTGACTTCTCTTGACGGTCTTTATTTTTTTTTGCAGGCGTTGGAGCCTAATGCTGCCGAAAAGTCAAATCCCCTTCAGTCAAAGGTGACAGCATGACCTACTTCGCCCTAGACTGCATAGGGCAAAAGGACAGGGAAACTAGGAGTAGATACGGTATATTGAGCCTCCTTGGCATGTCTTTGGCCGAATTTTGAAGTTCAAATGCTTGCATTCTGAGGCCAAAGCACCTATTAACATATGCTCCTATGTACACATGTAGTAAGGGGCTGTACTCCGTACCTTAATCTTGGTATGACGAAGCTTGCTGATTGGCCCTACACCTAGATTACCACGTTTGGTGATCGAATTCATTGCCCAGGTGCCCAGGTGCTAGGTGGGATGATGGGCACGGAGTAACTATCCGGAGTACTCCGTACATAGATAAATGTATTGCAGATGAATCATTGAACTGAGATAGACACCATTGAAACCCGCCCCCGAATCTGGATCATTTTTCTTTGTCACACTCGTGTGCTCTTCTTTTTGCGCCAGACGCAGCCGTGGGGTCCAAAAAGCGGAGGTGTGATGTGTGCCCTTCCACTATACGCTGCAGTAGTAGTACTCCGTATCCTCTATCTTGTTATGGAGTATAGTTCTGACTCGGTGGAGGACGGCACCATGCATTTACTGCTTACAGTAAACGGAGCGCACCCCCAAGAATGTACAATACAGCGACTACTGCCCAGGTGCCGCCCCCAACTCATGTGAGTATCGTACCTAGGTAGTGTAAATTGAACGTAATCTTTGGTTTTTCTTTTTGGCTGAAACATATACAATCCCCGACTCCGAATCAGAGTTTGTGCCAAAAAGGCGAGACTCGGCTCCGAGGAGCGGAGCTCGGATCACGGCGCCGGGGCCACGAACCTGCCCTTGTTTGTGGCTGCGCTTGGAGCCCTTGAGGATCGAAATTCTTGGGTAAGACACGCCTCTTCCGTGGATTCAGACAAGATCGCAACATGCAAAGTGGCACCGGCTCATTGCGACTCGGGATCACCGCCTTTCAACACGGATATGCCGGGGTTTGACGGTGTGTTACATGCACAGCTCAACAGGTGCTCGCCAATGCAGAACGTCCAATACTTCTACGCAAGTTGCCGAGATCGCCAGTGACGCAACCCAAAGCTAATGCTAAAGGGACGAGATCCCCAACATGCACTGCTGCGCAGTCAAATACTAAGCAATGTCATGCCACGCGTACTCTGTAGTACAAGATCTCGTACAAGATCTGACACGGCGTAGTTCGGGGGATCTGCCACGATCCAAGGTTCGCCAGTCTTTGCCCCGAGCCTCAAATACCGATCCATGGCTGAAGAGGAATCTGAATTTGCGCGCGTATATTAGGAAATTAGTGTACCAGACAATTATCAAGGATGTTTGCAGAACATGGCCATTTTTGTGGTTATGTGGGGGTGTCCCGTTGGGCGCTCTGGCTTTTAATTGCAAGTGACGGCTCTGCCCGCAAACTACTAGGCTGTCTGATCAATGCGTAATGTTGCGCAGTGACTGCGCGTCTCCCGTCCAGGGTCCAGCCCAGCTCAAACCGAATGAGAGATATGGGTATGAACGAGTCATTTCCCGACGGGAACATTCCGTTCCAGATTTGGGACATTGGATGACTTCAGTCCCAGTCTAGATCTACGTCCGATGTTGGCCCCCGAGCCCCGATGCCCGTACGGAGCTCAAGTAGTCAATCTTCATGGACACAGAGCTAGTGACGAACTAACTCGATACCGACATCTCCGACAATATCAACTAGCGTGTTTATTTTCCCACTTGCGTGCGCACGATAGGCGGCTATCGCTAAGGCTTAGCCGTACGGAGGTACTTCCATGGTACTAGCGTCGCCCGGGGGCCATGGAAATTCGAGATAGGGATTTGAAATCCCACCTGCATCATACCTATGAACACTGCATTATGATACAAAAAATTTGCATGCACAGGGTGATGGAGAAATGAGATCAACTGTTTGTCAAGGGGCCATTTCGACACATCTCACCGATCTGCGCAGCTAAGACAAAGAAGACGGGAAAGGGAAAAGAAAGAAAAAGAAAAAGAATGTAAGCAACGGTCGCAATTGGCCAAGAACATATGACTTTTGGAATTAAGAGCCAATCTAGCAACGTTCTCTCAAAATTAAAACTCAAAATTATCACCTTTTGGTTGGCCGTTAGATTGATGCCAATATGCACGGCATGACTCGCGGAACGGGCGATCCAATAATGCCACCCGTTAGTTGACAGATCTTTTTTTTCTTTTTTTTTTTCTTTTCTTTTCTGGAGAGCATCTGCGGGCACGGAATACCTACGGAGAGCGAACTCAACCGGGGACTTTTTGGGATGAACTAGCACTTTCGAGGTGAATTGTACAGTACTAGTATATCAGACATCCAGGGTTGTGGACAAGTCTAAAGACACGTGACTGGATCGACCTGCGGCTACGCGACTGACGAACGCCAGGGATACCCTGATTGGGCTGGGAAGAACACAAAGAATCTTGAGCGGGGAGAGCAATGGGCTGGTATACTCCGTAGTTGATCTGATCTGCACGGAATCGGGGGCTTCAGGGACTAGGATGATGACCGGTGAGGAGATGATTGCCAAGGGGTCTCGGAAGCAACGGCCCATACAGCGCGGGAAAATGACGCCCTGATTGAACATGGGTTTGGCGCTTGCGCAAGTTGACTGCGCCGCAAAAGATACGATTCCTGAGTTGGCCATTGCGCTTGTTGGGGATTTGGGGGGTAAACTAGTATTTTCGTCTTTTTTTCTCTTCTGTTTTTTCTTTCCTTTATTTTTCCATCTCGTGCAGCGTATCTCGTGATGAATGTTGGCTCTCAGGTGCGGGATTATACTACTAATAGAAATATACTGGAGCTTGACATTCCCCAAAGTATCCGAGAGAGCTTCAACAATAGTTCATGCCCAACGTCAAAGGCGAAAACAGATAAATTACCAGTGAAGAATATCCGAGTAAAACCGTTGGCAGCTGCAGATGACCGACGATCTACCTGGTCAAGGCGCAGATCGAGGGAAAATGGCGCATAGGGATTTTTCTTTAAAATAATCACAGTAACATGACTTTACCCTGGATATGAAAAGTGGGTACAGCTCGGCTGTATCATGGAGATTTCAATATGCAAGTTGACTGCACACGAGAATCCCCTTTGGTGCACCGGCTGCTGCCGACTAACGCTAGAGCTTGTCATTGGATCCCCCGCGTAAACTGGAGAAAGACTGGTTTTCATGGTTTGCTCTCAACCACATCCTACTGTGGCCAGGTGTCAGGAAGATCGAGCCACCAAATTCGGTGGGAAGCTGTCTCGCGTCTCTTACCTCATAATGCCACTTGGAATGCAGAAACAAATGCGTTGGCATGTCCTCTCTGCATCTGAGGCCAAATTGAGCCTGCATTAGCTCCACACGCTCATTCGTCCCGATGTCCCAGGGCCATGGCGTACGTCGTAACAGATGACTTTTGCGTCTACCAATAGACGCCGCGCGTTTGTGTTGGTTTTTAATTTTTGATTTTAATTTCCAATCCTCTTGTCTTCTATCCTGGACCTCCGTCGTCAAACGGGTTTCTAGAAGCTAGTGAGGAGGAACAATCTAAATCGTGCACCACATCTGACTATGCCCAGGCAGTTTATCCACTTCACATGAAGGACGGGTAGCGTAGCGCAAATGAAACATTTCATACTAAAACAGAAAATGCACGCGAGGATTTTCTTCAATTGATTTCCTTCACATTATTGGTTCACCTGCTTATGCTCCCGTCTTGTTTGAGGGCCTATCGTCTAGCCGCTCATGCGGTGGCAGGGCTGCAGATGTCCTGTATAGGCATGAAGCAGAGCAACCAAGTCTTGGTGTTTTGTAAGTTGCTTGTATTCTAAGGATTTGGAATCATTCCTTGACCTGAAAATCAAGGCGTTCGTATACTACCAGGCTCATGGGTTCATGGGCTTATGTCTATTTCTTTGTTAATCGCTGGAAATGTCGAGAGTCGGCTCACAGCAGAATTTGTCATAACCTTTGCCCGCGCTAAGAGTCGAGAAAAGGTTAAAGGGAAGGAAAAAAAAAAAACCCGAAAAGGAAAAAGATGGTAATTTTCCAATACTCCGCGGCCCCCATTTTTCCTCGTAAATGTTGTATGGATACGAAATACCAGTGATCGGCCGAATTGTGTCATCTCGAAGCTCCAAAATTTGCCGCGAGTTGTATAACAAAGAGATCGTCCCAAACCAAGTTCTACCATAACTCTTGACTCGGAGTAGGCCGTTACAGATCGCCACTTCAGATCAATTTAGCCAGTGGCAAATATAACCTCCGCTGGAAATGGAAATTAGAAATTTCCCACGAGATTAAAAAAGGAATAAAAGAAAAGAAAATTGCACGTTAAAGTCCAGAACCATACGGGAATTTAGTATGCTCTCCACCGGAGGGCAAATCCTGCCTCACCGATATACCACTAAGAAAAATAATAAAAAAAATATATGTCTCTGGGGGTGGAACCTCTAAAAAGACACCCCATCGGACATACCCCCCTGTTAGCCCCAAGGAGCCTTGTCATGTATCCGCGGTACACTACTATACAGGGGGCCAAAGGAGCACAACCAACCCGACCCAGGCAAATCGGTTCAGTGCACCAACAGCACCTAGCTATTTTTTTGGGATTTATTTCCAATCCATTTTTCTCACTTAAGGCCGACTGACTCCAGGTGATCTTCCTTTTCTTCTGGAGTTTTTAAGATCTATAAACCTCGCCCCGTTACCCTCTATACTTCATTCTTCCTTACTTCACCCACCTTGGATCCCATTGATCTGATATACTTCCTCTTCCCCACCCCGCTCTTCCTCCAATCGACGAGAAAGGCGCTGAGGGAAAGTATTGCCCCAGAGATCGCCGATCTTTCTATACATCGTCTACACATGCCATCCAGAATGGAACAATCATACGAGAAGCTTCCTTCATCACGACAGAGCAAAATGAAGATCGACGCTCTACTCAACCCGGGCGATGATGATTCAGACTCTCCACGACCCAAGCACGTCTCACTCCCATATCGTCACAGCTACCATCAACCCTCACCAACTTTCCCCCCAAGCCCCAACTACTGGTACAACCAAGGCTATCACGACAGCCCAGAAGCTTCGTCCGCCAAACACAATTATCCCGATCATTTCTCCCAGCAGGCCCAGGTCTTTGTCAGTTACCACCACAACAACCAACCGCGCGGCAGCACAAGCACAAACCACAGCTCGCTCTCCGCTCCCTCCTCACCAGACCCTTACCACTCCCGTGAACGGTACTCCAGCGTCTCGAGCAGTTCCTCAACAAATGGTGACCGCCGTCGTCCCCCTCGTCCAAAATACGAGGAAGAGGAGATGTACTTTATCTGGTACCACCGAGTCGACCTGTGTCAGGAATGGAAAGAGGTCCGCGAGGCTTTCAACCGCCAGTTCCCGAGTCGCCAGAGAAGGGGTTTCCAGGGCATTCAGTGCAAGTTCTACCGCTTCATCAAGGAAAAGAAGTGTCCGACTCTGCGGGAGCAGAGGCGCATGCGCGATGGCGAGTTCCTTCGAGATGGCGCCTCGGCTGCGCTTACTGGTGACGGGGGCGGAGCGCCGAAGTTTGGCGTCAGGGAATATACCAACGTTTGGTATCCTTGGATGAGAAAAGGGGACACAGATGCGATGCAGCGCATGTGATTTGATGTTGACTCTTCCGTTTCTTATGTTTCCTCTCTCTCTCTTGAAGTATCTTTTGTTTGTATTTGCGTGGGTCGGTCTTCGTCTTTTTTGGTTTAAAGATACCTCACTGGAGTTCTCATCAGTTCAGCGTGGGAGGTCTGTTGTCATTTTGTTCCAATCGTTCTATCAGGCCTTATCCGTCTCCAAAGAGGCTCCTGTCCTTTCGTCTTGTCTTTCTCACCACCCTTTCACTACCTCGTATATATTTCTTTTGGAGCAATCCACAATTCACACCGCGGGACCATCTATTGCATGACAGGTGTCATTGTCGTTGAAAAGTTGAGATCTCGATTTTGGCACGAAAACAATTTACTCATACATGTAATCGGATAGATCACAAAGTCCTCTCTGCAAGATCAACGTCAAGAATCAATAAAGAATGTACTTCGTACTTCCTACGTACTTGACCATCTCATGATTACTCACCGCACCCGTGGACCCCAGGACCGTCCTCCTTGCTCACACGATCATTTCTCAGAATCAGTACCTTCAGCCCCTTGCCTTCATTCCTGACTCGCTGACCTCCCCCACGCGCATATCTCAGTGTAACAACTTCATTCAATCTCGCTCATCAGGATTGTCCCAACCTCGCCCCGGCCCCGGCCTCAGTTGGGGGCCAGTACGAAGTACGGAGTACTGAGTACTTACTCCGTAATGACATTGCCATTGAGCCAGGCTGATCATAACGCAATGGGCCAAACTGGGAAGCATGCAGTCCTGGGCGGGTTTCAGTTGCAGGGACAAGCACGAAGCGAATAGTCTCCTGCGAACCATTTCCCTCGTAGTGGAGCCTCAAGAACCAACAGCACAGCCGACGATACCCCGAAGAAAGAACGTGGGCACAGCCGAGTCAATCTCGAGATCCCGACACTGACTACATAGCCGCCCCCTCCCCACAAGCATGGAGAGTACGCGCCGGGCTTTGCCAACAGAACGCGCAAGGCAGATTCCAACTGTTTCGGTCAAGGAATTTCCACGCAGGGCGGCTCTGGGTTCGCTCTGCTGTCCTGCTCATTTTTTCAATGATCTCAATCCCAGTCACCGAATTTGTATTGTACGCAGTACCTTGGCATGTAGTAATCGTGCAGAATAACGGGGGGTGGGATCACATTACAGGACTACGTAGCGACTGCAGGCTGTAGTGATCAGGCCCTATGTTCCTAGTCTCGATTTGGACATCGAGCTTTCTTATTTGGCACCCGATCATTCACGGAATGATCTACTCTATTAGCGCGTAGTACTACTCCATGGTCTGCGTACTGTACATGATATTTACGCTCAAGTGAGGCGTCGAGAGAAGGACGGGAAGGAAAATGGTCACGTCTTAAATGAACGGGCGAAAGGGGGGAACAGAAATGACATATCGCGCGTCTAAGATATTGGATCTGTGATGCGGGCTCCTTTTCTTTTTTTTTTGTTGACAGTCAATATCGTGTCATTTGAGCCTGGAAGACAGAAATGTTACGCAAGATCGACAAGAAGAAAAACATGAGGGGCCACGGCCTGCCTTAGCGTACTGTCGGGGCCGGGGAAAGCAGCCGCGGGCTCCATACTGGATTCCTGACAGAGGGATGATCCCGGGTCGTGATCCCCGATCTCAGGCCTTAGCCTCATCTTTTGGAGATTCAGGGAGAGTATTGGCTGTGGGGCCGTGTGTCTCAGAGCGGTAAAGCAGGTCGAGAATTGATCGGCAAAGGATATGATGACATACAGCGCAGATACGAGTCCTAGGTACGGAGTACGCAGTGTACTATGAACAATCACACCCGGGCAACTCATCTTACCCAACTCGGCCCCGAGGGTAGGAGGTCACTAGGGAAAGTGGGGGGAAGCAGCATATGTATATGATCTGCTACATATTACCGTTGCACTGCGTGCTACGTGCTTCGAACCCGACCTAAGACATGCACTGCAATGCAGTTTGAGAAATGGAAATGACCCCAAAACCGCCAGAAATCAGACTGAAGAAAGACGAAAAGAAAAGAAAAGAAAAGAAAAGAAAAGAAAAAAACAACGGAAAGGCCGAACAATCCACATTGGAACATCCGTAGTTCGTCCTAAAGTCGCCCTAACGTTGCCCACTCCACTTGGGAGTTCCCACTATACCCTTTGGGGCTGTCGAATCATGCTACTAGTCCAGAATAGGCAGGAGGGGCCCTTTTAGTACAGATCTAGTCCATGTTATCTCATTCCATTTCCACCAATCACAGCCCCTTGTTTGCCCTGTAAAATACACCCGGGCTGCATCAATACGTCAGATCAAGAAATTAATATATGTCGAAGTACGAGCTCATCAGGTACTGGTGCATAAGCATGTTGAGCGATATAGTACGTTGACAATGCATACCTAGGTACGGGGTACGGAGTATCAGAATGCACCTCGTTACGTTGGGCCTTGGGCTCTCAGGGTCAATGTGAACTATTTTCGTTGAGCTATCCTAGGACACACTAGAGAACCTTTGAATGTATGCCTAATGTAGATACTCGTTGACATAACCGTTATTCCTTCGAAATATCCCAGATTTGTCCCCACATTCTGTGCTCTGTCCGAATCAGTAGCCACGCTAGGCTGTGGACAAACAAGAAGTTGATGCGAGGATCCACTAGCCACGGATCGCCTCGAACGCAGGGTTGGGCTCGTCAATGAAGTGGTAGGTTGACGCAAGTGCGCAACTGAAACGTCAGTCAGCAATCATTCCAACATTCGAACTTCGGTCAACTTACGGGTCAACCCCGAATCGAGAGATGCAATCATAGATTCCCTCCTTGATATCCTGCATGAACTTCCAGCCATCATGGAGATCGTAGAAAGAGATGGTGATATCAACTCCAGCCTGCAATAAGCCGTGAGAAGGGGCACGAACTTCAACAAAATACTCTTGGGCATTGAACTTACTTCGGCCTGGGTAACCAGGATCCGTTCAAACTTCATTCCTTCCCAGCCGGGCTGTGCCAGGATACCCAGAACGGCGACGTCGTCACCAGCCTTGAAGCCAGCTGCGAGGCCCTCGAGACAAACAACACGAGACGCCCCTTCGGCAACACGGTTCGCCAGTTCGGCGTTGTCCGGAAGACCCTCCTCGGGCATGGTGACAGTGATGACGGCCTCGTTGCCATCGGCGGCTAGGTACTTGATACCATCGGAGTGTTTCTCATGGTAATCAACACACTCGTTCTCCTCGACAAACTGCACGACAACAGTGTCATTCTCCACCCAGGCTTTCTCGATCGCGCCTCCATGAGTCAAAAGCAAGATACGCGAGATCGTAGCCCACTCTGGCAGATCACCAAATACAACCCGGCGAACGGGACCAGCAGCAGCAGCCTTGGCCGCCTTCTCCTTGATAACACGCAACTTTCGGAACTGCGCCATGAAGTCGCCTGGATCCGCGACCCCTGGGCGACGCGCAGGGCTCTTTTTGATGTCACCGGATTCGTCAATGCTGCCGGAACCGAGGTACTCAGCAGAACGTTCGGTTCTGGTGCCATCAGCGAAGCCATCGGGATGGAACTCCACCGCAGCCCCAGATAGAATAGCGGGCTCCTATATTTTGTCAGATCAGGATGAGGCACTATTGACTTCCCAGGCAGAACGAAAGACAGTGCCACAAAGAGTACCTCCCAATGTCGCTCGCATACAAGATGGGAATCATGTAGGGTGCACATACCTTAATGAGGGCCATAGTTGCAATCAATCTTGTGAACGGCAGGTATTCGGGAAAACAAGAAAAGAGGGTGTGAGAGGAAGAGAGAAGAGAGAAGAGAGGACCGCGAAGCAAAAGAAAGATGAAGAACGCGTCTGGTCCAAGATGGGAAGGTGCTGAGGTGCTGATTAGGGAAGGTGCGCTCCTGCCTTCCACATCAACCTTGGAATTGATCGGGGTCCTGAGGCCATCTCAAGAACACCTTTGGACAGTGAGCTGCAGCTTCAGCCGTAGGAACAATGATTGATGTGGGGCTTGAAGCAAACATACTATGTGACTACTCTTGGGTTGCTGAATGATTCACAGCTTGAATCTGGTATGTTTCTAATATCTTGTTCTACCAAATGATCAGCCTTGGATAAAAATCCATAAATATTGAATGAAAAAGCGGTCTTGTTCAATGAATTACATTAGCAAATCTCATACGATAGAGATCTCCAGTGACTTCCAAGTAGATGTTGACATCCATGAACGGCTCACTTTGTAGATACTATGTTGCCTACAACAAGGCTGTACCTATGTAAGACTTAGGTTTGAGTCAAACGCGTACTTTGAAACCTCAAAGAGCATGGCAAATGTAGAAGAAACTTCAGATTATAGATATTATCCATGGAACTGCGGCTACCTAATACTTACATACATGGGCCGCATGGAAAAGGGTGAGTGGCCACTTTTATATCGATGTTTATTGCCGGAATCCTCAAGGAAATTTCCAGGTTAGTCACACGCCCTGCTTGGCCTCACTGAAAGACAGGAAATCTAGGTGATGGTATTGGGTATCAGATTCTAAGATGTAATGATGCTATGAAGGAACAGGAATATTTTCAAAGCCTTTTTGTCCAGGCTTCCGATCTTCAACAATAACCTGAAGACCACGACGTCCACAATAGCCGTCATTGCCAGCGACCCGATCAACAACTTGGAATGAGCCACCGCCATCCAACTTGGCGTCCGGGATCCATACCGTCTCCTTGACATTCTGGCCAGGAACCTCCACCCGCCGTGGATTATACCACGGCAGGCCCACGAGATGGTTACCCAGGTTGTGGAGGAACGAGTACAGCCCTTCAAAGCGGCGAGTGATACCCAGCCACGAAAGAGTGCGGTGGTTGTAGGCAGTCCGCACAAAAGGGTTCATGTAGACACCAGTGTCGGAAATATTGTCTAGGTCAGTCTGGGGATCCTGGATATCTGCGTGGATGAGGCAACATTCAGACGCCTCCCAGAAGAGATCCTGGCCGGAACGGAAGCGTGCCGGATTGGGGGATGTGGGTGGGGACCCGGATTGGAAATATTTTGCATCAAAAGCGACCATTCCACCCCAGCAGCTGCGCACTCGCACAGCGTCTTTTCCAGCTAAGACATCGCTTCGGCTCTCGCCTCTTCCGGATGTCGTGAACCATGGATAGAAAGGAAGACCCATGCTGTAGCCCTCAAGGTCGCGGGTTGCGTATGTATCGTAGAACTTGAAAGGGTTGTCGAAGTCTACAGCACACGCTGCCCGATATTGCGCGATGCCGTCTGCGTCTGCGTTGGTCGAGAAGAGAAGTTGAACCGTGTCGATGGGGTGGAAGAGGATATCATTTAGATAGAGGAGTTTATCGAACTTCATATCGGGAATGTCGGTCAATGGCTGTAAAGCCTTGTTTCTGACCTGCGCCAGATATTCGATGCGTTTCACTCGAGTTGAGCCACCTGGAATAGTCACAGTCGGCAGACTCTTTGGATCCAGGTGCTTCTCTGACACGATGGACTTTTGACACGTCACCCTTTTTTCCAACTCACGTAGTGCACGTTCTCCCTCGTCGCCGCTATCGTTCTCGTAGATGCTCAGGTATACATTGTCGTGCCCGAGGAGATCGATGAGATCGATGAGCTGTTCTCCCCATTGGCCCCCAGCAAGCTCACCCCCGCTATCATACAGACTGGCTGCAATGAACACCTTTTCGCCCCGTGGATTGCCACGTCCCGAGTAAGAACTTCCAAGCACCGACTCGCGGAGCGTGGTGTAGCGCGCTGGTGGGTGTGTATAGGAAGGGAACAGGATCGAGGTGAACAGCACTAGAGTAAACACGATACCCGCAACGACGTGAAGGTAGCAGCAACGGCGAATGCAGAATCGGCGGGAGCAGCTTGGTCGCGGGGTGCCTGCGAGGGCCGGTCTCGAGTTGGTCTTCAAACGGCGATAGCCTGATGTTGCCGTCGAAAAGAGTCGGGAAAGCCAGGGCAGTCGGCGCTTGCCAAATTGGGATGTGGGAGGGACCTGGGACTCAAAATCGGCCTCGTCGAGGTTAAATGTACCCTGGGAGTCGATTGACGACCGCGACGCCATTTCCCATTCATCGGGATGGAGCAACCGGGCAGTCATGGTCGCACCAAATTGGGGCTGCTTGCCCTGGCTTGATTCAGCTGCAAGAAGATCGAGTGATAAAGAGATAAGTTGTCGCCATGGCCAAAAGGGGGTCCATCGGTCCAGATGTTGGGTTTCGCTTCTCCCCATGGAGAACCTTACATCATCCGATCACGTGGATCCAAAGTATAACGGGCATCGTATATGAGCTCAACGAAGTTGAACCTCAAGAGAATGCATGCACGTAAATATCATTAGCTCTGGTAGAGAAACCCGATGATTGAGCAACAGCTAGAATTCTCAGCTTCTCGTGGTTGGGGAAAACCAACGGAAAGTGTGCAACATGAAGCTTCCGATGAAGCTCTGGTACAGAGTGACGTAGCTTCAGCCTGACAGGTTCGAGTACTTCTTGTCGCCCCGACAATTTATATTTCCTTGGGTCTCTTCGCTTTTCCCTTATACTTACATCTACCCTCGCAATTTCATTGTCTGTGGTGCCTCGTGAACATACATTGACTCTCTTGTAAATTTCCCCCCGCATCTCACCATGTCGCAATCGCCATTCAAATTCGCCAACTCGAATGCCCAAGTGCCAGGCAATGGTACCCCACCCCCAGAATTCATAATCAATGCCCCAGCTTCGACCGATATCTGGGCCAAACCTCCGTCCACCACTCGCTTCTCGGCCCCAATCCTGTATCAGTCGATGCCGCTGAAGTCGTTCAAGCGGGCTCGTGTAGCCTTCAATGCCCTCTGGGAAAAGAACTATGACCAGGGTGGTCTGATAATCGTTCTCAACACCGCGGACGGCCAGCAAAAGTGGGTGAAGAGTGGCATTGAGCTGACTCACGGACGACCCCACCTCAGTGCAGTTGCCAAAGACAGCTGGGCTGATTGGAGCTTACTTCCGGTCCCCTCGGGTGGAGGTGCAGCGACCCTAGAAATGGTTCGAGAGCCAGACAACAGTCTGTGGATTTACTTGGTCGAGGGTGTGCAGAAGTCGCCCATCCGTGAGGTCACTTGGGTGTTTGCTGAAGATGTCAAGGACATCTGGGTTGGTGTCTATGCCGCTCGACCTTCGAGTGAAGGGGGTGAATTGCCAGTCAACTTTGGCCATTTGATCATAGACCAAGCTTAGTTGCAAGGTGATGAACTGTCCATATCCGGATCTCCAGGGCTGTTGTCGGGTGTCAAATTGGAGGGTATGACTGCTATCGTTTGATATATATTTATGATACATTGGTGAGATGAAATACAAGGTCGCTGTTAATGCTGAAATGCCAAGTTTGTGATCACATGCCATTGCGTGCACTTCCAAGGCTCCAACTTGGAAGGTTGTAAAACGAACCAAATATAACCCCTCCAGGACTGTTTATACACAACCCAAGATTTTCAGCATTTTACGTACCTATACCTATAAGACTCGGATTGATATCATACTAGGTAATCTGGCTATAGAGGAGAGGCTGGAGAATGATTGTCCCAAGGCTGAAGACGGCCCTGGAGCTCATCGAATCAAATGTACCAATTTGCTATTATATAGCATGAATCTTGGAAGGTTAGGTACTTTGTACTAGTATGACAGCGGCTGATAACATCCCAAGACTCCACTAGGTTTTACAGTGTCGATCAGATGTTACATGTGCCACCAGCACAAGACAGACAGTGTCGATCAGCCGGTATGCAGACCACCTTTGATCACCTCATAATTTCATCTGATAGGTCTGTTGTGGGTGGTCAGCCGCAATGTGCTCAGGGCTACCAGGTGCATAAGTGCATGAATGCATGAGTGGAGCAGTCAACGTTAATCTGGACATCTGCAGCTGTCAAGCAGATATTCACAAGCTAGAACCCATCTTTTACTATGGATTTAGGAGGATTTCGGGATCCGGCTCGGTTGTTTCATGTCAGACCCATGGACCTCCACATGTCCAGGTGTGCACTCGCTAAGCGATCTGGTATAGGAACTCTGCACCGAATTCAACTAATATACTAGTACAGTAGAGCACCTTCCTCTTTCTCTCTGACATAAGTTGGGATATTCCCAGGTTGCACTCCATTATTATTAGATTATGTTGTGGTCTCTGGCCTTGGTCATTATCTGATCCAAGCGTGTCACTAAGTAACGTAGAGTCGGGCATAAGCGCCACGCAGGCCCCATTTGGAATACCGAGGCAACCACCAGTGGTATGACGAGATCCTGGTGGAGCAGGATATTAATGCGGACTTGCCAAGTTGCCCTCCGGGATTTGTACGCTCTTTCAAGGTTTTCTGATCATGCGAACCAAGTCCCCGAGCCAGGAATGTCATAGCGGACATGAGGAACTGACCCATACGGACAGAGTATATATAGAGACCAAATACTCCGCCCTTCATAATGCAGTGACTCAATATCATTAGAATAACGCAGTTAAGAACCAGGGATCCCTGCAATCAAACTTCCATCTTATCTGATGAGTACCAAATAAAGAGTGACTTGGCAGTACCAGGGAATGCGCCCATACCACTTAGTGGACTGAGGTATCTGACGGGTACCCCGAGTGTCCGGCAAGTGTTCCGTTCCTGGGCGCCACCCCATCTCTCCGATTTCCCTCACACCTCCGATGTCTCGAATGCGACATCCCCTGGGTATCTCCTGGGCAAACCGTGCCAAACACACATCCTGACTTGTCACGTACAGAGCGACGTCAAAAAACGCCCTAAAATTACTCTCGTCTTCCTTGTTTGCTGCCACCCCATCAGCCCGCATAAGTGCGACCGACGATCGGGCTCGGTCTCACAGCGCACAAGACTTACAGGGCCTAAACTCTTCATAGCCTTCCCCTTACAGTTGGGCGTCCTCCGAAGCACGGCGGATCTACCCATCCGCCAATCTGCCCCATAGCTGCCTACCGGATCCTGCCTGGTACATCAAATAGCCCTTCATGGGTGGTTCTCCAGGCAAGCGCGCTTCGACATATATTTTACTCATCGCATCGCCCCATATTTCTGCTCATTCCTTCCCGAATCAGTCTCCGATTCGTTGTCGCCGTCTCGTGTTTTCATTTCTTTTTCCCTGCTAGGACCTGACTGGCTCAGTGCTCCCCTAGCTGAATCCCGCCAAGTGTGTGCTTAGAAGAGGCTTTCCATCCCTTTTATGTGATACGCCCGCTGCTACGTCTGATATTGCATGAACCCTTTTCTTTCTCTCCTGCAAAAATCCCGATTACCGCTTAATCGCCGCTGCTAAGATCGACCTTATATGCTTCTCTTCGCCTATACTGACCTCACTGCGATTCATTCCTATATGGACATCTATTGATCAACACTATCTGAGGCTCTATACTGTGGTGCTACCCCGAGATGCCAATTATCGACCCGCGATCTGGCCCGTCCTACGGAACTATGGAACCAGACACGGAGCACGAGAGGGAGCAACTGCTCCAAGACGAATATGAGGTCGAGCGCCAATCTGGAATCTCTACGCCGGATGAGCTACAGGAAGGAGTGCAAAAGATCGAGGCCATCAATCTGACTTGGACAACCAAGTCTTTGATGGTGGCCTACGTCAGGTTCGTGTGGCTTGCAGTCCCGTGCCTTATCCCCTGCTGACTTGGCGCAAAAGCATATTCCTCATGGCCTTCTGCACATCATTGGAGGGTCAAACGGTGATGTCGCTATCTGCATATGCAACAAGCGCATTCAGTAAACACTCGTTGATTTCCACCGTCCTCGTTATTCAGAATGTGGTTAACGGTACCTGAACCCCCACCCCCCACTTTGGGCGAGTATGAGCGCCTTGCTGATCTCAGACCCAGCCGTCATTAAACCCCCCATGGCAAAGATTGCCGATGTGTTCGGTCGCTTCGAGGCCTTCTGCGTGAGCATTCTCATATACATTCTGGGATACATTCAGATGGCCAGCTCTACAAATGTTCAGACCTATGCCTCCGCACAAATTTTCTACTCCGCCGGCTCAACTGGACTGCAGATCCTCCAGCAGGTGTTCATTGCCGACAGCAGTGACCTGCTGAACCGTGCGTTCCTTGCGCTTCTCCCCGAATTTCCGTTCCTGGTGACCGTCTGGCTCGGACCAACGATCGCCGGGGCGGTTCTCCGCACCAGCTCATGGCGATGGGGATATGGTATGTGGGCTGTGATTTTGCCTGCATCCTTCCTGCCACTGGCTCTCACCTTGCTGTTCAACCAGCGCAAAGCTCAAAGATTAAACTTGATCAAGAAGCGGACCAAGAGACACACGAGCTTCGTCAGCATCCTGCGCCGGACGTGGTATGATCTGGACGTGGGTGGTCTGGCGCTTCTCTCCGCGGCTGTCACTTTGCTTTTGGTGCCATTGACCCTTGCAGCTACCGTCAAGAATGGCTGGGGGAACACGGGCATTTTGGTCATGATCGCGCTCGGTGTCGTTTGCCTCTGTCTGTTGCCAGCCTGGGAGTCTTCTAAGAAATTGGCCCCTAAGCCTCTCCTCTCTCTCCATTTGCTTAAGCAGAAAACTGCTCTGGCCGGATGCGCATTGGCCTTCTGGTACTTCAGTGAGTATATCCCAGCCATTCGCGAAACCATGTTTTTGCTAACTCTCCTCCCAGTGGCCTTCTACTTCTCCGTTCAGCCTTATCTATATTCCTACCTCCAGGTCGTGCAGGGCTATGACGTTGCCACGGCCGGTCGCGTCACTCAAACCTTTGCCTTCACCTCTACCATTGCGGCATTTGGCGTGTCCCTCCTCATCAAGTACACTCGGCGATACCGGATATATGTGACCATCGGATGTGCCGTCTATATGACTGGCTTAGCTCTGATGCTCACATGCCGGGGAGAAGGGGCCTCGCAGTTCCAAGTTCTAGGTACCCAGATTATTGTCGGCATTGGCGGTGGCTTGGTCAACGTGCCCGTTCAGCTGGGTGTTCAAGCGTCAGCCAGCCACCAGGATGTTGCCGCCGCGACCGCGATGTTCTTGACTTCCATGGAGATGGGAGGTGCTGTTGGTGCCGCCATTTCCGGTGCTGTATGGTCCTCTGCCATCCCGCATAAGCTTCTGAAGTACCTTCCCGAGGAGACCAAAAACCAGGCTGGCGATATCTTCGGCAAGCTGACCACCGCCCTGTCCTACCCGATGGGATCCCCGACCCGCATTGCCATCAATCGCGCCTACCAAGAGACCATGGACCGGCTGTTGACCCTGGCGGTTCTCGCTACTCTTCCTCTTATCCCACTCAGTCTCATCATGGTGAACTACAAACTTGACAAGGTGGGTTGTGACTGCTGCTCTACAATGATCATCGCTAATTGTTTTCCTAGATGGGTTACGGTAACTCCGAACCACGAGGAGACCCGGCCCCAGTCGAGCCAGAGCGGAGCTCTGAGGACGGGCACTCGAAGCGAACCTGAATATCATGTTTCCCAGGTGCCGGGCAATGTGCACGACCATTATGACCTCACGAACCCCCTTTTCACTCATCTTCTCGTTATATATAACCATTTTTGCATCTTGATACACATCGGCCAGCGTCTTTTTGATCATACCCTTTCTGCTTCGCCTACTGTTCTCCTGGGCTGTTCCGGGACTGATGCATTCATCCGACATTGCATATGGCGTTTCCCACGGCATGTTCTTGAATAGAGGATCTCCTAAGACTGTAAACTTTTTTAAACTGAGATTTGCATCACAGGGATATCTGATCACGTCCGAAGTCAAGTGTGTACTGTACCTAGGTAGATTCCAATGTGGCCGGCCTGCCGCGCCCTGTAACAGAGTCAATCTCCCGCGATTCCCGGTGGGTCTTCATTTCCTGCAACGTCAGAGCCGTAACGGTCCCCGGCGCAATCGGTGTCAATCAGCAGGAAGTATGCAGCCACTAGACCAACGGTGCCTGACAGCCTGACAGATTCCGAGTCCCTAATGCAGTCCAGCTTCGAACCTCTCCCGGCTTGAAGCATCCCAAGTTTGAATCACAGGAAATTGGGATCTCCTGAGTTGGCGTTCACTTGGTGCGAGGCCTAGATCGCCCCCTTTTCCCCCTTCCACTCAACTCCCTGACCACCCTCGTATTACCTTCCACGTCTCTCGACTAAATTGCGCGTGCATGTACCTGCATATATGCATGCAGACCGGATCCCGGATGCTTTTGATTCTGAATCTTTGGTGTTGCGAGATGGAAAAGTGGCTTTTACTCTGGGATCTACTAGTACTCTACTAGTACTGTATACCTGAAGGCTCGGGAGTGCGATGTTCGCGGATGGTGGATTGTAGATACCCAGACGTCGGGGGTACGAGGGTGTCCGGATGTGCACATTTACAATATCATCAGACGTGGGTCGTGTGCGAGGCTCAAGGCGTCTAAGTCTTAAAGGCGAAACGGGTGTAAATGAAGGGGATTTGACGTGGGAGGGGAGTTTCAGCAGTTCCAAGTCAAAAATACCATCAAAGTCGGTGAGATGGATCTGCGACCGTCGAAAATTGCTTGGAGTCTCGGTGTCATCGAGAGAATTCCAATGATTCCGTCTGGAAATGAGATAATAATTCAAGACACACACGCTCTACCCCCGGTCCGGAATAGTCAGAAAAAGAAAGAAAGAAAGAGAAGAGTGAAGCGAGGTGTACAGACCGTGTATCGAGACTAGCCGTCTAGACTCCATACTCTGCGGGTTGCCCCATTCAATCCAGACCACAGCTTCTTCCTCCCTTTTTGTCTCCCACAGTCTTCTCTTCTTCAGTCTTAACAACCCCAACCATTCCTGTTTCAATATGGTAGTCGCTACGATTAAGTACGCTGATCCCCTCACTCTCACCCTCAGCTGCTAACTGCCCCCAGGTGTGTCGTGGTGGGGGATGGAGCAGTAGGCAAGACTTGCCTACTTATTTCATACACAACGAACAAGTTCCCCTCGGAGTATGTTCCTACTGTATTTGATAACTACGCAGTCACCGTGATGTGAGTCGAGCCTCAGCACCCCGATCACCCCTGGTCATCGCTAACCCTTGTCTTCCCCCAGGATCGGCGATGAGCCCTACACGCTCGGTCTGTTCGATACCGCCGGTCAAGAGGATTACGACCGCTTACGTCCCCTCTCCTACCCGCAGACCGACGTCTTCCTCGTCTGCTTCTCCGTCACCTCCCCCGCCTCCTTCGAGAACGTCAGGGAAAAATGGTTCCCCGAGGTCCACCACCACTGCCCCGGTGTCCCCTGCCTGATTGTCGGCACGCAAACTGATTTGCGCGACGATGCCGGCGTCCGGGACAAGCTCGCCCGCCAAAAGATGCAGCCCATCCGAAAGGAGGACGGTGATCGCATGGCAAAGGAGCTTGGCGCCGTGAAATACGTGGAGTGCTCTGCTCTGACACAGTACAAGCTGAAGGATGTGTTTGATGAGGTACCATTCCCCCTCTTTGCTCTTTTCCCCTCATGCCCATCTGGGCACCTCTCTCTCTCGTTCGATGCTTACAAATCCTCTCGATAGGCGATTGTTGCGGCGCTCGAGCCTGCGCCCAAGAAAAAGTCAAGGGGCTGCCGCCTGCTGTAAACACCTTCTCGGACCTCTCAACAGGTTGGACCGAGTGCGACAGAATCTGTGCGCTTGGGTTGATGCCTGGTTGACGCGCGCTTCGAAGCAGCTACGATGGAATGAACATGTTTTGTCTCTTTTTCTCTTACGTTCTATGGGGCGGCAATCACGTTAGGGGTTATGGGATATTTAAGAGCGGCAATATACAGGATGTGGGATCCTTTCTTTGTTTTTCTTTGTTTTTTCTTTGCCAGGGGCTCTACTTGATGCTATGTGAGGCGTTTGAGATCTACGTTTCCAGTTGAATATGGCTTTGGTGCTTGATCCCCATTTCTGCAACCTTTGTTCCGCAAATCCCAGACCCCGATAGCCAGCTCTAGCCTGCTATACCTTTCTTTTTCCTCTCGCCTGTCACTCGTCTCTTCTGTGCTCCGTCGGGCTACGTCTGCCTTGTCCAACTTCATGCTCTCGTCCCCGCGATACTGATACTGATACTCCTTGCCCACGAACTATAGCGCCAACTTTGTTTTTTTCATCTTTCTTCCTGCGCGTCGCGACACATATTCCCACCTTCCCACCCCGTGCTTTACTCTTTCATCGTCTCTCGGCGTTGGACGTCAGGGCGTCGTGTTTGGTTTGACAATATCCTCCCATTTTGAATTTTCAGTCGTTTTCTCCCTACGTTCTCATTGTCACGTCTTAATAGGCTCCAGCCTTCCATCTCCGGGGCATGATATCTGAGCTATAACCTTCCCTCACAGATCAGTCTTTGTTCAATTTCCTGCGTTTGTCTCTTTCATCGTGATCTACTCGTTGTGGTTTTGATACAAACATTTGTGCTCATGGTTTTCGTTCTGTTTCGTCTGAGCGAGCTGAAATCTGGTCCGACAGTCGCAGATAGACCAATCCAGACCAGTTCTTCGAACTCGATGTAAAGCCACACCTACGGACATATCTATACACTTCAGTTCTCCAAGGTGTCTGATATCATATCGGAGTTCGGTTCGCCTCGGGTAAGCATTACATCATAGGACATCCATAGTTCATTCAGTCTTCACTTCATTCATCTCGTACAACATATATACTTCATATTTAGGTATCATTTTGTGTGTTCAGAGCTCGTCCTTGGCTTCCTTCTGTGCCGCCTCCTGAGCCTCAATCTGCTCCATCCAGCCGTACCAGCCGCCAAGCTCCTCATCAACACCCGACTTCACAATGCTAGTAATGATCTCAAAGGCCACCTGGGCAGCAGCAAGAGCCGTAGTCTCGCCCTTGTTGTCGTAGGCAGGAGAAACCTCCACAATATCCGCACCCACGACGTTGAGCTTCTCCAGACCACGCAGAATGCGGATGAACTCGCGCGTCGTCCAGCCACCAGGCTCAGGAGTACCAGTACCAGGGGCGGTGGAGGGATCAAGCACGTCAATATCAACAGACAAGTAAACAGGCTGCTCAGGATCCAGACCAGTGCGCGCGATGATCGTCTCGACAACACCCATCGGGCCAAGCTCATCAATATCATCCGCATGGATCCGAATGAATCCCTGCTCAGGTCCGGGGTTCGTGTAATCTCCAGCATCGACACCAGTCAGTCGCGTGCGCAGACCCGCATGCGCAGAGGTAGCATTACAGATCAACCCCTCCCGGCTAGCCTTGTGGAAGAAGCTGCCGTGATTGAACTGCGTCTGCTCACTCTGCCAGTACGCACTGTACCGGACAGGGTTCCACGTATCCAGGTGCGCATCGAAGTGCAGCACCGTAATGGGCTTCTGGTAGATCTGGTACAGGGCGCGCAGCGCAGGCAATGCCACACTGTGGTCTCCGCCCAGTGTGACCAGCTTCGGGTGGCTGTGGCCAATTCCTGTGGCCTTGGGCGACTTGTTCACGATCTTGCGGGATCCCAGCTCCAGGAATGCTTCGTACATCTGGCGCTCGGCGAGCCCGTTGTCGAATGGGGTGATGGGGATGTCGCCGCAGTCGGTGATCTTCGCCCACGACTTGTACGGGTTGATTCCGGCACGCGTGTTGTAGCTGGTTGGCGCCATTTGGCGGGCGCTGGCCGCGCGGATTGCCCGGGGTCCGAATCGGGCACCTGTAGAGGGATTAGTGCTGGTCTTTTTCTTGCGGGTAGATATTCGGGTTGGAAGATACTCACCCGGTCGGTAGCTGACAGCTGTGTCGAAGGGTGCGCCGATCACGGCGATGTCGTAGTGCTCATCGGGCTCGATCAGACACTTGACGGGCTTGAGGTGGGCGAAGCTAGCAATGCCGGAGAAGGACCACTGATATTGTTAAATACTATAGTCAATTCAGTTTGTGGAGGTAGAACATACTTCTTGATCCCACTTCTTGAGCAATTCCGCACGCTCGTGTTCAGGCACGACCTCACCGTCATTGTGGTGGGCGCAAGCCGTCGCCGAGCCGGCCAGAGCCAATGCGCTCACGATGGTCTTCCAAGCAGGCATGGTGAAAGATGTGTAAGATGAAAAGAGGAAAGAAGAAAACAATTATTTATCTACATGACTCTCTCCGGTCAACTTCCTGAAGCAGCCAAAGCACAGAGAATAGAAAAAAAAAGATCTAAAGGGAAGGACGAGCAGACTCCCCGCCACACCCGTGGATCAGTCGTGCAGACTTTCCCTTCTTGGCCTCGGCCCGCTTTTCTCTTCTTCGCGTTCACCACGTCGGTACTTTATACACTGACACTTGCTATACTTACATTGTACGTGGTTCTCGACGTATGCCATGCGGCGCGTTGTCGTAACGGGTCTCGGGGCGGTGTCACCGCTGGGCGTTGGTGAGTCTCTATATCTGTCTGGAGTACAGCTCCAGTCTCCCGGATGCTGGGGGGTGCGGCCAGAGATATTTTCCCATGCTCTGATTAGCTGAAGGCCCAAGTCCGATATCCCCGGACTCTCGAGCTCTCTACGTCCCCACTCCCCATGCCGGAAGGGGAAGGTCTTGATAGCCAATCGGCGGACCCATGCGGGATCTGGGCATCGAGCACCGCATACACCTGCTTGCTGCTGATAAGCGTCGTTGATCGTGCTCCCATCTCACGTTGTCGCTAATGTTTGTCTCGCGTAGGAGCTCGGCGCACCTGGAAACGATTGCTAGATGGCCATTGCGGTGTCGTCAATGTGAAAGATCGCGATGAGCGCTTCGCAGAGCAGCCCTGCCAAGTAGCCGCTGTGGTACCACAGGGAGGTCGCGAGGATGGAAGTTGGACGGCTTCAGAATGGTTGGACCGAGGTGTAGGTACTTTCTTTTAATCATTTTCCATTCTCTAAAAAGCAAAAAAGCAAATACATTGTGTTTTCCCGAACTATTTCGATACTAACTCGATATAGGAGGAGCGCAAAATGGCCAAATTTGCTCAGTATGCAATGGCCGCTACGGAAGAGGCGCTTCAAGATGCAGACTGGAAACCTGAGCCCTTTGAGCAGAGAGAAGCAACGGTGCGTTCTATACCTCGGAGACCAGATGTACGAGTACTTACGTTTTCTTGGAAAAGGGTGTCTGTCTTGGCTCTGGCATCGGCAACTTTGATGAAATGTACAACACAGTGGTTGCATATGAGAAAGGGGTGGGCTATCACTCGACCATTGAGTTGGGGAAGATTTTGCTGACCTGCACAGGGCTACAAGAAAGTCAATCCACTCTTCGTGCCTAAGCTACTGATCAACCTTGGAGCTGGTCATATTTCTATGAAGTATAGGTTCATGGGCCCGAATCATGCCGCCACCACAGCTTGCACAACTGGAGCCCATTCCATCGGCGATGCAGCCAGGTTCATTGCCTGTGGTGACGCTGATGTGATGGTAGCTGGTGGCGCCGAGTCTTGCATCCATCCTTTGGCCATCGGCGGGTTCGCTCGGGCGAGAAGTCTTGCCACAGCTTTCAACGATACCCCCGAGACCGCGTCACGCCCTTTTGACGCTGATCGCGGGGGCTTTGTTGTCGGCGAAGGTGCGGCTGTGTTGATCCTGGAAGTAAGTTTGCAAGTCTATTCAATTTTATTTCCTTGGGTCTGACGCCTGGAACAGGAACTGGAGCATGCTCTTGCAAGAGGTGCCAAGATATATGCAGAGCTCAAAGGATATGGCTGTTCTGGCGATGCACACCATATGACGTCGCCCAAGGAGAATGGCGAAGGCGCGTACATGGCCATGAAAAAGGCACTCAAACAAGCCAAAATTCGCCCAGCTGACGTTGACTATGTCAACGCACATGCCACTTCAACTATTGTTGGCGATGCCGCGGAAAATGCTGCCATCAAGGCTCTTTTGCTTGGGTCCGAGGGCAGAGAGAAAGCAGCTGATGTTAATGTCAGTAGCACAAAGGGTGCACTCGGCCATCTTCTTGGTGGAGCCGGTGCTATTGAGGCCCTAATCAGCGTGCTTGCCATCCAGGAAGTGAGTCAGCCCCGCGTGATGAATTGAATGCCAGATGCGCTGACCACTGATAGAATATTATGCCGCCCACCATCAATCTAGACCGGTTGGCCAATGGATTTGATTGCAACTATGCTGCCAAGGAAGCGCAGTCAAGGCAGATTGATGTGGCTTTGACGAATAGCTTTGGATTCGGTGGCACAAATAGCAGCCTGTGCTTTGCGAAGTATTAATCACTGTTTCACCATTTTGTACGATATTAGCTAGACAATAAAGGGCCAAAACCTTGGCATCTCTTTTTCAGAACTTGAATTAATGGAGAATAAGTGCCTTTTCAGCCAAATTATCCTTTATCACCACTTGCCCAGGTGAATGCCATCTTTGCTCTATGTATGTGACAAGAGTCACGTGCCAAGTGTTGATCCAAATGCGGAGGAGCCCCAAGCCCGACCTTGACTCCGGAGACCGAACCCATTTCGCGGTAGCCAGCCACCGAAACACCTATCGAAACACCCGCAAAGCGATTTGTGAGCGCTTTGATTCTAACCACCTCTCGAATCTGCGCCCACCATGGCGACCAATGGTGATTCCGGCCGAGGTAGGCACCACCTGGCTCCCGTTGATAGCGCAATCCGGGAGGACGCTACAACCCGTGGACACCGAACGCTGTCCCTTTGGAGACAAGAAGTCGCCCAAGCTAACAAAGCAATCGCTCACAGGAACTGGAAGCCTGGTTGATGCGTCTGGATACACTTTCACAGACAAGGACACCAAACCCGGCAAGATCAAGGTGAAAAAGACCTCGAAAGCATCGACCAAAAAGAAAACAGATGGTATGACTTCTCAGATCTGACCACGAGTTGAGCGGGCTCTAAAAACACATGCAGACGCCAAAGATGGCCCAGTCGATACCTCACCTACCTCCTCCCCTCTCCCCGTCATTGATACTAAAGTTATCACCGCATTTCCGACCGGCAAGCCACGCGAGGAAGATTTAATTGAGACTGTCATTTGTAAGGTATGCAGGCGGCCTACGCTCAAAGCCACGGCAGCGGAACACGTCCGTGGCTGTTTAAAGGCAAAACAAGAAAAAGCGCGCAAAAAGAAGGAGCTTCGCGATGCGGCCAACCGCGCAAAGGCAGGAGACGACAAAGATGACGATCCAAATGACAAGGAAGATGGGTCCATGATGGGCTCCAAGAGCGCCAAAAAGAACGCCGTGAAGGGCACCGACGACAACAGGAAAGGCAAGAAGCGCAAGGCCGATGAAGACGATGGCAAAGAGCCCAAGAAGAAGAAAAAGAAGGACGAACTTAAGGCAAAGACAACTAAGCCAAAGGGCCCTGTCGACGTTGAGAAGCAGTGTGGTGTCACATTACCCAATGGCGCGCAGTGCGCTCGTTCCCTGACCTGCAAGAGCCATTCGATGGGCGCCAAGCGCTCGGTGCCCGGACGTACATTACCATACGATATGCTGCTTCAGCAGTATCAGAAGAAAAACCAGGCCCGTCAGCAGAGTATGCATATTGTCCCCTTTGCGTTCCTCGAGCTTTACGCCGGCAAGACTGACCTTAAATCACCACAGAGGCTGCTATCGACGCCAATGCGCCTTTACAAGAAGATATCGAGAACACAGGCCCCGTGGACTCCGACGAAGAACGGGATTCCGTCATGGCCGCCATTGCCCGTTCTGCGCCTCAGCCTCTCGTTCAGCACCCCCTAATCACCACTAAGTCTAAGTATCGATACGTCCGTATCAAAGAGCAGATGTCACATGCCATGGGTGTCCGAAGCGGCGGTGGATTATTCTCCAATGGCGATAGTCAACCTCTATTTGGAAACCAGCTGTTTGGATTCCCTCCCGCTGAGGTCGACGCTTCTTCCGTTGATGCCCCCGGAGAAGTAGATGACATGGATATTGGCACAGGGACCGCTCTTCCAGGTACACGCAAAACCCCAATCACGGCGGGGTAATTGTTCATACTCTTCATGACTTACGACACTCTCTTTTGTGCGGTTGTTGGATTCTCATTTACTAAATATTCTGGATGCTGGCGTTCATTGGCATGAATCTCGAGCACCACGCCGCTCTCTAATTCTTTTTGTTCTTCGGTTTCCCTGGATACGCCCCAGGCTCAGGCTGTTTTGTTTGGTTTGAAAGGTGACGACATGATACCCCGGCGTGATACTACATTTGAACTTGGAAAGTAGAATCCATCTTTACCCATCGATTCCTGTCAAATTATACATCGAAGCAGTTGTACTATGTACTACCTAGGTAGTACCTACCTAGGTATCAATTGATTGGTTCAATTTTGGTACGTTCATACTGGTATATATAAGACCTTGTAAGTTTTATGACCATAGAAGTGTGTGTAAGAACCATCTGGCATTTACTTCAGCTTGCTCCGAGGTCTCAACCAGTCTTTGGATCGCCGAAAAGTAGCTTCTTGGAGGATATGAGTACTCCGTTCAGTGAGCCCTGGAGGCTATTGACGGCTTTTAAGGCCTCCCACCTGGGCAGTCCTGGAGGTCCCCCGGGGTCGGCCCCGGGGGGCAGCATCGAGATTACGTGATATTTAATTCCTGAGGCATCAATATACATCTCGTTCCGCTCGCCGATCTTATTGTCTTCCTGAGCATTGCTTTGATCATAAACTCTCACTATTAACTTCTCTCACGCGCAAAGCAGAGCCTTGCCTGGTTCCTGCTCTTGCGACTGCAAGTGAACCCACGTCGCACCCAGGGACCTCACCGAGCCCGATCTCCTCGACTGTCAACTTCCTAGCACCATTATCGAGCTCCCCGTTCCCTCCCTTAGACACTTTGGGCTTTGCTCCCTCAAGCCACCATGAGCCACGCTGTCCCCGATCTAGACTCAATAGGCATCAAAGCCGACCATGATCTGGCCGACCAATTCCGCCGTGAAGTCGCCAACCTTCTTTCGCGCAACAACCTGAACTTCCCCGGTGCACAGCCTGTCAGCTTCTCGTCAAAACATCTCACCGAGCTGCAGCGTGAGGACTACTATGTCTGCGAGAAGACAGACGGAATCCGCTGTCTGATGTACTTTGCGCGCGGAGACCCCAACTCTGAACAGCCGGAGATTCACTATTTAATTGACCGCAAGAACGACTATCGATACGTACCGGGCTTGCACTTCCCGCTTCCCAACGACGACACCTTCCAGGGATTCCACGTCGACACCTTGGTCGATGGCGAGCTTGTCAATGACACATACGATGATGGGAGCACCCAACTGAAGTACCTGGTCTTTGATTGCCTGGTGCTAGATGGACAGAGCTTAATGCACCGTACACTGGACAAGCGATTGGCATACTTCAAGGAAAAGGTACTCAAGCCTTATAGTGCCATGTATCGCAAATTCCCGGAAGAAAAGCAACATCGGGCTTTCGCCGTCGAGGATAAATCGACTCAATTCAGCTATGGCATCGAGATGATGTTCCGCGAAATTATTCCCAAGGTCAAACGCATCCACGGAAACGACGGTCTGATCTTCACCTGCCGCAGCACTCCATACCGTATTGGCACGGATGAGCACATCCTCAAATGGAAGCCTCCCCAGGAAAACACCATTGACTTCCGAATGCGCCTTGAGTTCCCGACGCTTGAGCCAGATACCGAAGACGAGGCTGAGGGTATCCACGAACCTTTCCTAGACTATGACGCCATTCCAATTTGCCATTTGTTTGTGATGCTCAGTGCGGGCGAGTACCGTCATTTCGGAGAGATGCACGTGGAGCCACAGGAATGGGAGAACCTCAAAGCCATGCAGGTTCCCCTCGACGACACGATTGTGGAATGTGCCAAAGACCCAGAGGGACGTTGGCGGTTCCACCGTCTGCGCGATGACAAAAACGATGCCAATCACATCTCTACGGTTGAGAAGGTCCTTGAAAGTATCGAGGATCGTGTCACTGAGGATGACCTCATTCGTCTTGCTCCGGTCATTAAGACGGCCTGGAAAAAGCGCCAGCAGGGCATGGCTGCAGGAGATGAGGAGAAAAAGCGGAGAGCCCAAGGCATACCGGGCAACCCTAATGGCGTCAAACGAAAGTATGAGGAGTGATATAAATCTGGAATGAGCTTTTGCTCTGGTTCATTGCAAGGCGTTTGGTGCTGGGGGGAGCAACATTTGTATTCTATTGCCGATAAATGGAGGCAGTATGGTGGTAAACCGGTCTTCGAACAAGTTGAATGTATATTGACAAACAGTTGTCGCTTTTGGCATTGTCTACTTCATGTATCACTGTACGGAGTAGGATCAATTGATATCTCGATGCGGAAATCCAGATTACATAACCTAAAATCCTGGCGCGGTTTGCTCCCTTTCCCGCATCATCACCTGGCCAGGGCTTGGATCATCTGTTTCCATCATTTTGATATCTGTTCTCGCCTCATCCTGTATTGCTCAGCAACATGGGCGTCCGAGATTCCCACGGGGACATGACGGGGACGCCCGACCCCGTCGAGAAGGGCTTCGCCACCCTCAACACCATCAGGTATGATCTTTTTTCGCCTGGAAAAATTATCTGGGTGATTTCAGGCCTACTTTAACCGGTCGCGTATACTAACTGATCCCATAGAATCGGTGTCAAGGCCATGGTGCAGAAGGTTAGTTGGCCAACGAACCGACAGATTCTGGCGATCATGTCACGTGACTATCAATCAACGCAGCATATACTGACTGGTTCTAGGATGGAGAACTAAGAAAGGCTGAAATCCTATCTATCAGGCAGCGAAAGGATGGCCCTTCTTTCTAGTATGTCTTCAACTCTTTCATGCTCTTCTTCTTGATGCTGACATAGATATCAGTGTCCACTATGTTGACTTCAACAAACGTCTTGACGGTAAGTTCTAGATGCCGGGCATACATTTCCTTTTTTTTGGAACTCTTCTGACTCTGCTTAAGAATGGGTTGCATCTTCAAGAATCGACTTGTCTCAAGAGGTTGAATGGCCTCAGCCAGAGAAGGCCGACAAGAAGAAGACTGCAGCGGCTAACAAGGCCGCACCTAGCAAGAACACAAGTTCGAACAAGCGTGCCCGAGCTGATAGCCGCGATGTATCACAAACCCCTGACATCTTGGGTGGTAAGAATGTGAACGTCGGCAAGGCCTCGCGGCCCTCAAAGGCTGGAGGAAAGGAAAACATTGACACCCCCGGCGACACCACGGTGTCGTTCGCTTCCGAGGGAGTATCGACAATTGGCACTCCTAAGGCCACTGATTCCGAAGATGTTGAAATGGCAGATGGTCCCACAGAAAGCCAATCGATCAAAGAGGATGAAGTTCAAACCGCCTCGGGCGAAGTCATCACCCGCGGCGAAGAGATTGAAAGGCTGCGCACAAGTGGTAGCATGACCCAAAACCCGACAGAGATTCATCGCGTGCGAAACCTGACTCGTCTTCAAATGGGCAAGTACGATGTCGAGCCGTGGTACTTCTCCCCATACCCGGACTCGTTCTCCGACGTCGATCTAGTTTACATCGACGAGTTCTGTCTCGGATACTTTGACAACCGGCGTGCCTTCGAGCGTCATCGCGCCAAATGCACCCTCACCCACCCACCAGGGAACGAGATCTACCGGGACGACTACATCTCCTTCTTCGAGGTCGATGGTCGTCGTCAGCGAACCTGGTGCCGTAACCTGTGCCTTCTGAGTAAACTCTTCCTGGATCACAAAACCCTCTATTACGATGTCGACCCGTTCCTTTTCTACTGCATGTGCACCCGCGACGAGACAGGCTGCCATCTCGTCGGCTACTTCTCCAAGGAAAAGGACTCCGCAGAGGGCTACAATCTTGCCTGTATCATGACTCTACCACAATATCAGCGTCGCGGCTTCGGTCGTCTCCTCATCTCTTTCAGCTACGAGCTCAGCAAGCGCGAAGGCAAGCTCGGCTCGCCTGAAAAACCTCTTAGTGATCTGGGTCTTCTGGGTTATCGACAATACTGGCGCGAGACGCTGGTGGACCTTCTCATCGAACCTAACCGTGAAGCCATGAGCGAAAATGAGCTTGCCATTTTGACTTCCATGACTGAGAAAGATGTTCACGAAACCTTGGTTGTCTTCAATATGCTTCGGTATCATGTAAGTTGGATTCAACCTGCAGGGATGTTTTCATTTGCTAACGAATTTACAGAAGGGTAACTGGGTCATTGTTCTGACTGACAGTGTTGTCGAAGAACACGAGAAACGCCTTAAGAAGGAGGAGATCAAGGGCGCTCGCAAGATCGATCCTGCACGTCTTCAGTGGAAGCCTCCTGTCTTCACAGCTTCCAGCCGGACCTGGAACTGGTGATCATGCGTTGCTCCGATTCTCTGCTGACTTGTGTTTTTCTGGCGTTCGTTCTATCTGGTTGGTTATCTAATGGGCCTGGGGGCGTTTCTGAAGATCGAAATAATACCTGTAACTACTAGGCTCTGATGGATATCATGATTATTGTTGAATTATCTTCTGGGAAAGGCGTCTATGTTGTACTTTGAGAGGATGTGTCCTTGGTTGATACCTATTTACCTATCGTTTTGCACAATTGACCCTTTCTGTTTACCATCATCAACCTTGGAAGTGTTTAATGCGGCAGCTCTAGAGAGGCCCAGACGTCGTTAGCCTTGAGCCAACGAGCCAGCCTCACTAGCTCACCACCAAAGGACTTCCAAAGTTACTGCCCAGGTGGGTTACAATCTATGTTGAACAATGGAAAAGCACATTAAGTTTAAAAATGGTTCACTAGACTGGTGAATATCAGAGTTAACCCAGCCGTTTACTCAGGGCATAGGTAGTGTGAGACAGCTTGTTCGGAAACACAGTATGCGGTCACGACTTCTGGCGAGAACGGCATGCGAACAGGATGCTGTATCAGTAGACAGGTGTCATACACACATTGCAAAGCCAACAAGGCTGGAGTTCTGAAGAGAGGTGAAGGAGTAGGCACGGGGGTGGTCGGGAACATAAAAGAAAGGGTGAATTGCAGACACGAATCGTTGATTTAAGCCAGAGGTATCATCGTGCCCAGATCGGGAAGAGCAAGAAGACTGGCAAAGAGCCTGCGCCCATGCTGTCGATTAATCGAGTGGTAGTGTCGAACCCGAAAGAAGATGCGAAGAACGCTGGCGATATGCAACGCTAGAAATCCCTAATGTGAAGAGGGGCCCCAGCTCGTCTTATTGGACTGCTGTCGTGATCCTGTGGTGGAAGCAGACTTCTCAAACTTGGCTTTGGGTGCCTCCCCCGACTTGCTAATGCCCTTGCGGGGTCGGGTGTTGTTATTGTTGCGAGGTCGATGCGGGGCGGCTTTGCGTGGAATGAGGAACACTACAGGCTCACCCCCATCTGGAAGGAGAACTGTAGCTCGCACATTGCCATGGGTATCGCGATCAGCCAGGCCAACTGGGAATGAAGGAGTGCTCTGGGCATGAACCTGCTTGATGTTCTTGCGAAGCTGACGCAGGGGAGGAAGTGGCCCCCATGAATTAGGAGGTGCCATGCTGGGAACTCGAACGGCAGGCAACGAGCCAGGCTCACGGTCTTCAAACATTTCGTCCTGTCTCTCAACTTGTTCAACCGCAATATCACCGTCTCCTTTCTGTGATGACTCGAGCTTTGTTCGAGGAATCGAGACTGATACTGCAGCGGTGTGAACTGGCAAGGCTTCCTTTGTGGCGGGGGTTACGGCGAGGACATTCTTATTGGTTCCTTTGAAGAGACTGTTGATTTTTTCTTGCCACGAGATGGCGGTGGGAGCTGAAGGCATCACGTTGCGTGGTGGAGCGGCTGCCATAGAAGCAAATGTGGGCGGAGGAGCAGGGGCACTGACAACCTTTGGTGGAAGCTTCACGACAGGCTTAGGAATTGGGAGATGCACGTGGGGACGGCTCAAATCTCCGAAGTAAACCGGGTGGCTTGAAACCTCCTCGGGGGGAGGAGGCGAAGGGCTGCTACTGCGCTCCTTCCCGACGACCTGGCGTTTGGGCTGCTGCTCGGTGGCAGAGGGGAAGAACCGAGAGCTGCGAACGGGAATGGGGCCTGAGCGATTGATATCTGACGATGGAAGCCCGTCCACAGGGGCGGCGCCAGCCAACGGGTTAGATAGCGGTTGCACGGCTGGCTCTGGGGTCGATTCGTCCTTGCTCACGACTGTGTGAGAGACTGCGTTCACCACACGTCTGCCATCCTTGGTAGATTTGATTTGTTTCCAGGTTTGGTCGAAGGATGCCGGAGCTGTGATATGCTCACCCTTCTGGTGTGTCTTGTGGAAATGCTCCATGAAGTTCTTCTGGTCCTGGCGTTCGGATTCGCCCGCATTTTGCGCAAACGATCTCCATGCCTCCACTCCACGGGGCTGTTGGGCGTTCGGTGGTCCAATCGGCCCAGGGCGGCTGATGGGATGCAAAGGGTCAAATGCGGCGTGGCGGGCCTCGGGTGAGGGTAGGCATGCAGCTTGCTCTGGGGGTGCAGCAACAAAGTTTGGAGGGTTAGCCATGGTTGGTTGATCAAATCCAAGTTGACGCAGAGAATTCTCGCGGGAAGAGAAACCGAGAGGTTGGTCGAAGATGCCGTTTCCGAGAGTGGGTGTGCGATCACTACCCAATGGTTTCCACGGATTCTTGATTGTGGGAGAGGTTGTAGGTATGCTTGGATGAGACCAGGGCGAGGTAGACACTTTCAAGTTGCCTTGCTGCCACCGTTCTTCGGGTTGACCGTTTGACTTGACAGGAGAGTGGGGTGCGAGTGGTTCGCGTGGAGGTTCCTGGTTGGGAGAAGACACGCGTCGAGTGAAGTGCTTGTTGTCAGAGGGCCGATCGTGAGCACCAACAAGTTTCTTGACAGAGTCTGGATGATGCACTTTCATCATTCCATACTGCTTCGGTGCGCCAGTAGGCTCTGGGACGGGAGGTTTAGGAGGTGGAGAGATGGGGTGAGTGGATTGTTGCGAAGTGGGAGGTGCGTGGTGAGGGGGAGGTTGAGACACAGGTTGGGACGAAGGGGCAGGAGGTGTGCGCGCCTCTGGAGCTTTCTTCTCTGGCGCAGGCCCCATGGCCTCAAGCCGTTGTCTGATCCGCTCTTTCTTGGCAGCTTCTTCCTTCTCCTCCTGTTCAATCCTGCGCTGTCTCGCCTCTAAGCGCTTCTCCTTCATGATGCGCTCCTGCAGAACAACCGGGTCCTCTTGCGGAGGAGCCACTGGCTGTACCTCTGGAGGTGCCTCCACATGAACATTTTCGACAGGCCGTGGAATCGTCCCGTTCGGCCCAGACGACAGATGCTCCTCTTTGCCAGGGTACTGGTGCTGTTGCTGCTCGGGGCCCATCAACGCGGGGTCCATTATTGTTTGGGAACCCCGGCGTCCATCATACATTCTGGGAGGTGCATCATGTCGATTGAAAGACATTCTGCGACCGAACCCCCCGCTTCCACCGCTCACATTTGACGACGTACGTCGACGACCACCCCAGCCCATGCCATCTTGGTGGCTCGACCGGTAGGTCTGGAAAGCAGCAGATGGCTCTGCCGGCCCGCTTGGGTGATCGTTCGCTCTCTGCAATACCGCCGGGGCACGGGGATTCGGATGCTGGTCATGGCGCCAAGAAGGTCTCCGGTTGTCAGGCACAGGCTCATATTGGCCAGAGCGCGAGTTGAAGAGCTCTCGGGGGGCCCCGGGTTGGACCTCTTTCCAAGTTCGGTTGAAGTCATCTGCCGCAATCTCCTTCGGCGGTGCGTGGAGGCCATCATCCCTCTGGGCGTGATGCCTCACGGGCATGCGTGGTTGCTGGGGTGGCATCGGACCATTGGCTGGAGATACCCTCTCCACAGGAGGCAGAGGGGCCCATGGAGATTTGGATGGGGGTGCTGGGCTTGTCGAGCTAGAAGGAACCTTATCGTTCGCGCCTTTTAAGGATGCACTTGCAGTCCTCGCTTGACGTTCTGCGTTCGCGCCAAGTTTCAGGATTGTCGGGTTAGGTCCGACGAAGGTGGTGGGCTTTGGTGCTGGTTGGACCCTTGGCGCCACAGGTGCTTCTTTGGGTGCTTCTTTGGGTGCTTCTTTGGGAGGTTCTTTGGGCTCGGGTTGACTTTGGACAGGCTGGCTCGGACCCGGTGGGGGGTCAGTATGAGAATGCGTTAGATTCACCTTAGTTCCATCTGTCCATTCGATCGTTTCAGGAGCCCAATCATCCTCGTCGTCATCAATGTCAGCCCACTTGGCTTCAGAGCTCACAGCCCCGTCCTCTTGAATGCGAGAAGTCATATGAATTCCATATTGCTGTTTCAACTCTTCGTCCGTCAAATGCTTGGGTGGAGGTGGCGCAACAGCTAGATTTACAGATTGACGTCAGCTCTGGCTATATTTTGCTTGGTGGGCATATACGTACGTCTGTTTTTGTTCCAGACCTGATTTGGATCTGGCCCTGATCCGCTAGGGTTAGCCCCGCCGGCTCCATTCTTGGAAAGTGAATCACGCATCCCGAGTGTTGTCTTTGCGACCAAGCGCGGACGAGTGCTTGGTTGTGGGGTTCCTAGCGGCGTCGTAGAGGTGGATGGAGCTAGAGCATCGTTAGCGACGGTTACTGCGCAGCGCTGAACAGTGGGATGACTATACTTTTCTCTGGCGCCTTGGGAGGTGCGGGAGCACCTGGAACTTTGGGCACTGAGAATTTCTGCTTTGCGAAAGACACCGGCTTGAACGAGTTTAGCTTTTTCACGGAGCCATTGCGCATGTGGTTCCTGCTATCCGTTCGGCTCGCATCCGATTCTGAGCCACCCTGTGAAGCTGTGTCGTCTCCGCCGTCCGAAGCAGATGCCAGCCCGTTGAGTTCAAGTACTCTGGTCGCAACGATTCCGGTATTCTATTTCCCCGCATTATTAGCTAGTGTATACCAGCGCATTCCGGGTCGAGTCTTACCGTTGTACGGCTTCCGGGATCCTTGTCGCTGCCAGCTCCCTCTCCCTGTGAATCAGACGTTTTTGTTGCTTCATGACCGTTCGGGGTTGCAGTATTGGATGTAGTGTTCATAGCGATATGTTCGGTCTTCCCCGCGTCCCCTCCAGCAGATAGCTTGTCGTTGGTGCTCGCAGGAACGTCGGAAGGCGAAGGGTCGCCGCCCGACAGGGTCTGATCTACCACATCGCGGCTGCTCTGCTCTGCCATAACAATACTCGATTCTATTCCCAGTAAACAGTGCGACACGGTCAGTCAAGTTCCCTCGCAGTTGGAAGATGGTTCCGGAGACGTGACAGGCAGCCGCAGATCGAGCATGCGTATCTGTCCACGAAGTCAACGTACCTATCGTCAGATATCAAGGATCGCCACGTTTGCACTGCTTCCTCGGCTGGTTGCACCCTGAAGATATGGGATATTGCAACCAGATATGGTATCGGTCAACTCTCGGGGGAGTTGAGGAGGACGGCCGTGTCTAGTTGGGTAGTACGGTCGCGGAATAGGCGCTTGTTAAAATCCGCAGCCCAAGAGGTCCCAGAAAGGGCAAAGGGGGAAGAAGGGGGGATTCTGCGGAAAGAGTATCGATGATAGGGAGGGATGATACAAGATTCAAGAGTCAACTCGGGTTGAAGCTGAGGGTCGCTGCTTTCGGTTTAGCGTGGTCCGGGAGAAAGTTGTGATGTCTGCCCACATCTCACGACCCCAAGAGCCCTAAGTCTGGCCGATCGGGTGCATAAATCCGAGAATAGAGTGCTGATCTACTGTAAATGAATAGAAACTATCCTGATCGAGTATTTGGGCAGTAAAGTGACGGGAATCTGAGGAAAGAGCCATCACTCCCCCTCCATACTACCTAGGTAGTATATCTACGCGACTAAGACTAAATCATTTGGATCTGAATATCTGAGGGAAGTAAATCTGAGTATTGAAACAGTGATATTCCTTAGGCCCACGGCATTCCCTTGCATTGGGACAGAGAACTCAGTATATACATTGATCCTCTGTTGAGATGGAATGGAATAATCTAGTGGGGGTGGTTCTTGTGGTGACCTATCCGTAATCAGGTTAGCGCCTGCATTGAAATGACAGAAAGTATTGCAAGGACATGACGTACGCAGGTGGAAGTAGTACTCCATGCTGTAGCCAAGGATGAGAATACCGGCAATGGCGTGCACAAGGGCTGCATGTGTTAGTTGAGTGGCCGATTTCCAGTGGCATGAGCAAGAACATACGAGCACCGGAGGCGTTCTTTCCGCTGAAGTAACGGGCCTGGTAGCGACCAATGAGACCGGAGGCCTTGACGGGGGCAGCAGGGCCACGGGGAAGGCCGGCGTAGAAGTTCACAACACGCTCCATGCGGGCGGCATCCTGAGCGGCACCAATGGCCTGAGTGAATGTTAGTTGTCGATCAACGGTATTTGCTTGTGTCGCAGGCTTGCACGAAAACAACTTCGGGGCCGAACGGGTGTGGAAGGGGTGCGCGAGATAGGAGACGGCAGCGCGTTATAGACTCACGTTGGGAGAGGCGACCTTGACATTATCGTTAGCATCTGATCCGGGAATATGAGGGGATATAGACTTGTCGCAAAGGGCCGTCTTACCTTGGGGGGGATCAAGGTCGAGAGACCTCGGCGGGCGATGTAGCTCATCTTGTCTGGGCTGGAAATGGTCAGAAATTGGTCAAGCTGAGTAGAGCGGCTCTCAAAGAGCATTCTCTGGGGAACAAAATCGGGCACTTACGTTGATTGCAGCGCAAGTGAACCAAAGAAAGCTGATGAAGGAGGAAGGAGGAACAAACCGAGCCCTGCGGGTGGTCGGAAAGCCAAGCCCACGCTAATCCCCATTCGGCGGTGTCGTGACTTGCCTGCAATTCGCAGGAAACCACATCGGAACGTGAATCCTCACTGGCAACCACCATTTCCCCGCAAACAAGCAGTCACAATGTCGCTCTTCAGAATTGGAGGTGCTGCTAGCCTCCGGGTCAGCAGATTTGCTGCGCCCGTCAATGCCCGCTTCGTCTCCAACCTCCCCAATGGGATCAAGACCAGCACCTCGGACGCTCCCACCACTCCTAACAAGGACAGCTCCTTGATCAACCAGGAGTCCCCATCTGAGGCTATGACCCGTCACCAGCCGGACTATGAGGCCACCATTGACCACGGCACCTCGTACGCAATGCTCCTCCCTGCGACGAAAACACTTTTGCTAACACATTGAGCAAGGCAATTTTCCCCAGTGCCCAAGCGCGTCATGGATGGCAGTGAGCCTGGAGAGTCCCTTCCTGGCGCCGTGCTTTCTGGCGCTCCCACCGACCTCCAAGCCCGTACTGTCCGGTAAGAACGCTCTCTCCAATGTGCAAACTCTCCTCCTAACCTAAATCCCAGTATCTACCGCCCCACTAAGCCCGCAACACAGTCCGGTACCTGGCACCAGCACCACTGGCGCATGGATTGGGACATCTTGCAGCGCGGTCACCGCTGGGAGAACCCTCTCATGGGCTGGCAATCGTCCGCCGACTGCATGCAGGGCACCAACATCAAGTTCAAGTCCAAGGAGGATGCCATTGCTTTCGCCCAGAAGCAGGGCTATGAATACTTTGTTCAGGAGCCTAACGAGCGTCGCTTCGTTCCCAAGTCCTACGCGAACAACTTCCTTCACGAGCCCAAGAAGCTCAAGCATATCAAGACCAAATGATCTGACCTTCGTGCTATATTTTGTACATATTACCAGTTGCTTCAATCAATTTCGAAAACGTTGTTATCTTCATCATGATGCGTCCAAATAGTTGGTCCGGATTGCTCCCTCTTGGTCTCTCTGCGGAGATTCAGACTGGGCGAATCTTTTGGCTTGTCTAAATCTCAATGCTGCCAGCGGTTCTTGCCTAGCTAGGTACCTAATGGCTCTGCGTTGGAATTCCTTGGCTTCCTTGGTCGTATTGATATCCAGTACCATCTGCACAGGTGGGCATCATCTGTGAATGCTTGTCACGATTCATTTCCCCCTTCCATAATGATCATAACCTTGGAAGTTTCTGATCGGACAAGCCACAACCCAGGGATTTGTCAAAATTGGACTGCAACTCTCCAAATGAAGAGCAAAGAGGAGGGGCCATGGAAATTATGGGCACCTAGATTCAGTATCTATTTACTCCCTAGTCAGGGAGTAATGCCAATAAGAGAAGCCGACATGCTTCATACCTAAGTACAGAAATGGTCTTGTATCTGACCTTGAGACCTTGAGACCTTGAGAGAAGGCTGCCCCCCCACTGCTGATCTATTGACCAGGTTGCTTGCCCTGTTTCAAGGGCCCAAATATGTCTGTCCACAGCTCACTTGCTTCACCTAAGTGATATGACAAGTCCACATCTGCCAAACTGGCATTCTCGCCCCCAGTCATACTCTCGAGCTGTGAGATCAGATTTTCCAATCCAAATGCCTTACCAGTTGCCTGTGTGGCGCCAGCCTCGAGCATGACGTTCACCACATGAACGTGGAAATGGTAATAGGTTGGTTGGTCTACATGTCACGATTAGCGGCCCAATCTTAAAAGGAGCCAGACAAGAACACTCACAGTGAACATAGAGCTTCAACTGATCTTCTTCCAAGTTCGGATACATGGATACCGTTGCCTCCAGAACGCGCTTTCGTAAATACCGCAACCAAGGTACATGGCTCTTCTTCAGGTCTCGCAAGCTCCAGATATCGCGTCTATGCAGCAGTGCCAGCAAATGTAGTGATCCCATCGTTTTGCGATCCCAATTGAGATCGGGCAACATCAAGAAAGCATCCTCGGGGCTTTGCCCATCATCTCGCATGATGACATCTTCCTGTTCGGTACGTCCCTCAAGGATATTGAACACCCAATTGAGCCGCCCTTCCTCGCGTTTGGCTTGCATATAAGGTCGGACATAGTCACGATAGATAGCTGGAGTCTCAGTGACCATGCGCAGCTGTTGGTCAGAGTACTTCTTGATGTGGGATGCGGTGCACGGCCAGATGAGATTTAATTTGAGATCCTGCTGCGGTGGAGTGTAGGCTGCTGCTTCCGCGGGGGTAGGGGTCTGGTCTGCTGTGCTTTTGCCGTTGGAGGAGGCGAGGTACCAACGATAGATATCGTTATCGCCTAGATTGTTGACTCGTGTGATGGCGGCGTGGAAAGCTTGGAGCACAGGGAGAGATTCTGTGGCAAAGGCCGCACGCTCAGCCATTAATATGCCCTGCTCTCCATCAATTGTGCCCAGGAGAGCGATTCGGCGGCCATTTTGGTCTGCGGGGTGCTTTTATCAGTGCCAGTCTTTGCATCGCGGGGTCTAGGCTAGAGGCTGCGCAGGCATACCCTGTTTGAGGAGCTTGTTCACCTGGAACTTGGAGATAAGTGCCTCTGGGGCGGGCTTTGTTGGTTCTGGGTCAGCCATGATGATTTATGCAGACGGAGAGGTCAGATCAAGCGTTGAACTTGTCAATCTAGCGGGCGGTCAGGCTTATCGGTTGGATATATGCGGGATAGATCTATATCCAGAGATGTATGCCCCAGGCCTATAAGGTATGCCCTAGAAGGTCATGCTTCGCATCTGGCCAAGCCATAGCCTGGAATATCACTCAGGTCTTCTGTTATTCCACAAGTTCTGAGCCTGACAGCGACTGTCAACAGTAGGTACAAATGCAAAACATCCACCAGTTGACGATAGATCGGCTTTCTTGTACCACACTAAGTCGCACCCATGGATGCTTCCAAGGATGTCGGTGCAAAACCGAGGTTTTGTTGAAGGGATTCAACCTAAGTTGTTTATTCAATTGCTAGGATAGTGGATATAGTGCATGTAAATTGAACCGTCAGAACTCCCCAAGTCACCTTGAATTCTATAGAGCAACAACTCAAGCAGCAGTCTCCTGCCCGGTATTCGACGGGGCTGGGGCTGTGTGCATCTAGTAGTAGGTAGTCAGTATCATGGCTAGCAAAGTACGACCAGTAGGCATTCAAGAGAACATACTGCTTCCGCAAACTGCAGCCACTCCTCTACACCCTTGACAAAAGTATCATCCGCAGCGGGGACAGCTTCGTGTCCCCAGACTACAAAATCGTCAAAAGTTCCCTGGGTCTCGAGGATTTTGACTGGCTCTTCCGCCTCGGTTTCATCATCGGCGCCTTGATTGTCGGCCCGTTGAGTGGGAGGTAGCACACGGTCTGTTGGTACCGCAACAACGCCTAATAGAGCCCACATGCACAGTCAGTTCTCACATTCCAGTAGATTTTGGTATCCCGAGGCAGTTTCAGGACTCTTTTGAGGGTTGTTCGCACCTTGGTAGCCATCTGGAAGGACGACGCGCCGACCTCGAAGCTTGCGCCCACGGAAATGCGTTGTCTCTGTATTGCCTAGACATTGTGTAGGTAGTTAGTTTTCATTCTTTGGAATCATAGAGTGCAACAGATCCCCTAGTTTCTAGAGTCGCAAGTACCTTTCTCGTCCTTCACGGGCAACCAATACCGGTTGAGTGACTGGACTGGACCGTCATGGTGCACTCGACAGGGAATGATATTTGGTGTGTATTGTAAAGTCGATTCGGCTTTCTCGGAATTAGCCTTTGGGCCTTGAATTGCATACATATCGGGCATCGTGTCGCTATAGTCGTGGAGGTGCTAAGAGTTGTTCAGTGAAAGGGACGGAAGCGCGACGCGTGCTCCGCGTTAAGTGGAAATCCCAGTTTCTACAAGATTAACCAAAAACTACAGAGCCAACATCGTTTTCAATGAAAACAGTGATATCTCGAAATGATTTCATAAAATAAAATACAGAGCTACTCAATTGATGAGAATTGGGGGTATACATGCATATAAGCCTCAACTATACTCGTATCAGTTCACCTCTTACGAGTAGTCTTCTTCTTCTTCTTTTTCTTCTTCTCTCCTTCTCCCTTCTCTCTAGGATCGGCAATCATCCGTGCGGGCCACTTCTTCAGATGCTCACGCTCGAATGCGTCCTTTTCGCGTCGGTAAAGAGCCATTGTAGCCCTCGCATCCTCAACACTAGAATGCGCTCCGTCTTGAATCTTCAACCCCAGGAATTCCTCGGCCAAAATTTTTAAGCGCGGCGATCCACCGCCTGCGATTTTCCGGTATGGGGGGTGCTTGCTTGTGTCTCGGATATCGCGTTTCGGATGGCCGAGGAGAAGAGCGTCAAGATCGTTGCTGACGGCGTGACCCACGAGGATGCGACCACTCATGATCTCTGCAATTTCCTTTTGAACGTGCTCGAGGGTCCGGGCCTCAACCATATGTTTCGGAGCGATTCCACTGACATGCGTCCGCCAGTCGGTGACCATTTCCTTGGGTCGTACGTATGAGTCGTATATTTGGTCACCATTGAAGTTGACTACACTGACGCGCGCGAGCACAGAGTCATTGTCCGGGTTCGGTCCGACACCGACCATCTCACAATCCATTGCGACATATTTTCCAAGCTCCGCACTATGTCAAGTTAGTAACTGGCTCTCCGGGTAGCGGAGTTGTCCACTTACGTCGACGAACGGCCTTCATTTTCCTTGTACCGCGAACTTGTCTCAACTTTCACAGGAGCCTCTGAGTTTGATTTCCTTCGTGTAGCTGGAGTAGTGGACTCGCTCTCTGTCTCGGACATCCTCTTGCGTTTGAGTGGTTTTGAGTCTCGGTATGGTTTTCTCCTCTCAGTCAACTTTCGCTTCTTATCATCTGCGTCGCGGTCGGAGGCTTTGCGTTTAGGAGCGTCTTTCTTCAGCGTCGCCTGCAGCTTCTTCCAGTTACTGGAAAGGGCGGGCTTCTCCATGGTGGTTGTGAGAGGAAAGTTGAGAGATAAAAAGGCGATAAGCAAGTAAATTTTCGGGACCCACTTTTGTCCGATAGCAGGCCCCGGGGGCGAGTACCTAGGTATACTCCGCTACAAGTGGACTTTTAAAGCTCTGTACTCCTAGGTACCTAGGTAGGCACCTGGGCATTCAAGGTTTAGGTACGATATTTACGTCTCTGTAAAGGTATAGGCTGAACTTCAAAAAATATATTTGATCCTTTGGACCCATTATATGTGACAAAATGCACCCGCTTTTGAAAATATGCAGAATTATTCGTACCCAGTTCGGAAATCCTTCGCAGTCCACTTCTCTGTGATCTTTCTCTTCGCCTTGCGAGCCTGCGTGATGGGTGTACGAGACTCGAGCTTGCCTTGAACGATCAATGTGCGGAATCTGTCGTCTAGGAGGTTACCTTCCGGCTTCAGCAGACGTAGCGAGTCTTGCAGTTCATCCGGAAGAACCAACTCCAACGGCTGCTCGGGGGCACTAATACTATGTTAGTTGCGTGGTATAGAAGTGAAAAAGTAAGGGCGCATACCGCTTCTTGCCACCGAATGCCCTGCGGCGGAGGACAGTGTCGTCGCCCTCTTCAGAATCATCTGCATCAGACTGGTTTTCAGCGTCCTTCTCTTTCTGTGCAAGTTCTTCGGTGATCTTGGCGATGTGCTCGGCTTGGGCCTCTCGCTTCTGCATCTGAGCCTCCCACTTCGCTTTGCGCTCTGCTTCCTTGCGTCGCTTGATCTTGTTGCGCTGGACTTTGGTCTTGCGCTCGGGACGCTTCTTGTTCAACCACTCCGACTTCTCGTACTCGCTCTCGAAGCCTTCCCAGGCGCTCTCATCATCAGACTTCACCTCGCCATCGTCATTACGGGCCTCTTCGATCAAACGCTGCTTCTCGGCTTCCTTGGCTTCTTCTTCCAAGCGCTTCTTCTCGGCCTCTACTGCCTTGGCGCCGTGTGTTTCCAGCAAACGATCCCACTCCTCGAACACGGGGTTGTAACTGGTTCCTGCGTGCGGCATCTTGACTGATGGGACAGCCTTTCCATTGGCAGCGAGTGAGACTGGGGCATGTTTTAATGTGGTTGGCTCAACCTTGGGCTTGGGCTTCTGCAGGAAATCAAAACGGGGGTCGTCGTATGTGGTGCTGGGCTCCGCGTCCTCCGCCCAAGGATCGTAGAACTCGTTTTCGGTTTTCTTGCCGAGAGGCTGGGCGTCTTTGGCGACTTGCTTCAAGCGCTGGTATTCCTTCTGGCTGACCCAATCGCTCTTGGGCTTCTTGGTCTTGGGCTGAATGACTCCATCGGTAACATTGGGGTTACCGCGCTTGCGTCCGTCCAATGCTGGGATCATGGAGCGCTTGGCAAGGATTTCGTCTGACTTGAGGGGCTTGTGCTTCTTGGCGATAGACTTGCGGATATCTTCATTACCGGTGGTGTCGAGGGTGAAAAGCTCGTCGGAAGGCTTCTCGGTGACAAGACCACTATCGAAAAAGAATTAGACTTTCAATTCGCAGTAAAACTTCCCCATAAACAAAGACAGAGCCTTACCCTTTGATCTCTGCGTCAGTCAGTTGGCGCAAACCCTCTTGGACATCGGTAACGTCGACATTCTTGCGCCAAGCCTTCTTTCCCTTACGAGAAGGCTGCTTGAACTGTTTCGGGGCTTCCACAGAGGTAGACATTGTGGAGGTCAATAGTTGCAGACAAAGTCGACGTTGATATGAAAATTGACCCAAAGTTTCTTATCAGAAAAAAAAAATCTGCTTACGCAGCACCCGCGGGGGCGGTGGGGGCGGTTATCACGTTTAGCGCGCTAGAGGTCGACTGCACGCAAACTCATCTCCGAGCTGCCAGTGACGCGTGAAGTTCCCCATCGTCCGTGGGTTGTCATCTTCCATCTCACTGGAGGCAGTGAATTTATTCTTCGCATTTCCCTTCGATTTTAGGGGAGTTTCACTCGCACCGAGTGTGACCGTTCATCATGCCTGTCGTCAAAGGAGGTGTCTGGTGAGAGACCCGGACGGAACCTACCCATGCTTCATCGTCGCTAACATACCTCTAGGACCAACATCGAGGATGAGGTGCTTCGGGCTGCAGTAAGTATTCATGAAATGCCATGGATATTCAGCCAACAATAGATAAGCGCATTTACTGACTCGATCGCAGGTCTCCAAATATGGACTGAACCAATGGGCTCGAGTATCCTCGTTGCTCGCCCGTAAAACACCCAAGCAGTGCAAGGCGCGTTGGATCGAATGGCTGGACCCTGGCATTCGCAAGACAGAGTGGTCGCGACAGGAGGATGAGAAACTGCTGCACCTTGCTAAGTTGATGCCAACGCAATGGCGCACAATTGCCCCCATCGTCGGACGAACCGCCACACAATGTCTTGAACGCTACCAGAAGCTCTTGGACGAAGCTGAGTCCCGCGAAAATGACGAGCTCGGACTGGGAGGACCTGGCGAGGAGAGCGCTGCGCCCAGTGCGGACGATGTCCGCCGACTACGGTATGTCTTGGTTTCGCATTGTGCTACTGGATTTTCTGACATGTTCCAGACCTGGTGAACTGGACCCCGACCCTGAATCCAAGCCCGCCCGTCCCGACACAATCGATTTGGATGAAGACGAAAAAGAAATGCTGAGCGAAGCCCGTGCTCGTCTTGCTAACACACAGGGTAAGAAGGCCAAGCGCAAGGCTAGAGAGCGTCAACTGGAGGAGTCTCGGCGAATGGCTGTCCTACAGAAGCGTCGCGAACTCAAGAACGCCGGTATCAACGTTAAGGTTGTGACACGGAAGCCCGGCCAGATGGATTACAACGCAGACATTCCATTTGAAAAACCCGCAGCTCCGGGATTCTACGACACAATCGAAGAACAAAACCAAAATGAGCGCCAGCGTGAGGCCTTTGACCCGCGGAAGCAGCAATTGGCAAATAAGAGAAAGGGTGACCAGGATGATGACGCGGAGCGCAAAAAGCGCAAGAACGACAAATCAAGTGCGTCGGCTGCTTCAGCAGCTGCTCAGCGAGCCGGGCAAATGCAGAAGATCCGTGAGGCTGAGCAGAGCACCAAGCGATCAGCGCTGAGTTTACCCGCACCCCAGGTCGGTGAAGGCGAGATGGAGGATATCATCAAGATGGGATTGGCAGGCGAACGAGCCAGCCAATTGACAGGCGATGAGGACTTTACCCAGGGCCTGCTAGGGAACTACTCCACCTCTCTTCTTGGGGAGACTCCTATCAGAACCCCACGAGCTGCCCCACAAGAGGATCATATTGCCAACGAGATCAAGAATATTCGGGCTCTTAACGAGACACAGTCTTCTCTCCTTGGAGGAGAAAACACACCACTGCATCAGGGTAACGCATCAACTGGCTTTGACGGTATTGCGCCTCGGGCGCAGAACATCGTCACCCCCAATCCCATGGCCACCCCGTTCCGCCAGCCAAATGGTATGGGTGCCACACCCGGACCTAGCGCTACACCCTTGCGCACACCCCGCGACCACTTCTCCCTGAACCAAGGTGGGCAGATCATTGGCAGCACACCCCGAGACATCAAAAATCACGAGTCTTTTGTTCGCCAGCAGCTTCGCGGAAAATTGGCTTCCCTCCCCAAGCCGAAGACATCCGAATGGTCGTTCGATGAAATTCCAGATGAGACCGCCGAGCCCACTTTGTCGATGGAGTTAAGTGAAGAGGACGCGGCTGAGCGTGATCGCCGCGAACAAGAGGCCCGAGACAAGGCCGCAAAGGCCGAGTTCAAGCGTCAATCACAAGTATACCAACGAGGTCTGCCCCGACCCGCCGTTCTGGATCTGAACGCTTTGGTCCAACGCGCCTCTCAAGTCACCGGCGCCATTGAAGGCTTAATTGCCAACGAAGCTGCCGCCTTGATCGCACATGACTCCCGAAAATTCCCTGTTCCCGGAGCTCAGGTCGAAGGCAAGGCACCGAAGTTGCACCAACTTGACGATCGATTTTTGGATGCAGCACGGGCTTCAATTGCTGCCGAGATTGCTTCCGAGGCGCAACAGTCCGAATGGCAAGATAAGTTTGACGATGGCTGGTCCTCGGCTCGCGCCAAATCACTGCCTGGCCTTGAGAATTACGAAGATGATGAACAGGATGCATCCCGAGAAGAACAAAAATTCATTGGTGCCTTTGACACCGTCCAAACGGCCCTGTTTGCCACTGCTGAGCGTGGAAACAAGCTCGAGAAGAAGTTGTCTTTACATTATGGTGGATATCAAAACCGCGCCAAAACGCTGCGGTCAAAAATCTCGGAGGCTGGAGCTGCCCTGCCCGCGGCTACAAATGAGCTCGACGCCTTCCGCACACTTCAAATCTCTGAAGAGGCGGCCTTGCCTCGACGACTGGAAGGCCTTCGGGAGGCTGTTTCATTTGTGATGCGGCGTGAGCGTGAGGCCCAAGAAGTGTACAGGAGCCGGAAGGAGGAACTCGATGAGCTTGTTGCTGGCACTGCCACCATCAATGGATGGCGCTAGGTCAGTCTACATACTTTGGCGTGACCTAGACCGTACTATCTCGCAATGCCGTCTTTTGTACCAGTATCAGCAGTCTAATTTGACCTCATATGTGGTCATTCAGGAAGGAACATTCTTTCTATCGACACGGTTCCCTGCAAGTTTTTCCAATATATCCAATTTCCATTTTCCTTGAAGGTCCTCAGCGTCTTTAGGTCTCAGATATCTACGCCATATGTCAACGATCCTTGAGCGTGACAGAAGCAGAAATGCCGAGTTTTACCTAGGTAGCTGTCTTATGTGTAAATTTACGATGCACACAACACTTCGTGGTGTAGATTACTTTCTCAATAGCAACATTTCAGCCTGGTTAAGATCGATAGATGGTAAATTTGAGCTGCTGATCATCACAAATTCCCGGTATTTCTCGCGCTTCCAAGCCTGGTGATTCCTTCTTGCTGAATTCGCCCTCTAGATCCAGGTCGAACTATATAGAGACCAGTCATGTCAGGGCCACTCATGACAAGTTGATTGAAGGCTTATATGATCGACGTACCTCGCATCGTGAGATTCGAGTTTGAGGCTTTGGACCTCAGCCCTAACTGAGCATCAAAACAGCCTGGAGTCGTATCGTGAAAGCTCACGCTTTGTGTCGGGCGGGATAGGAATTTCATAATGGAGCTTATGCAGCACATCGATCATACGAATGAATAGCGCCGTGTTGCGGTCTTGGGCGATGCTCTCTTCATCAAGACTTCCGCGAAAGCGGAAGTGAGCAGCAGCCTTGTGAGCGTTGGCCTCGTAGAATTCGCGGGACTGATTGTGACCTTTTGCATAGATGTGCAAGGTAAGAGGCACATCTTTGTTTAGCTCACACAGCTCAATAATGGTGTCGTAGTCGGTTGTCCAGCCATCCCAGTTATAGAGGACAAATATGCATTCGGCGTTGATGGCACGGGCATCTTCCAGCGCGGCGGAGAGGTATTTGTTCGTGCGGCAGGTCAATGACTGTTTTCCGTTCGCTGGGTGGATGATTGTTTGGATCTTGTGAGGTCGGTCTCCAAGATTGGTATAGACTCGGCGATGTTGTAGGGAGGCCATCACCAGCAGGCTGCGTAGATAGTGGTGCATCTGCAGGGGGTTGAGCGGGACAAATCCCCATTCATGATCCCTCAGATTGCCAGCTCGTGCGACGAAGACCAATACTGCACCCATGGACTTTTCGCTGGTTGGGTCAGTGGCTTTTGAGGGCGACGTGGTTGTGCTGTGGTCTACCGCTGGGGGGGCACGGCCGTCGCCCTTGGGCTTGATTTGCAGCATTGCGAGCACGTGAACGAGACTGACCATGAACTGACTTGTTGACGCGAGAATTATGAGAGAAGGAGAAGAAGCGCAACAAATCAAAACAAAAGTGATTAGGGAAAGCGCTTGAGGGCGGTATCGTGGAAAGTGTAGGTTGCCTGGTCTACGATGCGATGTCGAGAACTGAGGCACGCACTTTTGGAACCTGGAAGGGAGCTTCAGGTGTGAACATACGTTTTGATTGGCGTATCAAGCACGACTATAGAAATTTGGTAATAATAACATGAATACTTAGCGTTACGCGCTTCACCTCTTCTTGATGCTGATATCAATCTTTCCAACGCCCCAAGCAGCGACAAAGACTGTGACCATACCAGCGAAAAGAGTGAAAGGCTTGCGAAGAGCGTCGAACATGGTGTGGTCGTAGGTGACCTAGAGTTGTTAGCTAAAGTAGGAGGAAGGGAATCGTCAAAAAGACTCACCACAATGGTGGCGTCACGAGCTTCGTCGGTCAAGCTGTCAACCTCCAGAGTCAAAGTGGTCCGGCCCAAGGTATCCATGTAAGTCTGCAAAGAGCTCAGGTTTGCTGAGATGTGGTTCGCGCCAGGAAGACCATTGCTGTTAGTTCCCTCGAGAGTCTCGAAGCGAACATTGTGAGAGCCCTCGGGCAAAACAACACGCACAACAACACGCTCGTATTGGATTCCTTCCGCCATCTTGGGGCCCTCGATGAGAGGAACCTTGAGGACATAAGAGTCAGAGTCAACACCTGCAGCACGGCGCAGGAACGAGGAAAGCTCGTTGTTCCAGCCGATCTTGAAGCTGTAGTTCCAGCCACCAAAGATAGGGTAACGGGGCTTCAGCTCCAAGTTCGCATTGTTCTTGCCAATGCTGGGACGGTAGCGGCTAGTGGACACATTGCCGATATCATCAATGAAGTAGGGGTCAACAGAGCCAGGCTGAAGAGGGTATACCAGCTCGCGCACTGCCGATGTAGGCGCCTTCTGGTAGTTGGTAAAGGTCCAGTCAACTCGAGAGAACTGCTTGCTAAGCTGCGAGCCATTATTGCGCAGCCAGTAGCGTTCCTCGGTAGCAAGGTTTCCACCCCAGTGTGAGACCTCCAGGTCACGCTCCAAGAGGTTCACTGTAATGACAGGCTTCGTGAATTGGTAGCGAACAGAGACTGGGTACTCGGTGCCCGGAGCCACCTTCGCGGTATCGTATGGACCGTAAGTGTAGGTAGCGCCCTTACGCTCAGGGTCAGAGCCGGACTTGAGGCCTTCGGTGCTTGTGTAGTCTGGCACATCTGTGCTGGGGAACTTCAGCTTGGTCTTCTGAGTGACAGTCGTGTAGGCGGATGGAGTGTAGGCAGAGAACGAGTAGGACAGGTATTGCTTGTCAGCCTGTCCAATGGTCGCAGGAAGCGGGCTGAGAGAAGAGAGAACGGAATACGAGATGCCTAGAGTGATCTGTGATTTGGGAGCCAGAGGCTCGGGAAGGTGAACCACGAAATATTGGTTGCCACTGATTGAGATGTTAGAATTGTGATCCGCGGCATAGCTATAGCATTGCTCCAGCGAGCCATTGTCGCCCCATTTGGTACTCACCTGGATGATACAGCCTCAGTGGCATCCACTTCAAAGCGTCCCTTCTCGGGTGCCTTCTTATCCCGCACTTCGAAGCCTCCAACAAGCTCAAACACTTCATCGGGGAAAGGGACGTAGTAATCGGTCTGGGACTTGCTGTCCACATTCTCCACCACAACATTGATAGTCTCCCTCACGTAGCCCTTTTCAAGGTTGGTGCTCCGAACCAGATTTGTGTTCTTAAACACCTGCGGGGGCTTAAAGTCCGATGCGAGATCCAGTCGACTAGGTGTCTTAAGGCTGGTGGCGGCGCACAGGCTGGGCGCAAGCAGCCCAAGCACCGACGCGGTAAAAAACCTCATGATGACTGCCGGGGGTATTCAATTGCTCCGAATCAAATAGTCATCCAAGATGTGATCGTTTGGGGTATTTGATGGAAGCTCTAGTCGCGAAGGGGACACATCAGCATCATACGGCAGGCGCAGCGGCCATAACGCGCACTCCGGCTTATCGATAACAAGCTTCTCCTCATCTCGGAATCTTTACTTCTCTACTCCGTACTCCATACATTGCTCCTCAACTTGCAGAATATTGACAGTTGAGCTTTCAACTGATCTCTATTCATTCCCGAGGCAATGTTGACCCAATCCATGTTTGCCTCTCGGGCTGTCTTAAAGTCTGGCTGCTTAAGAGCAACTCAACTGTCGCGTGCTCGCAGGTACCATGACTTTGCTCAGAGCAAGTTCTTCAAGGTTTCAGAGGAAGTGCGGGATGCCGTTGCTACTGGGAGACCAGTTGTGTCACTGGAAACAACAATCTATACTCACGGTGAGTTTGGCTGTCTACCGTTCTGTAGCCGGGGGATCAACACCTCTCAGAAGCGGGGATGCCAAGGCTGATCAGCTGCAGGATTCCCATATCCCGATAATGTTGCACTGGCTACAATGCTGGAGTCTGTTGTTAGAGCTAATGGTGGTGTACCTGCAACTGTGGGCATCGTCAATGGTGTGGCTAAGGTTGGTCTAAGTGGGGATGAGCTCATTGAACTTGCCTCCACAGTGGAAAAGAAGAGTGCTTTGAAAGTGTCTCGTAGAGATCTGGGCTACATATGTGGCATGGTGAGTGGATTTTTTTTTTTTTTTTCTCAACACAGATTATATCGCCCAAGCTCACCTACAACAGGGCCTGGCTGGCAAACCAATGCATGGCGGTACAACCATCTCTGGCACCATGATCCTCTCGGAGCTCGCTGGTATCAAAATCTTTGGCACTGGAGGGCTAGGTACATTAACTTTCCCAGAACCAACCCGAAGAATGCCCCAACTAACACATGACAGGTGGTGTGCATCGCGGAGCAGAGAACTCAATGGACATCTCTGGTGAGGAAAGCTTTGACATGAATGATATTTGACAAGGACTAACGGACTTAAAGCTGATCTCACTGAGCTGGGTCGTACCCCTGTGACGGTCATCAGCTCTGGCTGTAAGAGCTTCTTGGATATACCTCGAACGCTTGAGTATCTTGAGACTGAAGGCGTTTGCGTTGGTACATTTGCTGATGGCCGCGAGGGCTCGGTTGATTTCCCGGCTTTCTACACTCGAGACAGTGGATTCCGGAGCCCTCGAACCATTCAAAATGAAGCCGAGGCGGCCGCGATTGTTTGTGAGTTCATCACTCATTTCACACAGACTGATTATTGACGATCTCCAGATGCACAGTCAAAGCTTCCGGTAAAGTCTGGGATTCACTTTGCCAACCCAGTCCCCTTGGAGTCCTCCGTCCCGAAGGCCGAGATGGACGTTGCGATCGAAGAAGCCATCCGTCTATCCCACGTAGAAGGCTTCCACGGCAGTGACAACACGCCATTTGTGCTTGCCAAGATCAAAGAACTGAGTGGCGGAAAGAGCGTAGTCGCTAACAGGGCTCTAATCGAGTCGAACGTCAAGCGTGCAACCCGAGTAGCCGTGGAACTTGCCAAGCTTGAAAAGGCTGACCTAGGAGCAGGGTCTCGGTGAGTTCTATGTCTAGAAACGAGATATGAGATACAATAAACGCTAAGTCTGGAGATTGTTTTCGTTATAGCCACATGCCAGCAATTCCAAGTGTAGCTTCGCTCAGCCAAGCCACTTCGCAAGTTCAAGATACACCTGAACCGATCTCAGCTTCACCTGTTGCACCAACCGAGGAAGCAGACATCTTGGTTGCCGGTTCCCTCGCCATTGACCTGTCCTGTGACTATACTCCGTTCGGAGACGAGCGCACGCAGGTAGCACCTGTACCGCACACCTCGAACCCAGCAGTCATTGGGCAGAGTCTTGGGGGTGTAGGACATAACGTCGCTGTGGCAGCTAGCTATGTCGGCAGCGAGGTTCTGTTTTGCAGCGTCGTAGCAGACGATCTGAGTGGCCGCGCGGCGCTTTCGACTCTCGAAAAAGAAGGCCTTAGCACCGCCGGTATTCAAGTCCTGCCTGCGACCACTGGCACTCGCACTGCGCAATACATCGCTATTAATGACATTAAAAAGGATTTATTGGTAGCCATGGCTGACATGGGAATCGTCGAGCTCCCAGAAGCACAGCTTGACTTTGACGGATTCTGGGAGCCTCTGATCGAGCGTACAAAGCCTCGCTGGGTGGTCGTTGATGCCAATTGGCGACCCGAGGTCCTGGCCAAGTGGAGCAAGATGGCGCAAAAGCACGGTGCTCGTGTGGCTTTCGAACCAGTCTCAACGGCCAAGTCTCGACGTCTCTTCGGCGGTGATTCCAACGCCTCGGGGGCGGCCATCGGCCCAACCCAGACTGTGCCCAACAATGCTATCAGCCTTGCCTGTCCAAACCGGCTTGAGCTGACTGCTATGTACACCGCTGCCCGGGAAGCGCTTCTCTTTGAATCAACGGGCTGGTGGCACGTCATAGATTCAATGAATCTGTCTCCAGCTGGTTCACGCCAGCGACTCGTCGCACTCACATCGCCGGAGCTTGTTGACGAAGGCATTCCACAGCAATCTCTCCAGCTTCTTCCCTTTATTCCCTGCATTGTCACCAAGCTGGGTGGTGCTGGTGCCCTCGTCACTCAGCTTCTGCCACCTGGTGACCCTCGTCTCACAGACCCTGAGTCTGCGCCATATGTCATTGCCCGTGTGCCACCCAATACGGACGTTCCATTCGGTGGTGTTTACATGCGCCTATTCTCGCCTGGGGCCATTCTCGGCGAAAACGACATTGTTAGCGTTAATGCGGCAGGTGATACACTGCTAGGTGTTTTGGTGGCCGGTTTAGCTAAACAGGGCCGGTCGGCACGTGTCGAGGAGATTGTACCGATTGCCCAAGAGGCAAGTCGAAAGACCTTGGCTAGCGCCGGGGGTGTTAGCAAGGACCTTGTTGAGCTACGGTCTGCTTTGGAGCTGCAATAAAAGCATGGGCACTGGTATACATACTTGATAGCGTTTGTTGATATCCCAAAACCTGAATAGCTTATCATTCCGAAGTTCCCCCAAGCCGTAGTCACCGGTACTCTATAGCAAAACTGGGCAGGTACCAATGGGGAGATGCTTTGCACCTCATGTTGAACTCTTTCATTTGGTGGGCTTTCGAGGTCATTTCGAGGCTGAGCCACTGCCTCAACGGCACATGAGAGCCTAGCTCTGTTAGATACACTTGGACTACGGTCCTTGGATTTGCATATCAAGTCGGGTGTATTTGGAAAGATACAGCCACAATCCTGAAAAGATATGCAAATGTTTCTGTTGTCGCCCCTTCAACTATGTTGCTGCTCACCATGCGCCAATGGCAGCAACCCACGATCTATCACTCCAACCTGAGCGAGCACGCTTGCCTGGTCCCAATACAAGCTTTGCCGTGTGATCTGGCCAGCACAGAAACCCACGACTACAACAATGACGACTTGAATTGCCTGGTCCGTCGGCTGAAGACCAGGAAGAAGCCAAGGTATCTCCGCTGTATGACGACAGGAAAATGTGATTTCATCAACAATGCGATCAGATCCAACTGTGCGCGACAGCAGACGGACCTGCTGATCGGCTGGTCCATTAGGAATGAAGACATGAGTGAAGAAATCTCTCAGGGATGAGATAGTCGAGCCTAAAATCATCAGCATGCGTACCACCAAATATACCAGCTGATAAAACTCACCTCCAGCCCCAGTAGGAACACACTTCACAGATGATACTCCAGCTGGACAACCAAGCTCACCGAAATGACCATGACTCGTGAGTAAATTGACAGCAGGCTCAGCAACGCTGCCATGGTTTTCCCTCCGGGTCTCCAGCTCCCCCCAAACTCGATCCCAATACTCCTCCCAAACAGTTTCGATATCAACAACCGCCCAGTGGCTCCCAACGCCAAATGAACGTCGTAGACAGCCCAGCGCTCTACTCCACGCTAACTGTGCACTGATCTCGTCTTCTGTGTTGACTTCCTCGTCCACCTCCCCTAATTTGTCCTCTGCGATATCCTTCTCTGCGAACCCGGCTCTGGATCCCGCGTATGAGTAGACGTGGCATCTGTGTCGCTTCTTATACGTCACATCTCCTTCTGATGAACTGAGACTAATCCATGGCCAAAGTGCACAGGGTTGTACGCGAGGGCCGGGGACATGGATTTGGATCGGGAGGTATGTTGATTTAGGGCCTGGATCGAAGATGCTGCCAGTATCGGAGCAACCCGGTGGCGAGCAATTGTCCTTTTGTCGATATGTGTATTGGTCCGTTGATGATAGAGGATAGTAGGCTATTAGAGCACAGAGACGTGGGAAGGGGTTTGTGGTGCTGTGTGTCATATGGTGCGAGGCGAGGAGAAGGTAAGCGGGACGGTGGTATGCTGATATAGAGAATCAGCAAATGCTTGTACATCAGGATGCGATGCTAGAAGAACTCCAACCCTTGGAATTTCTGATCGAGTTTTCCATTGAGAAAACTTACCAACAATCGCATACCGCTCTCCTGTTTCGAGCTCATCCTCTTTCAGATGTACTGCATACTCGAGGGCTTTGCGATCTTTGTCTGCGTCTCCACTGCCCATGAAGGGAAGATATATCACATCAAAGCCTTCTGCTTGAAAACAATGAATCACATTTGGGTCGAAATGAGCTGTATCGGAAATCAATAAGAGGTGACGAGGAGACGGCTCCTCATAGCGTTGGCTCCGTTTGCCGGAGCTCGAACTGACAGTTCGTTGGAGTCCATGGGGGTGGGAAGCTGCGGAGTTAGGCCCTGTAGTCTCTGCCTGTTCTGGCGGGCTACTGCTGGAGCTCTGTGCTCGACGTTTGGTGAAGCGTTGGAATACGTTGACCATGTTCGTCCGGATGCGGCTGGGTGAAGGACTGTACTCCGTAGGGCTGGACCGAAACCCCTGTTTATAGGTCGAAAGTTGTCGGAGTGCTCGGGTTCGGAGTCTCTTGGTATTACATATGTCAAGACATGAAAGTGACTGCCTTGCGGGTGCCAGCGGAATGCCAATGTGATGCCAATGTCTTAGGGTTTCTTGGATTTCTTGGTGTGACGTCGATGATTCATCGATGGGCAAAGCCTTGGGAAAACGTACTCAAGACACACTGGACTTATGAATTCGGTCATATATATGCAAAATCATACGATCTAGTAATTTTGTACTCCAAAGATCGGCATGGAAAAGTAATCCGCAATGCAGGATGATCTCACCTCTCACCAGCCCTACAGCCCTCATTCGAAACTGACCAACCACGCACGGTCTTCGCCCACTTTTGATGTCGATGCTTTATTCTCGAAAAAGTACGCCCTATAAGCTTCACGCATCAAGCTCTCGCGTGCAACTTCACAGTCCACCCGGATATCTTCCACCAGAGCTTCCAACGAAACGTAGTCAAACTCTGGCCGGATATAACCGAGAATTAGCAAATTGAGTTTTGTCGTATAGAAATCAGGAAGTCGGTTGAACTGAGTCTGCCCATCCTGTGCTGCGGCGGTAGGAGAGGGTTCTGTGAGAGCGGGCATGATGTGGATTTCCTACATCAAGTCAGTAAGACTGCGCATCGAGGAACTGCTGTCCATTGAAAAATTGCGCAGGCTGGAAGTGATGACTTACCACTGAGCGCACGGTATTCTTATAAAATGGGTTGTATCCGATGCTCAGTACGGCAGGTAGTATCACCGCAGAGGTATCCGACGATGAATCATGCTGATATGTCTTAGGATCCAGCGCAACGACGCCATAGTACACGCCAGTTGTCAGCTCTGGGTGCTTCTCTGATAAGTCGTCGGCGGGGATGTTCGCAGTGGGAATTCCGAGCTGCAGGTTGAACAGTGAGTCAGCCTTCTGTCCAGTGAATGTATCCGCGCGCATGGCTATATGATGATCGAAATCAGAGAGTCAACCCACATCTTTGCTTCCACGTCCGAATCCCTTGATCACAGGTCCTGATAGTCGCACGGGATAGGGAGCTTCGGGGCCCTCGTCGGGGCCGGCCACCGGGTCGCGCGGCTTGTCGGAGCGCATCGTGATCTCTGTTGAAACAAACGAAGGATGCTTGTTATAAAAGCAGTATTTCTGCCGCTATTCGTGTCTTGTTCCAGGAATATCGATTGTGTAATCGAGTAGTGTTTCGACGTGATGCTGTCCACGGGTCGACCTCGGAGGATTGGTAAATACGACGGTGGGGTTAATCGCGATAAGCCCGACTATTTTATTAGATGCCTGATACGTCAGGCATCGGTGATTTCGAAAAGGTCTCCGGACCTCCCGAGGTCGGGAGTGGCCTCGGCTGAGGTTGATTTAAGCTTATTTTTCTTTGTTCACCGAACTTCGGGCACGAGGTCACCTGTGACCCCACTCAATATCGTAGCATTATGCTCCCATATAGTAAGAATCCCTTCCTAGAGACATCCTCTCCCTTTTGAGCGCCGCAAAGCAAACCAGAGAAATATATCGACAAGTCTGGAATCGGTTCCAGATGTCCGAAATCATAACGTATATACAAGATAACGTGGAAAGAAGTCACGAAGCATGTCAACAGACAAAGGGAGATAAAGGCGGAAACAGGGGGAATCATACAATCCCAAATCCAGGAACTATGTACCGAAAAAAATCAAAGCAAAATAGAGACAGGCATGGTGGTAGAGCCTTGTCGAGGGTATGAAAGAATCAAACGAGATAAGAAATCAAATGCATGGCAAGAACTAAAACGGAAACAGGTTAGTACACGGCCAAGAAGAAGGCCACGAACAAACTTACATTCATCACAATGAGCATTGGAATGTCGAAAACATCACGTTTGACTGTCCAGCAGTACGCGCATTCGACCTTTCCATCCTTGAAGCCAAGCTGGTTCATACCAGCCTCGCCAGCAATCCCACCCTTCCGTAGGTGACTGTTCCATTTGCCGTCGTCGGCTCCACCCTCCATATCCTCTTTGGTCTTGTATTTGAGGAGCTTGCACTTCGTCGTGACACTACCGCGGGAATCGCCGAATGCCAGACGAGCAAAGTCCTCATAGAACTCGACGACACTGTCGTCATCAAGAAGCTCGGCTAAGAAGACGGGTTGCGGACGGCCACCGGAGGAGCTTTCTAATGTTGAGCTCCGCGGGGTGAAACTGCCACGCGACGTTGTGCCAGACTGGGGTACCCCTGACCCGCCGGTGTTGACGTTTAAGTTTGCTTCCTTTCCTAGAAGAACGTCTTTCTTCCATCCGGTAAGAATGCTGAACTCTTTGCCGACGGCGGCGATCTCGCCAGTGCGACGACAAACGATGGTGGGTGTACCACAAGCATTGATGAAATCTTCATATTCCCATAGAGTTCGCTGGAAACATTTCTCCATGAAAATCAGATCATCGCGATTGAGTGTTTTGGTAGTCGCAATAAATGAGGGTCGGATAGATGCGAGTGCCTTGGCGATTCGCACGGTCTTCTGGGGCGTGAACCGACGTTGGATGAAAGCAGTCAGGTTATGGAACCCACTTGTGTAGGCATACGGCTCCTTCACACTCTCGTATATTGACGATGGGTTACGATGGCGTCGTTTCGGACCCACATGTAGGTTAGATTGCTTGAGGATCGACGCTGATGTCACCTGGCGCTGTCCATTCGGCACTAGGCTATTGGACTTGGAAGGGGCGGGGACACTGAATGGACTTTCTTCGAATGCTGTCGTCGCGATGTTCGGGCTAGGTGCAGATCCAGGACTTGTGAAGTTTGCCGGACCACTTTCGATCGCAAACGCATGCGGTGCGCTCGCCTTCATGTGCTCAGGAAGCATGCCGTTCTGGCCATATACGCTGCCGACATTCACGTGCTGACCGGAGCTCGGTGCAGCCGACCATTCATTTAGTAGAGGATCGCCGAACATGAAAGGTTGGTTTCCAGGGCTTTCACCAAATCCAGGAGCTGGTGTGGAGAACTGTGCAGATCCGCTGCGGCCGATCGACCCGCGGTTTCCTGCGGAATCGGTCGGAGAGTCACCAGCCCCGGTGGCCATGTGCCCAAGCATGCCAAACTCCAGAGCGCCGTAACGGTTCTCGAAATTCATGCTCGATAAGTCGAAATTAAACAATGCCGGATCACTAGGATCGAAGAACGGTCCTGCGAACGGATTTTGCGACTGGCTTGCATCTCCAGCAAGGGTGGGGTTTGGAGTAGGCTGTTGGTTCACACTTGAAGAAAGACTAGAATTCCGGCCATTGGTACTGTTCTTCATGTTGAAGGTAGGCGAAACGGGCGATTGCGTTGTGAAGGGGCTTTGGCTCAAAGGTGGATCTTGATATACATTGTATGGGCCTGGCTGTGGCTGAGGCGTAGGGTAGAAGTTGTTATTAGTGGGGGTAGGTTGTTGGCTGTGCTGCTGACTGTGCTGATGGGCGTGCTGCTGATTTGACCTCACGGAGCTGGAGCCATTCCGCGACAAGGGGAGATTATTGCGAAGCGTGCTGTTGTAAAGATTGCCGTTGCTGTTGTTGTTACCGCTCACAGCTGGCATCAATGCTCCGTCTGGCGCGTCGTGGAGATACTTCGCCTTCTTGCGAACGCCATCATGGCACGCATCTTGAAGGCCGCGCTTGATACAACGCTGACACGGTCGTTCATCGCCTAAATTGACAGAAAATGAGTCACATGTCTAAGGGGGGTTGGGATCGATATTTCACCATACCGCAGGTCAAGTGAGCTCGCTGACACGCAAAGCAGGCTCGTCGGGCCTTCTTCCGCCGCGGTCGCGAGGGGTCCTTGGCATTGGCAGCTTTGCGGTCCGTCTTGCTATCACCATTTGTCTTGGGCTTTACGTCCATTTGCTCATGCTCCGTGATATCAGCAGAATCGCGATCTCCGCTCGGGTCTGCAGGAACCGGGGATTCGATCTTGGCTCCCATGTTCATTTCGGCATGTATTCCGAGACGGATAAATTCTAGACACTTGCACGAGATTGAGGTGAGTCACCGGTTTTAAGATCACAGTCCCGTTATTATGCCAGGGAAGTCCGGTCTAAGCGACTCAAGCGTAGTGGCGACAATACCAATGATACCATCCAAGCCGCGATGTCGACGGGCGAACGGGTCTCCGTGCGCGATATTCTGTCCCGAAAATTAAGAAAGAGACGGTCGCAAAGGATTTTCCTTGCTTCTGAGCTCTTCCGAATTTCCAAGATCACTCCCGAGGTCCTCGAGGTTGAAAGGTATATTTGAGTCCTATAATCGCGCGTTTGCGACTAGAGCTAGTGGGGAATCGGAGTGGCGGCGAGCCGAATCACTGTAATGGGAGGCAATCGATCGAAGGTGCGACGGGTATGTGATCTGACACATTGAAGGACTGCAGTGTGGTTTACAGAGAGAATATTGTTCGAGCTGACAAGAGAAGAAAAATGCCGCAACGGTTCGGGCGCGGCTGAATTGGAGTGGAGAGGCGGACAGGACTTCGGCTGCGGGGAATCTGCAAAGTGCTCTCCAAAAAAGAAAAGAAAGAGTACCGTGAGGCCGGTTAAGGAGCCGGTGGGAGAAATGAGGAGTAAAAAAGTAGGACTCGCAGGTATGCGCGGGGAAAGGTAGAAAGCGGATGACCGTGAAGGCTTCGGAGTGTTCCCGTGACTGGTGTCTAAGCATCAACAGGCAAGACTTCAACAGTCCAATTGCAAAGAGCCAAAATGAACTCGCGTGAGAGAACTAGGATCTGAAGGCTGTATTTTACTGCTGATTTTTTCTGATTTTTTCCCCATCCAATTTTACTAAATTTTTTAGGGCCCTGTTTCGCTCTGCTGGGCAGGGCTGGATATACTTCATACGAGGAATAGCCACTTTTTACCTAATTTAAAATGGCGTCTTTTTTTTAAAAAAAAAAAAGAAAAATCCCTCTTGCATTGCTGCCCAACAAGGATACTGGGTATTTCCCCAAGATAATAAACCACCTTCAAATGTCATTCTCCATGGAGATCGGCTCTTATACACTCACATGCTGACGTTCAACGCCGCAGCCACTGGAGGAGCAAAACCCCGGCAATTGATCGCTGTAACAGCGGTTACCGACTTCGATGCATTACCGGAAACAGGTGGTAATTTTGACGTGTTTGAGGCTTGTGATTGGCTGAACCGCGGTCCAGTGCCCGATCGGTATCAACGCATACGGGATAACCGTAACCCCGCGGCTGGGGCAATTGCGCACGTGTGGGACTGTCCAGGGCTATTGTATAGCCGCCTTTGGACTTTAAGCACGCATGGTGAAGACATACGGAATTTCACTTGCTATTGCACCACTTCAAACCTCAGATATGGACTCCGCTTCAGCAAGGCCTCAGCGAGACTTTTCACGGGTTTTCGGGTCGTGGATCGGTCCCGTTTTGTCCCGAGGGTCGCTGAGCGTGCTCTGCCGAGGCTAGGTCGACAATACCGCTCATATAGATTTGGTCGATTATCGACGGTTGGGGATGACTGCCTGTGAAAGGAAAGCGGGACCACATGATGCTCGTTTCTATTGCAACTGGCCTGGACTGGGAGGTGCCGTCGGAGAATTCAAGACCGGACTTGGCCCGTTCGGTCCGCATCCGCCCAATCTCCAGGATAAGGTCCTACTACGGATCCTAGATGTGCCAAACGCGCTAGTAGTATCAATGTTGTCACTTGTGGCCTGGTCATTGTTAGACACGACAACTACTGGGTCTTCAGAATACACACGACTGAAAGCAAAGTGCAGCGACATGGCGGTCATCCTTCCAAGGTTACCGGCCATGTATGCTTGCATTATTTGTTATGTTATTAGACTTTGCAGCTACAGGCGGCATATTTCCGACGTTGCAAGAGGTGCCGAGTCTCGACTTAGTGACGGGCCAAGTTTGAACGCATCCTCAGCGATATCTCCGAGGAATTCCCCCAGCATGTGGTCATGGAGGGACCGTGAGTCTCTACGACACTGCGTATTCAAATGAGACCAGTTGAAGGTGGACTGAGATGCAGCCGCACCGAGGCAAAGTCTGTGGGTGCCCTCGCAAAAGAACAGCCCAGCCAGCAACGACGTAACTTAATGAGGGTTGAGAGTACCATATGTGCACGGTAGCTTCGATCACATCTGCGAGGTTGCAAATCGACTCTTCTTTCGGATTTGACTTCCGTATCGATAAAAGAGGTATCTGGTATGACTGTCAGTATACATTGTTTGAGGGAGAGTGTGGACTGGACTTGGATCATCCACGTAGAGCCATGGCCACACCCAACTGGGATATCAACCTCATCCCATTGGCTGGAATGTCACTCGAGGTTCATTATGCAGGGGTAGGCTGAAGGTTTGATCAAAACAGAAAGGGAAGTAGACAAAAATATGGAAGGCTCATATCGAAATTAGCACTTACGGGAAAGGGGTCATGACAAGGGTTAGAAACGCGAGCAGTGAAGTTGCCCAGTGAAAACCAAGGTTGTTGTACACTGCATAGCCGTTAGTTATAATTCACACCTTAGCGTGTATAACCAAAGAGAAAGCTTGGACATTGAGCAGAGCTGCAGAAAAACTTGTACAAGATACAATGCACCGGCCCGCAGGTGAGGAGACCGCTCCCATATGCAAAGCACAGACACTGGCCGACTTCTCGAAAGACGAACACGGGAAAAACTTACTCTGAATACCAAACAGAGGGAAGATGCCTCCGAAGGATGACCGGGTGAAACTATTGGCGGCCAGCGCGCTGGCGGCAAATGTTGGGTACGCATCGACCAAGAAGGTGAAGATGCCAGAGTATACTAGGATTGTCCTAGAAGTGACACGGCCTATTAGTATCACAAGATCAATAGACCAAGCGGCCGCAGTCAGGGATTCTGAGACCAGCGGGGTGGTCTGGTCAGGTCAGGTGGACTCCAATGATTGAACTCACCCTGCACCAAAAATGGCACTGCCAATGATAGGCGCGATCCAGTGGACATCAGGGTAGATGGTCCAAGCAAATATAAACAGGCCTATAGTGACCAAAGGACCACCTAAGATGGCTGTCTATGGTATTAGCCATATTCTCGCGCCACCAAATCTCGAAGTGGCATGGATGGCTTACCTGAGGGAAGTCGCCATTCTGGTTGGAAATCATCGAACTTGTTAGTTGCCTTCTCATGGTTACGCTCCAGGCGGATATAGTTCCAACGCCAAGCCGGATCCGACAGGATTGCAATAACCATGCCCACGAAAAGACCAAGGAAACATAGACCGCGTTGCCAGATGACCATGCCGTAGACTTCGGAGAAGACTAGCTGAAAAGCGCCGAAGAACAGGTATAGAATACCCAGCAGAATAGCCGAGAAGATACAGAGACACAAGCACATAGGCTCTAATGTCAGGAGAAGAACGGGGCGATACATCGAGCGCAGAACGGTTTGAGCCACTGAGCGGTCGAGTTTCTCAATCGGGGCTTTCCATCGGTCGTCTCCGGTTTCCTCGCGGAGCTTCTGCGCCTTGCGCCTCAAAAGTCTAAGATTGTTAGAACTTCCTATTTAGATTGCAGCATCGGAGATCCATACACAGGATGATATGTCTCAGGAACAAGGAAGATCATCGACATGAGCAGCACGGCAGTCCATATCAGGAGAACGTAAAACACCCAGCGCCTCAGTATCATGTTAGCTTGATTTGTTTCGTAAAGATAATCTAGAAACTCACCAGCTGGTATATGCATTGATGAAGCCACCGACCCTAATAGTATACCGTCAGTCATCAACATATGCAACCTTGGAATGCGATAGGACCCAAAGCATCACTCACAGAGGGCCAACTTCAGGTCCTACGAATGGACTCGCAGTGTAAAGCATCATGGGAAAGGCAAGCTCATGACGATCGAACATATCGCCAACCGTACCACCAGCAACACTCAAGAACGCACTGCCAGATAGTCCATTGAAGAATCGAGCGATGAGCATAGTCTGGGTGTTCTTGGCCACTGCACACGGCACAAGCCACACCAGGAACAGTGAAAATGAAACGATGTAAATGTTTCTCCGGCCATAGAACTGTCTGAAATTAGGTCAATCCAAGCAAGAAGAAAGAGGCAATTGACAAACCTCGGACAAGGGACTCAAGAAAAGCGGACCAATTCCTACAAACCAACGCATCAATATATTGCCCAAATCGACACCAAGTTTTGGTATCAGGTAACGAACCAAGTCCCCAGATAAAGAACGACAAGCCAAGAGTCGCAACCTCCTGCGAGCAACCGAATTCGCTCATCAATTGATTGTATGTTGTTGTATACATCGACGAGGTACACGTCCTGTCAAGGGTGAGCGCAATGCACGCGCGCAAAACCGTGCATCAAATACTTACACGCAAAGCGATCCCAGTGAGACAATGATCACAATCAACCACCGACGACCTTTGCTCATGTTGCGCGGATTGAGTGGATCGTTCTCGTCCCAACCGACGGTGTACTCGGTATCCTGGTCCCCGCCAGCTTGATCATTGCCCACGATACTAGTTCCATCATTTAATGACCATCGCCGCTCAATAGATTTCATAGATTTCGACCCATTCGAGCGCTGTGCTTGGAGTGGCGCGCCGTCGTGGACAGCCGATGTGGCGATCGGAGCAAACGTCACTTCTTCGGATTTGTATCGGTCCAGTTCGGTTTCGCTTTGAGCGGAGTCGGCCATCTCTGTCTTTTCTCCGGGATGGGTATCTTGCGATACACTTGACCGCGATGACATTGTGGATTGCTGGTTAGGTTGGTTTCATTTGTGTTTTAGGAAAGTCTTTCCGGCAAGAGAGCGTTAATGGGATCCAAGATCGCTGGGCCAGAGAAAAGAATTTGTCGAGCGGAGTCACTGATTAAGAAGATCGGGAGATTCGCACGATTAGAAGCCGAGCTGATCAATCACCGGAGATTTAAAGTCGTTACGGGGGACAATTTCCGTGGCAACTTTTTGGGGTGATCTCATCCCGAGTAGCCGAAATTTGGGGTATTACATTAGAGTTTGATATTGACTAGAGCCTGGAACCTACCTCAGTATCAGATACGGGCCAATATTAGAATTGGAAGTGTATGTATACTGCCCAGGTGTGCCCAGCATGTGGACACGAGGATCGGAAAAGCCGCCAAATTCCCCGACGGAACTCCCACGTGGACTGATAAGCCAATCTAAATCCGAACCCCTTACTTCCCGAGCTCGGGAGCTTCGTGCTCTAAGGCTCTACCTAGTACTAGGTAGTACTTTTATATATTGATTGCCAAGCTTGGAAAATATGTTATGTTCAATTAAACTACAACTAAGAGTAATTCGTCAACATCGCGCCGAGACACCATGCGGGATCCAATTCCCAAAAGTGATAACCAAAAGACCGGTTCGCCAATTCCAAACACCTGATAGTCATCAATCTGATCCTATGAGCGAACGCAAACACCAAATGTGAGCCAAATACTCCGTGAGCCATCCCAAGGCTGAGCTATACAAGAGAAAGAAAAAAAAAGATGCGCCGGAGGTTTCCTGAGTTGCTTTTGTGGTCAGCTCTACAGAGCCTGGCTGAGCTAGCTCATGGCACCACCAGCGTTCTCCTCAGCCCAAGAGCCCCAGAGTGCCTGCTTGCCATGGATCTCCAGGGGGCCACCGATAGACTTGGTGCCCTGGTCAACCTTTACGGCATCCTTGGTGGCCAGGACCAAGACTTCAAAGAACATCTTGGTGGCATCGGCCTTGGATGAGCGCTGCTCGGGAAGCATGTCCTGGAACAGCACACTCTTCTTCTGCTGGGTGGAGGAATCACCCAGCTTCTCACGGAGGATGTGCACAGCGTGCTTGGTGCCCATCGAGACCGGCTCGGTGTCCACAGGGTGGGCGATAGTATCCTCCATTTCCTCCAAACCTTGCCCCATACCAGCGTCATCACTGAGGTGCAATTGCTCGCCATCATCGGCAGGGAAATCAATCTCAGAGCGCTGGTTCATAGTGGTGTCAACAGCAATACCCTCGTCGAGGGAAACCATAGGCTCCTCGTCGCCAAGCTCAAGAGCGGGGACATCAACGGCAGCGACATCAATGTCAGAAATTCCACTGTCACGCTTGCGCTTCAGTTCACCAGCCTTCTTCACAGAGTCCAAAGAGAGCATGCCACGGAGCTCAGGTGCCCAACCGCGTCCACGGTCCTCACCGAACACGCTCGACACGAAGTCGCCGTTTTGCTGGCGGGTCATGAGTGTCAAGAGAACTGGGTCACGGGGCAAGAAGGAAGCAGGCTTCATAATAGCGGAGCGATCGTTTTGCTGGTCCTTGAATTTGGAGCTGGAGATTGCGACTTCCTTGTCGAGAGCCAAGAGTTTCTGACGCTTGGTGCGCTGGCCCTGCTGGGCGCTGGTAGCATCCGGGGTCGCATTTTCATCGCGGTTGAACTCCTGTTCCAGGCGGTTCATTTGATCGGACCCAGCGTCAGAGAGGGGGCTTTCGGAGTCGCGTTGGAATCGGGTGTCAATGGGGCGAGGAGTCTCGTCGCCGGCGCCAAAGTCGTCATTGCCGAAGTCCATGGGGGCATCGGGGAGGATATCGTTCATATTGTCGTGACCGTCGTCGAGGTCCATTTTGTCCAGGGGAGCATCGTCATCGCCGAGGTCCAATTCCAAATCATCGCCGTCGTTGAATTTACCGGCATCACTGAAGAGATCTTCCTCCACGGGACGAGGCGCGGGGGCGTCTCGACCCACTTCCATGGTCGGGTCGTTTCCAAGAGGCAATTCGTCCTCACCAAAGTCGAGGTCGACCAGGGAAGGATCTTCAAGGCGGGCGGGTTCCTGAGAGACAGAGCGGCGGAAGCTGCTGTCGGGCAAAAGTTGGCTTCCAAAATCCATTCCACCGGGTCGCTTGGCAGCAGGCTCCAGGTCGAGAGTTTGAGGGAACAGCAGAGAAGTATCGAGATTGGTGAAAAGGTCAGATTCAGTAAGCACATCGGGAAGAGTGATGCCACCAGGGGCAACGACAGTAGAAGTCAGGTCATTGTTATTTGTCAGACGGAAAGCCTAGCGGATGATGTTAGGCTGTGTCACATCCGTAGGTCTCAATCAGTACTTACCATCTTAATCTTCATAAGAGCTTCATTGCAGTCATCAAGTAGGTAACGAGCCTTGCGGCTGTAAATTCGGACAACACCCAAAAGCAATTGACCACTCAATCGCAAGGCCATAGGAGCTTGACCCTGGTCAACGATAGCATTGACACTGCTTTCAATATCGGACTGAAGAATGTGTGACTTGGAGAGTTTGCGCTCAATGTTCGCCGACAGCCAAACGCGGGCAAGCGGCCCCGTTTTGGACAGGAGAGTCTCGGAGTAGAACATGTTGTATGTGTCGATCTGAGATACTATACAATAGTATAAGGTGTTGGGCAAATTTTGTAACTAACAAGACCCGCCCGGCGCGGGGATGAGGTGGAAAGCACGACGCGCTGGAACCGGGAAAACAAAGACTCGGGCGATGACTCGCGCTCGATAATTGGATTAAAGGGGTTAAAAGGGACGTTCAAAGAAATAAAGATGAAAGGATGCACTCGAGGCACGTAAGTCTCAGTGCATGAAAGGCGTTGAAGATACGGAGGGGAATATGCGCGCCAGGGATAAGATCGAGTTGGCTGAGAAACCGAGAAAAGATGCGCGTTGGTGGAAATCAGGCGTCAATCCCATTTTTGCTGATGTAATTGAGGGGGCTGGGTATGTAATCACGTGATATCACCTGGGCAATCTGTTTCACGTGACTGATGCGCTAGATCGGATGCGGTAAATCGGATTAACTCTTCGCCCGTCCTCACTAAGCCGCAATGGGTAAAGCATCATCATGGGACTTGGCCTATTCCAAGCCGGTTCGAGGCTCTAAACGGTGTCAATTCGCGGTTTGGATTCCAGCGAAAAGTTCTTCGAACTCAAAATCTGCACTTTTGGTCATCACTTGTTAGTTTCTCTCTTTGTTGTCGGCTGTATCGCGCCAATTTCACAAATTCGCTGGTCGAGCCCCATCAAGGTGCTGCCAGATCGCATCTAACGTGGCTTGCCGCAGCATTGTCAATTCTTATCGAGACGGGATGAGCACTATCTCCCGACATTGTTAAACTTCTATTCCTTCGTCTTTATTCTTTTCCGACAAAGCATGAGAAATGTCAAGGTCGGCGACACCTTCCTTGCCTCTGCATAATGCACCAAACACCGACTCTTTACGGCCTCCTTCGACGACCCCTTTGACCGGACGCCCAAATGCTCCCTCGTCGGTACGTTTCGTTGAAGAAACTGCTTGGTCCAATTTTCCCAAGCTCCTGGTGTTGTGAGATCGGAGGTGCTAACATGGTCTTGTGCCCTTGCAGACATCTACCTCGACGTATTCCTGGTTGGAGCCTCACGAGACCGCCGAACGGCTCCGAACCTCTCTGTCGCATGGCATAACCCCCGCTGAGGCGGAGGTGCGCTTGGCACGAGATGGACCCAACGAGCTCCCTCACGAAGAGCCGGAACCCCTATGGCTACGATTCGTCAAACAATTCAAAGAGAGCCTCATTCTCCTACTCCTTGGATCCGCAGGAATTTCATTTATAATGGGCAACTATGACGATGCTATCAGTATCACCCTCGCAGTGACAATCGTGGTGACAGTTGGGTTTGTCCAGGAGTACCGGTCGGAGCAGTCGTTGGAGGCGCTCAGTCGACTTGTGCCTCACTACGCCCATTTGATTCGCGACATCCCGAATGCATCATCTGCTGCGGCTGAAAATGGCGGCACCCCGCCCTTGGACTCCGGAACGGAGATGGACGAGCTCAAGAGCAAAAGCCCAAACTCCGCATCTGCCGCGGTCAAGGCGTCCTCAACTGTTCCCGCTCAAGAATTGGTCCCCGGAGATCTAGTGCTCTTCACTACCGGGGATCGAATTCCTGCTGATATTCGGATTACCGCTGCGACAGACCTTGGAATCGACGAGTCGAACTTGACTGGCGAGAACGAACCTGTGACTAAATATGCCGAAGCTCTTCGCAGCACATCCAAAGGAACCGCCCCAGTACCGAACACACCGGAGCCCCCTCGCTCGCCGTTCTACGATGCACCGGCTACCGGTGCTGTTGGCGCTGACATTCGCTTGAATGAGCAGCACAACATCGCGTTCATGGGTACCTTGGTTCGATCAGGCTATGGTCAGGGTATTGTCATCTCGACTGGTGCTAATACTGAGTTTGGCAGCATTTCGGTTTCCCTGCAAGAAATCGAGAGCCCCCGAACCCCACTTCAACTGTCCATGGACCGATTGGGTCAAGAGCTGAGCTATATCTCTTTCGGTGTCATTGGGCTGATTGTCGTTATTGGTCTTTTGCAAGGTCGTAAACTTCTGGAAATGTTCACGATTGGTGTCTCGCTGGCTGTCGCCGCGATTCCTGAAGGATTGCCCATTATCGTGACTGTCACCCTTGCTCTGGGCGTTTTGCGTATGGCCAAGAGAGGTGCGATCATGCGAAGACTGCCGAGTGTTGAGACCCTTGGTTCTGTGAATGTGGTTTGCTCGGACAAAACTGGAACTTTGACCCTCAACCATATGACAGTCACCAAGATGTGGCACTTTGACTGTGAGGAACCATTTGAGGTGCAAAGGGACATGAGCTCGGCCATGGCCCCTGGACCTGCAGCACAGACTATTCTTCGCGTTGGTAACATTGCCAATAACTCTCGATTGTCGCGAATCCATGCCAACTCACCCGCCAGCGCATCATCTGCCGCTGTTCTTTCCTCGACTGTCAATGGTGACTCTGCTGCCAAGAGTCGCTGGGTAGGCCAACCAACCGACGTTGCGATTCTTGACTTGCTGGATCACTTGGGTGAGGACGATGTGCGTGACCGGATCAGTGCTCGTGTCCATGAAACACCATTTAGCTCCGAGCGCAAATGGATGGGTGTCGTGATTGGTAGCGCTTCTGGCTCGTATGGGGGCTCCCCTGTTGCTTATATCAAGGGCGCCCTCGAACAAGTCCTAGCCCGCTCCGACACTTATCTTACCAAAGACGGGCGCGAAGTCATTTTAGATGAACCACGGCGCCAAATCATCCGGACTGCGGCAGAAAACATGGCTTCAGAAGGTCTCCGGGTCCTTGCTTTTGCAAGCGGGGCTGTTCGGGAATCGAGAGGCAACAGAGGCTACCGATCACCAAAATCCGCTCAAGTCGATGAAGACGAACGTTATAACGGTCTGGTCTTTGCTGGACTGGTGGGTATGAATGATCCGCCTCGCAAGGACGTACACAAATCCATTCGCCGCCTGATGACAGGTGGTGTCAGGATCATCATGATTACTGGTGATGCCGAGACAACAGCTGTGGCCATTGCGAAGAAGCTTGGTATGCCGATCAGCGATGCTCCCAACTCGCGCTCAGTCATTCGAGGCGATGAGCTCGATCGTATGACCTCCGCCGAACTTGCTCAGGCAATTACAACAGTTTCGATCTTTGCTCGGACGAGCCCAGACCACAAATTGAAGATTGTTCGTGCGCTGCAATCCCGTGGCGATGTGGTTGCCATGACTGGTGACGGTGTCAACGATGCACCTGCCTTGAAGAAGGCCGATATTGGTATTTCCATGGGCAAGCTTGGTACTGATGTTGCCAAGGAGGCGGCAGATATGATTCTCACCGATGACGATTTCTCGACGATCTTGCGCGCGATTGAACAGGGCAAGGGCATTTTCTACAATATCCAAAACTTCATCACGTTCCAGCTCAGTACAAGTGTGGCTGCGCTCAGTCTCGTGCTGCTCAGCACCACCTTTGGCTTCAAGAACCCGTTGAATGCAATGCAGATCTTGTGGATCAGTAAGTGGCATCACATCCCCATTCCCGTATTATTCTAACAGCAGCACCAGATATCCTCATGGATGGCCCACCAGCCCAATCTCTCGGTGTGGAGCCCGTTGACCCGACAATTATGAACCGCCCGCCGCGACCCAAAACGGCTCGTGTTCTCACAAGACCTCTTATTCAACGTGTTCTGACTCAAGCCCTGGTTATCATGATTGGTACACTTTCCATCTATATTCACGAAATGGGTGACATCACCGACGGAACCCCCGTCGACAAGCGTTCCCGAATCGTGACGGCCCACGACACAACCATGACTTTCACCTGCTTTGTTCTGTTCGACATGTTCAACGCCCTGAGCTGCCGTAGCGAAGGAAAGTCCGTCCTGCGCGGCGAGATCGCACTGTTCGGAAACAAAATGTTCAATTACGCTGTTCTTGGCTCCTTGGCCGGTCAGGCTTGTGTCATCTACCTGCCTTTCTTGCAACGCATCTTCCAAACCGAACCCCTCGGCTTCTCATCTCTTGTCAAACTGGTGATCCTGACTAGCTCGGTTTTCTGGGTTGATGAAGGTCGCAAGTATCTGCATGCTATGCGCCGTCGCCGTGGAGTCGGCCCGGGCTATAGTGCCAACGTTTGATTGCAGATGCACTGGATGGATCGATTTTCTTGTTATGATTATAGAAATGTCCATGGTACAGACATGTGTAGTTTATCATATTTGATCGACATTCGATATACATAATAGAGCACTTTGCCTGCACATGTGTCTTCGATATACAAATTCTTATCCGTATGTAACAGCAACGAGGGTTTTGACTAGCCAACAATTCGGGTACTATTCGTTTCCATATCTTCCAAAGTCTGACCTGGGTAACCCGTGGACCTATAACGAGGTCTCGACATCAGGTCAGGTCACATGTGTATTCAATCAATTCCTCGTGCATGTTGTACTTGGTATTTCCCAAGCCTTGCCCAACATTACTAATTCGTTGCTCTCCCCGGGGCTCCAGAGCCTAAGCCACCATTACAGCCGCCTCACTCCCTGGTTACCCACATTGATAGCCTGAAACCATTGCTGGACGTCAGTGTCACGGTATGGAATTTGCTAGAAGCCTCATGGGCGAGAGTAAGAGAGAGCTATTTTTATACTGAATAGGCTTAGCCTTGCCTCGGAGGCAATTGACTGCTCACATCCCCGGCCCTCCAACGCTGTCAGCGCGCTACTATCAGAGGTCTGCCATCCTGTCAATGACAACAAAAAGAACGACAACCCCCAGATAGTTTCGATAGTGTCTGGAAGATGCAAAAAGAGATGACCGACGCAGGGATCGAACCTGCAATCTCTTGATTCGTAGTCAAGCGCCTTGCCATTGGGCCAGCCGGCCGTGGAGTGGAACTGTGAAGATCCACTTCATCGGACTAACCCAGTAAGCTACTGGGTTATTCGATGAGTGAGGCCCTCCATTTGTGCTATATATTCCAGAACGACCTCCCACCAGCTAAAGTACATAGGTACCTAGGTAGGCTAACATCTACGTCCATGAACATGTTGATCATATGAGATCCATGGATACGATCAATCGATAGGACTCATTCAGATTCACCCGGAAAGTATAATTGAATATACACTACTTCGTATATCACACCAGTAAGGCATGCCTAGAGATACATATCGCTTGCAATTGGAGCGTTGGTGCCCCTAGCCTGAGTCCGAGGTCCACAGGTATTGGCAGATGAACCTTGAACCTTGGAGAGATAAGCGATGGGTGAAATGATTGAGTGCTGATTTGAGCGTACTATTTTATTGTATCAGAAATTGGAAGATCGACCATTTATTGGTGGGAAATTGAGGGTTGATCAAGGGCCCAAGCCAGCCTTGGAACCCTTGGACGCGCAAAAACTGGTTATTCCTGTCGATTTATCTGACGAGGCATTGGTGAATTCTACATTTAGACAGAGTCTCTGGTCATCATGTTGGATGCTATGCCGTTTCGAGCGCTAAATGCCGAGCCACCGGCCGTGATATATCTGTACGCTCACCCTGGCAATATCTGCACCCAGGTACCTACTAGTATGAGGATCTGGAAACTGCATGACAGAGCGAATTATTGATTTGGTCTATCACCGTTCGATACCACCGGAGTTTAGGCTCTGATCACACTGCCCATGTATGTACGTATGTATGCCCGAGAAGCCTAGGTGCTTCATGTCGTCTTAGCAAACCGTACTAGTGAAGTGAAGGCTACACTAGCACTGGTGCAGCGGAGTTTCCAAGTTTGTGAAGCATATCGACTCCATGTTTCTAGAACACTGCCTATTCGAACTAGATCACGGTTCGGTGAACTGGACATGCTATTAATACACGCGGTACTCGATCCCTGTGGGACATAGGACCAGAGCTGAAGGCCCAAGGCCATGGTGGCGGGCTTTAGTGACTAGTCCGGGTGCCAGATCAAATCTTCCACACTACTCTATCCCCGGGTGGCTCCCAGTACGAGTACCTAAGTGGCCTGTTGGGTAGCAGAAGAGGGGCTGTCCTGTCGAGTACGAAGTAGTGGGTGTGAGATGGAGGCCAGAGCGACAGCCCCGATGAGGTGAGATTGAGATAGTGTGGGCTAGTCCACGGGTTGCTGCAGGTGCTGTACTAGTATACTCTGGTAGTATACTCTGGTAGTGGTATGGAGCACTCCCGAATGGGTAGGGAGTCTTGCATATTCCCCGGTGATTCTCCGTGAATGTCCATAGAAGAGAGGAAGTATATGAGTTCGGAGGAGTAGATCGGAATGGAGACCTCCGGCACCGGTGAGAAGCCGAGTCGGGATCGGGAGAAAACGGAAAGCGAGGCAAAATTAGAGCTTATCTAGGGCCAATTGACTCGCATCCATAACAGCGCGCTAGGCTCGGCGCTAGTCCCCTTGCGGAAAGGACCAGAAAGGTCCCGGTGGGTCCGTTTAGCGTTTCTGTGGCAAGAGCTCTTATCTGGCGGCCCACAGCCAATCAGCGCGCGGGAGTTGCAGATAGGCATATCGCAGTGACTCTGACAATTATGATTCTGATACTCACTGCCGAGATACGGGTCATTCTCTCCGCATTGTCAACGGCTCTTCGGACGGAGGAGACAATCCGGAGTCGCGAGAGAGTGTTCCTGCAGAACGAGATAAGCTACTCGAGAGAGTATATATAGATCCAATTCCGTGGAATCCACTTCCCTGAAACCCAGGAACTATGTCCCGACGAACTAGTTGTATGCAATGCAATCTCGAGCCAAGACCATCCTGGATGTTGCCACCATGAGACGGGTTCCTACGCCGGCAAAGAGAGAGGGAGAGAGGGCAGTGTGAATAAAAGCATATATAATACGCGCGAAGGGATCTGGAGAACATGGGGAAACCCTGGAACAACCTTAAAAGGGATGATTACGGTGATTATCCCATTGCTATTGTCACAATCTTCAACTTCCGATTTTCTCCCTGCCGCGGCTGCCTCTCCAGTGTAGATTTCTTTGGGGATCCCGTCTGTCCTTGGACTGGTCCTTTGCTTTTCTTTGCTTTTCTTCTTTTTCCCTTTCCCCTTCGTGTCTCGCCGTCTGACAATTTTGCCCTCGACCCACATTGTCGATCCGCCTATCTCTGGATTCGGCGGTCCACTATTTCGGATTCTTTATTATACAGACACTTCCCCCGTGGCGACTTTCTTCTCCACGCGGAGTTCTTTTCAATCTTCCATTCACCTTCAGTACATACTCCGGCATCTCTTACCTCTCCTAACGACCTCTCCTAACGACCTCTCTTAATGGCGTTCAACGGGAAGGCCCCGTACGCCCCGGAGTACGCTTCCTACAACTGGGTGGGAGCTCCTGCCAACTATGAATTGTCCACCAACGCCGACCTGGGCGGTGATTCCCGTATGCATCTCCCTCCGTGATGGTGGCAACCCACTCACCTCGATTTCTTCCTAGGTATCGAAAATGTGAACAAATGGTTCCAATCAGGCGACCAGGCATACATCATTGTGGCCTCCGCCATGGTTATGGTCATGATCCCCGGTCTCGGCTTCTTGTACTCGGGATTGGCCCGCCGCAAGTCGGCATTGAGTATGATCTGGGCCTGTATGGCTTCGCTCTCCGTCGTCACCTTCCAATGGTACTTCTGGGGTTACTCCCTAGCTTTCTCCCCGACCGCCACCAATGGTTATATCGGAAACCTACGAAACTTCGGCCTGATGAAGACTCTGGCAGACCCCAGTCCGGGCTCCCCATTGGTTCCGAACTTACTCTACGCGTTTTACCAGGTAGGTTCTCGCCCTGTTGGATTTGGGGCTGAGCGTGGGAGCTAATCGATCATCAGATGCAATTCTGTGGCGTAACGGCTGCCATTGTGATGGGAGCGGTTGCGGAACGCGGTCGGCTTCTTCCCGCTATGGTCTTCACTTTCGTGTGGGCCACGATTGTTTACTGCCCCCTCGCCTGCTGGGTGTGGAACGTCAACGGCTGGGCCTACAAGTACGGTGTGATGGATTACGCAGGTGGAGGTCCCGTCGAAATTGGATCCGGATTCACAGCTTTGGCCTACTCGATGGTCCTCGGTCGCCGCCAGGAACGCATGATGCTCAACTTCCGCCCTCACAACGTCTCGCTTATTCTGCTCGGCACGGTTTTCCTCTGGTTCGGCTGGCTCGGATTCAACGGTGGTTCTTCCTTCGGTGCTAACCTGCGTGCAACCATGGCTTCCTGGAACACCAACTTGACCGCTGCATTCGCGGCCATCACTTGGGTTCTCCTCGATTGGCGTCTGGCTCGCAAGTGGTCCATGGTCGGCTGGTGTTCCGGTACCATTTCCGGATTGGTGGCTGCTACTCCCGCCTCTGGATTTATCTCCCCATGGGCGAGTGTGATTCTGGGCGTTGTCACCGGCATCGTGTGCAATTACTCCACCAAGATCAAGTACTGGATCCGCATTGACGACTCTATGGATGTGTTGGCCGAGCACGGTATCGCAGGTATTGTCGGTCTGATCTTCAACGCTCTCTTCGGTGACGACTCTATCGTCGGTCTGGACGGCGTCAACACCGGCACTGCCGTCGGTGGCTGGGTTATCCACAACTACAAGCAACTCTACATCCAGATCGCCTACATTGTCGCCACAGCCTCGTATGCCTTCGTCATGTCCGCCATCATCGCCTTTGCCATCAATGCCATCCCAGGCCTGAACCTGCGCGCCTCCGAGGAAGCTGAGCTTCTCGGCATGGACGACGACCAGCTGGGTGAATTCGCCTACGATTACGTCGAGGTTCGCCGCGACTACCTTGCCTGGACCCCTCAGAACCACGACCAGCTCGAAGACGGCCACCAGGTCCCTGCTGCGCAGCGCTATGGGATCAACGAGCACAGCGAGATGATGCTCGGTGGGCCTCCACGTGAAATGATGCTCGAGGGCCACTCACCAAATGGTGAGATTAGCCAGAGCAGCCGAGGCGGGAGTGAAGGCGATATGATCCACGAGGTCAAGATTGCTCCTGCTCCGCGCCAGGTCGCTGAGCATCACCCCCCAGACACACAGCAGGTCCGTGAACCAGGTGTTGCTCTGGGAGCCGTCGATGAGAAGACAGAGCAATGATCTGTTTTACTGTCTTCTCTATCTTCTGTCGGGTTTCTTTGTTTTCTTTTTTCTTCCTCTCTTGCATGGCATATCGCATACGCCATCCTCTCAGCCTCTGATTTCTTCGATATCCCTTGAGCGTGTTTTATTCTTTTTTTTTACAGCCACGAAAGCCTGGGGCTTTCCGCTATACCTTGTGATTATTACCCTATACACTCTCGCAATTCCTTTACACCAAATGCTCGGGAAAAGCAACTCTTGGTTTAATTTGGTTTGGCGTTTCATCATTTTCAGGACCACGGGATATTAACTTGGGTTTCGCTTGTACACAAAACAGTCCCTGTCTGGGTTCTGATCTGCTATCTATCCATATTATTGGTTACAGTATAAACCGAAGAAAATTTACCTCATCACAATTGCTTTATTCCTGAGTAGATTTCGCCAGACGAGAATTAAATAGTAACTTGGATTGAAAATGTACAGATCACAGAAAGAAATATCATTCACATATATATCGAAGATGTACAACCCCTATCCTACCTCCTCACCATCCCCCGAACCCTGATCAACTCCTCTCGACTCAACTTCTCAACAACCTCAGCAGCTTCCCCACCTCTCCTCACCTCATCCCACTCATCCTCATCCATACTCATGACAAGCGTCATCTGCACAACCCGCGCAAACACCTCGCGGTGCTTATACCGCCCCGGCGCACCAGCCACATAGCCAACCTCAACCGCAGCCCCGACCAGACCCGCAATATCGCGCTCCAGCCTTGCCGCGCCAAGCGCGTTGATCCGCGAATGGTACGAGTAAAGCCTCTTTTCGAGCAGACGGGCGAGATAGGAGACCGTCGTGCCGAGAACGCGGTCGAAGGCCGTGGGTGTCAGGATGCGAGCGTGCGGCGTCATCAGTTCGCTCCATGATGTTGTGAAGCGGGGTTTGACGAGCTCGCGGTCGTCGAAGTCGGCTGTTGGTTCGGGGGTGTATTCGATGTCGCGGAACACGTCTGCGAGGATGGGGCGCAGTCGGGGCTTGATGACGTTGTTGAAGATCACTTGGATGCCGTCGTTGAGGAGTTCGGTGATTTTGCTCTCGAAGCTTGTGGCGAGTGAGTGCAGGGTTGTGTAGACGTTGGCTGCGGAGGTTGGGGATGGGAATATGTTTAGGAGATGGGGGGTTGGTTCGCCTGGTTGGTCTGGGAGGGTCTTGGTGCCCGTGTTGTTTTGGACAATGCGGCGGATGTAGTCGACTGCTATGTCTAGGTTGTTGATTTGCACTAGGAAGGCGATTGTCGTTTGCTCTGGAGGTTGACCCCCTTGGATGGCACGGGGATAGCATTCGTCGCGCATCTTGCGCTGGGTCATGCCAATGAAGTCCGAGCCTAGAACGCGGGAGATAGTTGGAACGACATTTGCCACCACCGCTTCTTGTGAGGTTGCGATGGTCTGCTGTATGACTTTGTTCACGATATACATAATGTCGTCGACAGCTGAGGTGATGTGAGGCGGGTCGGCTTTCAAGGGTCGCTGCATGTTCAGGGTTAGACCCGAAGGAGACTCGTCTAACTGGAATGCTTTCTCGACGGAGCGCCGGAAGAAGAAGGTCGTCATGGCATTGAAGGGCGAGACAAGACGGTCGTTGATCTTTTGAGTCAAAGGCGACTCTTGGAGGAACCCGGGGAGGGCAAATCTCTTTTCATCGTTTTCATCATCCGATGTCTGCACCATTGTTAGTCTCGAGCAAATGGCAAAATATGGTAGACTCACGTTGCATGTATCAGTCAAGAAGCGGCAGTACAGTGACCAGCGGCCCAGCATGATGGCCATTTCATTCAAAATGCCATCGATCTCTTTCATATCCACCCCTTCTTCTTCGGTTGCGCCGGCCCCCGCAGCAGCCGATTGAGAGTGAGGCTGACCTGGTCGCTGAGTGGGCAAGAAGCTTTGAACCAAGAAAGTAAAAGCATAAGACTTGATGTCCATCAACTTGCGGTCGACGTGACGCTCATCGCCCCATGTATCAAGAATAATCCCGCCCTGCACATCGGCTTCGATTTGGAGACGCTCAATAACGGGGCCCATCTTCCGCTGTCCATAGTGATGCTCAACGAGCCCTCCATGGCCGTCAATAATTTGCGCAATATGCTCAAACAGCTTTGTAAGGGCATTGGCATAAAAGAAGCCATCTTTGGTCTGAGCCCCGCCAGCAGCGCCGTTGAGATTAGCGCGAGCTTTTGCTGCCACGCCCTGGCAAACATACCGGCCATATAGATCGAGTCCGACCTCGGATCGGCCAATAAGGGGAAACAACTTGAAGAACCGTGTGATCTTGGCACCGTCATTTTCCTTGACGGCCTTCTCAAACTCCCGCAGAAACAGACCACAAAGGGACTCCGCCGCATTGTCCAGTGTCACACTTGGTGGGTCAGGCACGTCCGCGGTCGGGACCATCTCAGCTGCAAAAGCTCCGTTTAGAACAGTGTCCGGAATCTGCGCAGCGCGGTGGAGGTAGCTGGCCGCCTTCTCCCAGTCCTGAGGTGCTCCCATAGACCCTGACACCCCCAATGCACAGGCCTTGAGCTCTGCCACCTGCTCCACGACTTCGAGGGTGGCTTTCACCCGGGCTTGTTCCAGATCCAGGCGGCGGACGGCGCTGGAGATCCGGTCGGCGGTGCCCGCGGCCTCAGAGAGCATGCCATGGCTGATGGATCGGGTCGTGCTGGCGTGAGACCCGATGTTGGCGCGCATCAGGTCCAGCCGACCCAACTCCCTGGAGAGGTCTTTCTGCGACGTTACTAGGGCATCGAGGCGGGCGGTGACGGAGGCTTCTTGGGTGTGGAGGTGGGATAGGGTGGCTTTGATTTCCGCGACAGAGCTGGCGTTGAAAATATCTGGAGGGGATGACCCAGAGGCATCCAGGGGGTCTGGGGCATGTCCGTTGGCCATTCTGGATGCCATTGAGGGCGACGGTTTGTTGATGCCACCAGTACACCAACTGCCTGCGGGCGGTGAGGGGGCACTTTTCAGCAAGAGCGAATTGTGTTACCAGCCCTGGAGGTGTGTTTGACATGACATTGTTTTCTTTGAGCAGACGAGATTTATTCACTTTACCTTTGTCTCTTCAGACGTCTAAGCTGTGTTCCAACCCGACGTCATTCCTTGTGAGAGCATCAAAGCCTCTGGATCTCCGATCTTTAAGACGGGTACGACCCGCATGAAAACCTTCACACTTTGAACTTCTGTTTCTCAGTGACTACGCCTTATATCACCATGGGCAATGAAGAGTCAACCATGGTGGATGATTCCGTCGCCCCTTCTGTGCTAGACGCACGCACCATCGAGGCAGTGGCCCGGTATATCAAAAAGCATGATGTCAAGAAAGTGGTGCTGATGGTACGTAGATACGCGCAGGATTTGAGTGCAGAAAGCTAATGACTGGGCAGGTGGGCGCCGGCATCAGCACCTCAGCTGGGATCCCGGACTTCCGCTCCCCGGATACTGGAATCTACGCCAATCTGGCCTTCCTAGACCTGCCCGAGCCAGAGGCGGTCTTTGATATTGGATTTTTCCGAGAGAACCCCAAGCCCTTCTACGCCTTGGCGCACGAGCTGTACCCCGGTCGCTATCGTCCAACCATTGTGCATTCCTTTATCAAGTTGCTGCACGATAAGGGCATGCTGTTGAAGCATTTTACTCAGAATATCGACTGTCTGGAGCGTCAGGCTGGTGTGCCGGGCGAGAAAATTATCGAGGCTCATGGCAGCTTTGCCTCGCAGCGCTGCATTGACTGCAAGGAGACCTATCCAGATGAAGAGATGCATGCAATGGTGTCCAAGGGCGAGGTCCCCCACTGCCACCACTGTAACGGGCTAGTCAAACCCGACATTGTCTTCTTCGGTGAAGCCCTCCCTTCGTCATTCTTTGATAGCCGGGATCTCCCCGCCGAGGCGGACTTATGTATTGTGATGGGAACCAGTCTTCAGGTGCAGCCGTTTGCCAGCCTGCCCTCGTTTTGCAGCGACGGCGTGCCCCGTGTCCTCATCAACAAAGAGAAAGTTGGAGGTCTGGGCTCCCGCAAGGACGACGTTCTCCTCCTCGGCGATTGCGATGCTGGGGTCCGCAAATTCGCTCGAGCCCTGGGGTGGGAAGAAGAATTGGAGCGCCTGTGGGAGGAGACCAATCCGAACCCTCAGGATCGGGCAGCGGAGACCGCTCCCCCGCAAACTAGGGATGAACAGCTGCAGTCCGAAGTGGATCGCCTGACGGAAGAAGTCGACCGAACCCTGGGGTTGACAGATGCATACCAGAGCAAAGTCCGCGAAAAGCTGGAGTCACACGAGGCACACCGCCAGTCTGAGGGTCTAGCCCATGTTTTCCCTCATCTGGCCCGTAAGCTGTCACATTGAGAATTACGATTTCACGAATTTAATAAAGCGATGATAGTATGACCCCAGCAGAGCCGAAGCCTTGGACCAATCTGTAGGCTGTACGAGTATCTTAGTGGCAGAGCAGGCCTAATGCAAGTGCCAAGAAATGAAACTATTACAGTAATTGAAGTCATTACGAAGAGTAAACAAGAATGTCCCATTTCTCCCGAGTTTCACCGTAATTGACATTAAAAGGGCCGACTCCATACTCTGACATCCCCGAAACCTGACCGCAACCAAATCCAGCAAAGGGCCGATCGTTTGAGTTGCCCCACGTCCATATCGTCATTCCCCTACTTTTTTTCTTCTTTCCCCTCCATTCTCCTCATCTCTTCAAATTCCCTAGTTTAATATACACAATGGTCGGACTCGGTCCTAAGCAGCCCCCTTCCCGCAAGGGTGAGCCTCATCCTCCCTCGGACCGTGGTGGTGCTAACGTGGTACAGGGTCCATGCATGAGGTGCCTCAGGATCTCCTGGGCCCCATCCAGGATTTCGAGAAGGCCTTCACGGTGGACAAGTCCAAGCTGAAGGAGATTGTGAACCACTTCGTGAAGGAGCTCGAGAAGGGTAGGCTGATCCGCAGCTCCCCGCTCCTACGTCAGCGCTAATCAACAACACAGGTTTGACGGTGGAGGGCGGCAACATTGTGAGATTTCCCATTCGGTATCAATTGAACGACAGAAGCTGACTGCCGTGGATCAGCCCATGAACGTGACTTGGGTGATGGGCTTCCCCGACGGCCATGAGGAGGGAACCTACCTCGCCCTCGACATGGGCGGTACCAACCTGCGTGTCTGCGAGATCACATTGACCAAGGAGAAGGGTGCTTTCGACATCACACAATCCAAGTATAAGATGCCCGATGAGCTGCGCACCGGTACCGCCGAGGAGCTCTGGGAGTACATCGCCGACTGCCTGCAGCAGTTCATCGAGACCCACCACCAAGAGAAGAACATCGCCAAGATCCCTCTCGGTTTCACTTTCTCTTACCCCGCCACCCAGGAGTACGTGGACCACGGTATCCTGCAGCGCTGGACTAAGGGTTTCGACATTGACGGCGTTGAGGGCAAGGATGTTGTCCCTCCTTTGGAGGAGATCCTGAAGAAGCGGGTAAGCTATCGAAGCGAGGAACTGGCGCCGATTTCCAGACTAATGTTTTCTAGGGCCTCCCCATTAAAGTGGCTGCTCTGATTAACGACACCACTGGTACCCTCATTGCCTCGGCCTACACCGACGACGCCATGAAGATCGGTTGCATCTTCGGCACCGGTGTCAACGCCGCATACATGGAGAACGTGGGATCTGTGCCCAAGCTCGCCCACATGAACCTGCCCGCCGACATGCCCGTCGCCATTAACTGCGAATACGGTGCTTTCGATAACGAGCACATTGTCCTCCCCCTCACCAAGTACGACGAGATCATTGACCGTGACTCTCCCCGCCCCGGTCAGCAGGCCTTCGAGAAGATGACTGCCGGTCTCTACCTCGGCGAGATCTTCCGTCTCGCCCTGGTCGACCTGATCGACAGCCACCCCGGTCTTATCTTCAAGAACCAGGACGTCTCCAAGCTGCGCAAGCCCTACCTTTTGGACGCCTCCTTCCTGGCCAACATCGAGGAGGACCCCTTCGAGAACCTTTCCAACACTCTGGACCTCTTCAAGAGCGAACTGAACATCCAGACCACCGAGGCTGAGCGCGTGCTGGCCCGTCGTCTCTCTGAGCTGATTGGTACCCGTGCCGCCCGTCTCTCTGCCTGCGGTGTTGCCGCGATCTGCACCAAGAAGAACATCGACTCTTGCCACGTCGGTGCTGACGGTTCTGTCTTCACCAAATACCCTCACTTCAAGGCACGTGGCGCCAAGGCTCTGCAAGAGATTCTTGACTGGCCCGCCAACGTGACTGACCGGGTTGACATCCTGGCTGCCGAGGATGGATCTGGTGTCGGTGCCGCTTTGATTGCCGCTTTGACCCTCAAGCGTGTCAAGGCTGGCAACCTGGCTGGTATCCGTAACATGGATGACATGAAGACCCTTCTTTAAACAGGTTGTTATGCTTTTTAAGTCACCGTCACGTTGAGCCAGCAGCGAAAAGCCCCCTTGAAACGCAACCACGCAATCTGCCGGGGGGTACGATATTTGAATGTTTGAATTATGTCACGATCTAGCTGAAGATTTCGAGGACTCACGAATTATCGATTCTATATGTTTGATTTTCCAGCTGTATAGACTGCTGCTCAGTATCATATACGAAAGAGATCAATGAAGAGCGGGCTATTATCCCCGAAAACACTGGTAGCCCTAACCAGAACGTAGAAATATACCATTGACTCACGCGAACATTACTACATCAGACTATACCCATGGATGTGAAAAGAACACCATTGAGATCTAAACCCCAGAATCCTCCTGTTCAATATTAAACGCCTCATCATAGGCATTCCAAGAAGCGCAATTCTCCCTCAACCCATCAAAGTCAATCAACGGATCAATATCTTTCTCCCTCTCCAGGAACTGCAACGCAAACCCTTCATCTGTATGCCATCCAATATGGCAATGCATCAGCCACGCCCCAGGATTATCAGTCTCAAACGCAATAAGCAAGAACCCATTCCCAACCAGCATGGCCGTATCCCTGCGCGGCGGATTCGTCGTATGCACGACCCCATCCCACGGATTGGACCCCTGCGCCAAAACAAAGAAATCATGCCCGTGTAGATGAATCGGGTGCGCAACAGGGACACTCGTATTAATCATAAGATAGACCCACTCGTGCGCACGCGGAAGCTCAATCACGCCGCTGGAGGCGGTGAAATTGGGCGTGTTCTCGTTGTTGTAGAGCTGGAGGAGTGTCGGATCTTCCCAGAGGACTTCCATGGTCGTGCTGTTGAGATACCAGCGGAAGAGGTTGGCGGAGTTGCGGCCGACGGTGACGTCGGTCATGTCGCTCCAGTCTGCGGCGGAGACGGTCTTCGGAACTTGGGGGACGAGACTGCTGGCTGGTTCGTCGACACAGCTGTCGTTGAAGGTGAAGGGGTTGGTGGTTGGCGTTCGGGGGTTGTTGCCGTAGTGCATTATGCCTTTGATGTTGTCTGGACTGGCATTTTCGGAACAGGCTTCTTGGGGAATGGCGCGGATCCAGAATGAGTCGGAGATTCTGCGTTGGTTGGCTGTGATTAGTACATCGTAGCGTTGGCCTGTTGTTGTTAGTGGTTTGCGCTTTCGTGTTTGTAAGGGGATAGTACGAACCCATTCCGATGTTGATGTACTCTGCCTGGAAAGGCTTGATAGGAACAAAATCCATGCCTATCACTGTCATGGTGTGATTGTCAATCATGAATTTCCAGTGGGTATCAATGGCAGAGTTGACGATTCGAAGCCGATACGATGACCCCGAGTTGACCCTCATCTGGAAGTGTTTGCCAGTAGCATTCGTACCGTTGCCAAAGACATTGGTCCCATTGATCAGACCAGTGTCCATGATAGGTGGACCGACAGTCTGAGCAACCGTATATAGCTCATCGACCGTCTGATGGGACCAATCAGTCAAGAAAAGACTGCCCTTGTCAACATCGTAGTTTCCAGTAGCAGGGCCGTTGATGATGATTCCTCCAAAGACACCCTGCCAAGCCTGCAGGCCAATATGAGAATGGTACCAAGAGGAGCCGTATTGCTCAGCGCGCCATTTGTAGGTGATGGTTGAGCCAGGCGCAGTAGGGCACTGAGTAATAGAGACAACACCATCATTGCCATTGGTATAGTTCTGTCTGATACCGTGCCAGTGGATGCTAGTTCCGTTCTTGGATGTTTTCAAATTGTTCGCGACGTGGACGATGACCCAGTCACCCCAATCGGCGAAGATAGTCGGACCGGGGATTGTACCATTGATGGTCATTACCGAACGGCTGAAGCCATCCGGCGCCAAATTGAGATCTTCAAGGCTGAGCCAGTACTCGCGAGTCACGCCCGTGTTCGGCACAGTTTTAGTATAGTCTGTGTTCACGTCGTAGTTGCACCATTTGGATCTGGTTCTAGCCGTGTTGCCAGAGCAGGGTGTTCCTGTTGACTTGTGGATCTTGGTGGTTGTCTTGGTACTGGTCTTCGTGTGTGTAGGATGCGTCTGCGTGGTTGTAGTTCTTGCTTTTGTCGTGTGCTTATAGTTTGCAGCCTCAATTTCGTCCTGTGGAAAAGCTGCGGCAGTCGCACATAGACTCAATGCCAAAACGAGGAGGCTTTGAAGTCTCATAGCTGCTATATACCCAGCTAGGTACCTTGCAAGTCGTCTGTGAATATAATTATACTTGATGTTGACAGTGTTCAATGCATCCAGCCTAGTATAAAGCAAGAAAATCTCCACGCATATCAAATAACGAATGTGAGTTGTTGGCGATCAAAGCCAAGAGATATGACCTCTACTTAAACCATAGCTCTTTCAGCAAGATTTGCAAAGTACCGCTCGAGGGGAATTCTTACCAGACAAATTAATCCACGTGCTGCATTTCACGAGGTATCCTGCATCTAGATCTTGCTAGGATATGCCGGGTATCTTTGCAGACCTCATTGAGGAAGGCAATGATTCTGACATACATGACTCCATGGACGAATCGTCGTAGACAAGAGTCTCCTTCCGGCTCGGGTGTTGAGGCTATGGGATCATCCCTAGACATGCGACTAAGCCGCCATGCTCAGCTCAAAGCCCATAGTCAGTAATGGCCATTCATCGCGTGGGAAATTGCTCGGCTCAGGATACTTCCTGGAGGTGCGATTGGTCGTCGTCGGTCCTGTTTATCCGACAATGCAGGACCTAACTGTTTCAGGAACCGACTAAGGCCCAGGATATTGCTTTTGGTTCGTATCTATGATCACTAGGAGTCTGAGTTCCCGTCAGGACATAGGGCTGTGCGTCTCAGACCACCCAGACAGCGATCGATGGAGCCAATTACGAAGACTCAAGAGTGTCGGGTGCGAGAGTCTCAGTCGACCGCAGTCAGATTGGCTTGCATTAGGGTTAAGCTCCCCGAGACGCCACTGCCCGGTTTTGTTGCTGGCGATTCCAATTTCAGCGATATACGAGCTTTGGCAAGCCTTGCAGGTGTCAGGTACAGTAGACATTCGCGACGTCGCAGATGGACATGTTTTCCTCTTCCATGGTGCCAGATGACATCCTGAGACTGTCAGCCTGGAGAATAGTTGACGTAATTCCTGCATCGTCTGCATCGTGAGGTGGATCTTCATCTGAGTACCGGGGGTTGGACTAGCTCAGATCGGAATGTACAGATGGTGGACATGGGCTGTGACAAGGGATATTAGTGCATAGCCCGCGTGATCCTGGTGATGAGTGCAAGATACGCAGCATACGTACCCCCCCGTAAGCTCGTACCAGGCTAGATTCAAATGATGGCTGAGTGCGTAAATGGGAAGAGAGACAAGAGAGACTCAGCCATCAAAATATCTGTTAATTGGAGAGGTGGTTCCCAGTGTTGCCCTTACCACATCTACTTGCAACTATTGATCTCTTGACTATACCTCTGTGACCCTCTTCATTCTGGATAGCTGCTTCATTTCCAAAGAGTTATTATCTTCCGTTATACGAACATCCGTTACAAGATGCGTTCACTTTTGCTGCCCCTGTTCCTTGCCTTTGGGATAGTCTGCGCTGCCAATCCACTTAAAGCAAGAGATACAACCGCCCCCTTCAAGATCTATGCATATGGCAAGGGTATTAGCGGATTGCCAGTCTTTTACAAGAATGGTACTTCCCCAATTCTCCTGGCGCAACACAATCTGACCGTCAACAGGTGTTGCTGAGATCGCCGATACTGCCAAAATCGATACATCTATGACCACAGTCCAGTGTAAGGTCCATTGCATTTGGGAAGCGCAAAGCACCACCTAACCATCTCACAGTTGCATATTCCACCGATTCATCCAACACTTGGATCGCATCGCCCGACTCCACTCAATCTGCTCCATTCTCGGCCGACGTGCTGTGCCTAAATCAGGACACTGCATCGGCAAACCCGGTCAGCTTCAGCGGAAGTTCCGACGTGCAGCGATCGAATAAGCTCAGCAACGTGTGGTCCCTGTACGGGAGCTATGTGATGGTCACTCTAGATAAGGTCAACTTCTACGCCAAACCGACGGGCACCGAGGGCGTGTACTCGCTGCTTTGGAGTACCTCCGCCGAAGCAATGACAGATACCATCCCGCTCACGCTGCGCACTACGGCGCCCGCGACAGTGTCTGTGCTCAGTTGAGCTAAGCCGGGGGTGGCAGTAGTTAACGACAGAGTCAAGGTGGGAATGTGGAGAAGTTAGCTGTCTTGGGGGTCTGTGGTAGGGCGTGCAGTAGTTCGTCCTTGGCTCTGTATCTGTGTGTTGGCGTGTTGCCGCAACTGCGGCTCGGCTCTGCTTTCCTTTTGCTTGTTCAATGGTGTGCGTTCGGGGGATTCTTTTCACTCCGTATGGCCAATGTTGATTGCTTTGCGGGGAAGTGCTGTCGACTTCCGCTGAGATAGGTGTTCTGCAACAGTAGCCAAGGGCGACCATGATGTTAATGTTGATACCTAGGCACGGGTTTGATCTTACTATTAAAGGGCATATTATTGAATTTGTTAAAATCTTGATCAGATTCTCTAAGCTGAAATAAGTCTGTAAAACGACCTCGCGGACACACTTCGTGCCTAATGGACATTCGGGCCGCTGAGGTTGTTCCATCGTACTAAGTGTAGTGGGAGTATCCACTGGCCTACGCAGCTATATGTATGCAAACCTTGAAATCCTGGTATTAGAACAGATCGACACTAGCGGATCAAATTCTACTATCTACTCAAGTTTCCTGACTCCAATTATCATCAAGTAAAGGTAAAGATCGTACGACCAAAGAGAGGAGGTGCCTGGAAAGGGGAACAGAATCAATGACCGATACAAACCCTGGAGAAACCTTGGAAGCAAGTCTCCTGAGGCTCCGACACGTAATAGCATTGGTTTTCATGCGTAAAGCTGTCATGTAGATGGCTAAGTATCACACTCACTCTTTTCCCTAGGAGGTGAGAGCTTGCGAATTTGTCCAAAAGCGACAAAAACCCGAGAGAGGCCACCAGAGAGCCTTTAGCTTGCTGATTGGCATACATTTGGACTAAAAGAGCAGAAGATTATTCCAAACAAACAAAGCCGAAGTACAAACATACGACAGGGTAATCTCGTCGAAGAAACGCCCATGGCTGCGAAGGAAAACGAGGAAAGCCCAACAAAAAGAAACTAGCAAAGTGTTGGCTATGGAGTCCTGGGGACAAAAGCCCGGATGGAACGGAATATAATCGCATAATGAACGGACTAGACAAGGAAAATCGCCCAGAAAAGCAAGGCACAGATGGCCAGATCAGACAAAGAAAAACGACTTGATGCAAAACGAGCATTGATATCGAAGGAAATATAACTCCCCTTTCTCCCAGACCCATATAACGCCGGAATGAAAAGAGAAAGAGAAAGAGAAAGAAGAAAAACATCGAGAACTCCTTGGACAAACACCGAATCTGCCTTTCCCATCCATCGGTAAACTGATATCACAATAATCCATTGCTTCGAGAAAAAAAAGTTAGAAAAAGAAAAAGAAAAAACAACAAAGAAGGGAGAAAGTAAGAAGAAGCATCCGCTCTATCCCCAACCTGTACTGGATCACCGAGTGTTCTCAACTTCAACCCGAGAATTAAACGCGTGTCGATCGTTTCCGTAGACCAAATTCTTGTTCTTGAATCTCTCGTATCAGACGAAGGCTTTCCTCATCCCCATCTTCCTCCCCTGTCAAATGCTGGGCATGTTTGTGTTGACGCGGAGATAGGGACGTGGGAGCATGTCGATGAAAGTGTTTCTCATACATCGGGGAGCTCTTTTTCGCGTGCGAAGATGAGGGTCGCGACGAAGGTTTTCTCCTTGAAGGTGGTGGTGGGGGTGTTGTCTTCCGCGCGCCAATGGTAGACGTCGACGTCGAATGTGTTGCCTGCTTTGGAGCCCGAGCCGCAATCGCTTCAGGCACAAAGCGATCGACGTGTCGGGGCTGACGAGACGAGTGCCGAGAACTGGAGTTGGGCGTGTGAAGAGCAGTCGAAACTTCTCCTTCCACTGACTGTACAGCTTCTCCCGGTTGGACTCCATCCATCTCATCGGCCAGCGACGTGGGCGGTGATACCAGAGAGGTATCAGGCTTAGATGAAGACACAGGCATGGCGTTCATGTCTTTTGTATCCATAGACTCGGGCTGAAAGGCAGGGGGCGAGACGTATAAAGCCTCGCTCTGAAGTGCATCACCATGTTCAGGCAGATGCTTTTCCAAGTTGACATTCCTGATCGGTTCGTGACCGAAGGGTTCCATCAACTCAGGCTGTGGCATCTTTTCATCTCCATCACCGGGATTGAAGAAGGCCGCCGGCTTTGTCATAGGCGATGTGCTTTCCTGCTTTGCTTTCTTCGCCGCCGCAGGAGAGTCCTCCTCCTCAGCAGGGCGTGCTCGCTTTGCGGAGGCATTGGCACGAGGCTTGGAACGCTCTTGCGCTTTGATCGGATCGATTCGGCCATATTCGTCATGTATGCAGCGACGCTGGGCTTATGTTAATAAAAGTGGAGAAAAATCAATATAGCGGAAGATCACATACCTTGCTTTTCCGACAATCATCACACGCCTTGCTGCGCCCTTTCTTTCCCCCATTGGCACCATCCGGACTCACGTCAATCAAACGATTCGCAGCCGCTGTTGAGTTTCCCATAACCGCTGACTGGAATCTTGCAGAGGTCTCTAAACGATCGAGATCCATGAGATGACCATTATTCGGGAATCCACTTTGAGATGCAATTGCCGCCAACGAATTCAACGCAGAGACTGCATCTTGGGCTAAAGAGGACGGTGTACTCACACCTGAGCCTGGCGTGAAAGCATTGGCTGCCATTTGCCCATTCAGCGCCAGATCACCAGGCTCATCCTTGTGCCGGCATCTAATACGTCGTTTGCGGCACGCGTCACATGCCACTCGCTTTGGGCCAAGGCCCGAGCTTCGCTGGACGCCTCGAGGCTTGGAAGTGGTGAGATCTTTGTTGGCGATTTCTTGAACGGGGTTGGATGACGCCGAGGTCGCACTCTCCTCGGACTGCGCATGAACAAGGCTGCTGTACTGAGGGGCTGGTGTCTCAGGGAGTTCTTCCGAGGGCCACTGAACCGCTTGTCTTTCTGCGTAGGTACGCTGATTGTCGGCGTTACGTTCGGATCGACGACTGGGCCGCCCCGATGACTTTTTCTCTGCAAGAGACACCTTGGGATTGGTCTCGATGACACCCGGCCGAGTCCACAAGGGAGACCTCTCGTTACCACGCTTCCAAGCTACCCAAATCCCAAACCTCCTAATGATGTCCACGGGCTCGCCAGTGCCTTTTGGAATAGAGCGCCTGACGGCGTTTCGAGTTTCAACAGAGATATTCCCATCGACGGTGTAACCTCCCGCAATGAGAGCAGTCCGCAAGAGATACCTGGTCAGTTCCGGGAGACCCTCCAGCTCCGCTTGCGAATAGAAACGTGCGTTGTAAAGATGATGGCCCCGAGGTTCTTGATTGGCACGCTCTCCGAATTCATAATAGATCGGATATTGGCGGTGGAAACGATAGTTATCGTCTTGCATGAAGGCCTCCATCACATTTTGCGGTATGGGATCGTCTTCCAGATACTTCAAGGCTGTGTACCACTGAATCTTCTGGAAAAAAGGGTATCTGAATTTCTTGGGAACCTTGGTATCCTTTTCAATGTTGAGCACTTTGATCTGCATGCCATAGTTCAGCTTGGTTAGGAAGTTACCGCCGATGACCAGACTATTCTCCGGAGTCCACACTGCATGAATCCAGCCGGACGGAATGAGCATGGTATCGCCCTCGGAAAGATCCACACGGTAGCACTCCTTGGTCTGGTTACCAAGGAATATAGAGTCCTGGGCGGGGGAATTGCACCACTCTTCGTACTTCTTGAGGTGCTTGTCTTTGGGGGGGATGAAGAAGAAGGTCTTCTTTCCCTTCAAGATATGGTAGTATACTGAGGATCCACCGAAATCGACGTGGAAATCGGTGTAGCAGTCGGCAACCGACATCAGGCAATAGAATTGAACCTTGGGGTAGTCACCAATGGCCTTCAGTTCCTCTGGCCATACGGCATCTTGCAAATCCAGGTCACGTACGACCTTGGGCCGGCGGATGAGTCTGCCAAGTTTGCTTTGGGAGACCTCCAAGCTGATGACGTTGCGGACAGGCTTATCCGGCTCGGTACTCTCGTAATAATCGGCCCATTTTTGCATGTTCCATCGCTTGTCCTCTCCTTGCTGGGATTTGACATCGATCACTTCGACTCTTTCTTCGGGTCCATAAAGCTCTGCGACAGCGCGGACAGTAAGGCCTTGGGGGATGACCATACCAAGGAGATCTTGGCCACAGTCAACGGTTTCTTCGACTTGGGGAGCATGTTCCGGAAGATGCTCAAGAAGCTCATCGAACATCTCTTGGGAGGTGGCTTCCTGGACCAAAGATTCAAGCTCTGGTTCGTCTGCGCGTTGAGAAACCGGTTCACAGGTATTCCAGCAAGCGGGAATAACGATGGGCTCAGTCCATCCATTACCACGTTCGAAATATTCTGCGGTGACCAATTCTGGTTTCATCCGAGGGAACTTTTCAGGTTGGAACCGGATCTTGCCTTGGCGAATGGGTTCTAGATAGTGGTGTTCGAGCGACCCACTGGCAGCTTTGACGAGTCCTTGGTTTAGACCAGCGTAATCAATAGCTGTTCGCGCCCTGGAGGACTTGCGCACGAACGTGGTTTGCCCATATGTCGATCGACATAGACGGCAAATGTACTTATCAATTGTGCGAACCTCCCTATCAGTTTTGAAGCCGGCACAAAGAATATGGAACCATCGATTGCATCCGTCGCATTTGATCCATGTATCTTCATCCTGCTCCTCGCCGTCGGCTGGAATTCGTACTAGATGACATCCTGCGCAGCTTGCTAAATTGGTATCGCTTTCCTCTGATTCAGCTTGTGGCGGACCAGTCGAGGGTGTGTGTAGAAAGTGGGGATTTGCGTGGGTGGCGGAGGGTTGAGCTTCAAAAGATGCGTTATTGAGGGTGTCGACTGACGGATACCAAGCCGTGTTCTCGCTTTCATCCTCCCAGACCACAGGCGGCACAGTCCCGGCACTAGTCGTTGGGCGGACCCCTCGAATCATAGGCCGGGATAGAAAGGCCGAGCCATCGGAGCGAGAGCGCATGCGAGAAGTAGGACCGTCATCGTGATGGTGACTCAATTTCGCATCGCCGTGATCCACATACCCACCAACTGGGTATCCCACTTGAGATTGACGCATCACATCGTCCGCATATTGGTTGAATGACTCGTCGATGCTGACTCTTTTTGTGTGATTGCCGGGGAAAAAGTTGGTCGGCCGTGCAAAATTGAGTAGGAGCTCAGCATCAGTTGTCATGCTTTCCAACCGAGCGGGTTGAGCACTATCTGTATGTACTCCTTGCCGCGAGCGGTAGGGCGACGGATTTCTCACCGACCGGGCTCGCTTGGCAGGGCGTTCAATGTCTGCGGAATCGGGAGGGAAAAGAGGAATTGTAGATCGAGGGCTCGGAGACGGCGGGTTTGGAGGGAGTGGTGCGAATGTTGGGCTGGTTGCGAGTGCGATTGTCGCAAGTGTGTCAATGGTCGAATTTGAGCGGCCATGGCCCGATCGCTGGTGTGAGCCACTTTCGGCGACATGTCGATTGTGATTTGACGGACGTTGATCGTGGTCGAGACTAATGGCTCGAGGAGGTCCGCGAGCGGCCCAGGATGAGGAAATATCCGTGGCAGTAGATGGAGTGATGGGTTCGACGGCGCGTAGCGGAGGTGACGGAGTGCGGTACTGAGGTGGGCGGCCGCCGATGGGGCTCGCGAATGATGCCGCACTCATCATTTTCGCAACCCAGAAGAGCGTAGGTTATAGATGACAGGAGACGAAAGTTCGGAGGTGCAAAAAGTTGCGCTTGCGGCAGGTGGGTGCAAAGCGGGGATGCTGGACCACACGGGCTAGCGAGAGGCCGGCGCAGGCGAAGGGAATGTCATTCCTGGCAAAAGAACATGCGCACAGTGGACCACAGTATTATGATCGAAGTTTGATGAAAGATTGAGGACAGGGTGAGTGGTCGACGGGGGTCGCGGAGCGCGCTGCGTTGAGGGGGTCTGTATCGAGCGGCGGGAGGACAAAGGCGCCGAGTGTCGCGCCGCAACTTGCGGGCAGGTAGGAAACGGAATGAAGGAGTATCCAGTAGTCAGGACTCAATACCTGCCAACCGGATGAAAACCGAGGAATAGGCGAATGGATGAAGCGCTGGGGGAGATGAGCGCGGAGTGTTGCGTGAAGGAGAAAGCGGGAGTCGAGTAGCAAGTAACTTCGAAGGTAGTATGTACGCGGTACAGCGGTCCACAACATTGTTTTGCCTTGGATAGAATTTCCCCAAATGACTCGGTAGGGCAGCCTGTTTACTCCGAAGCTGTACCAGGTCAATCTCTAGATGCGATTGCATTTACTTGGCTTGTTCCCCATCTCATCAATTTTCTGTAGACTGAGAGGATGCGACGCTCTCGGTGTTTTGTCACACCCGTACAGCCCGACAGCATCACGTGGATGATCTTCGCCGCCCACTCACCCCCAAAGTCACCTTCACAATACCAATTCCTGTCACGTACGGTACGCAAGCCAAATACAGCTAAGCCCAGACCGAGCAAGCGCGGTGCCAAGAAACCTCGTGGTTGTTCTTGCGCCTTGCTCTCCAACCTCTGCTTCTTCGTTATTTCAACCTGCAATCGATACCTTGCGTATCTTTTTCGTCAACCCTCTCATTCAACATTTCCTCGACTCCTCTCACCTCTGAGAATGAGCCGAAAGCTCGCCCCCGAAGCCAATCGGTACGTGGAAACACTTTTTCCATGCCCCTCTCCCCGATTGTCGGTACTTGACCATTCAGCCATCAACTGCGTGGAGATCCAGTGCCTGCAGACTGTTTTTCAAAATCAAGCTCTGGTTGCTAACTGCTGACTCAATTTTCAGGATTCTCTTCGTCAAGAACCTCAAGTACGTACCTGATCACTCGCCGCTTTGCCCCGGCTCAGTCCCCCGGACTCTCGGCCTGGCATATCCTCCTCCGAAATTGATGGACGAATTTCTGATATCCTCTTACAGCTACAACGTAACAGCGGAACAACTTTTCGACCTATTTGGCAAATTTGGCGCGATCCGGTAAGAGCCTTCTATAGCTTGTTTCAGAACTCGCTCTAACGCTATTCACGTGTAGTCAAATTCGCCAGGGAATCGCGAACAACTCCAAGGGAACCGCATTTGTCGTTTACGAAGACGTGCACGACGCCAAACAGGCATGCGATAAGCTCAATGGTTTCAACTTCCAGAACAGATACTTGGTTGGTACGTACTGGCACTATAAACTTCAGCCGTGACCCCGAACTGAAATAACTAACTTGTATGTGTTATAGTCTTGTATCACCAGCCAGAGAAGATGGTTCGCACGAAAGAGGACCTCTCGGAGAGGCAAGATAACTTAGAACGGCTCAAACAGCAACACGGGATAGAATGATGTGACGACTTCCTCCTTCTCATGATGCCCTCTGCTAGCATATGGCTGCGCACGGTGTTGCGACGGCTTTACTATTCAATCACGGCTTGGTTGAGGGGTTTCCGGCGTTTTTATTCCCTGGGTTTCATTCTTATTTCAGAGGGTTTGGCAGTGGGCGAGGCTGGCTCTGGTCGTCAGATATTGACCCAGAAATGATCGTGCGACATGTACCGCGAGATTTGACTTCTTCTTCTGTCTATTCTATTTAACCTTTACTACTATTACTTCCGTCAATTCGACCCTCCACTTTGCTCCACTCACATCTTTTGCGGCACGGTCAGATCTGGACAATCATTCGAGTCTAGTCGGCTCACCCTTCTATGGAGGGTTCCTCTAGACGTCAAGCCAGATCTCCAGATCTACAGCTCAATCGAGGTCTCCTGGACAAGGTTAGCGCGTCGCTGGAGCAGTACCCACCTTCGTGCAGACGAGCAGGACCTTGGAGAGTCGACATAGTCGACTTACCAACAAAGTCGATAGCGCTGTCGGCCGCGCAAGCACGGTCTACCTTGAATTTATGTTGCATCGAGGCCGAAGTAGATAATATCAAGGTGCCAAGACACGGACCCTTAAAATAGCCCTGGAGTGAAGGGAACATCAGCCTTGCCGATCCCGCTGCGGGGAGGGGACTCCGACACCGCCCCAAGGCGCACTGGAAGACGTTCAACTCCGCATTTCAAAATTCGAGTAAGCCCTTGTGAAACTTTGGCTACTGAAGGAAAATCGAATTCCTTGATTCTAGCCCAAACTGGTCCTGGGTATATGTCCCATACGCGTGGTACACCTGACTCGGCTCCCATGTCACGCGTATGACGTTCCAGTCATCTCCGCCTTCGATAAGCTTTGCCCGTTTCGACCTCACCTTGACCCATATTTCGTTGAACAACTTCTGAACAGACTCCTCTGGTTGCTGCTACTGATTTCCTGCTGGGAAAATGATCGACGATGTGGCCGCGTCTTTGGCGTCGATAACAACAACGACCCTCGTCGCCGCCAGCGGTCTCGCCTCATATTCCGGCACGGCGCTTCCAACGCCCTCGGGTTCACATACACTATATCATCATGGATCATCTTATACAACCTCAACGCAGGATTCGAATGGAGAGGAAGGGGGAGAATGCAAGTTGCTCGGTCCCTTCTCCGTGTTCGTACAGATTGCTCTCGGCGGGCTCGCGCTGTTATCACTCGTGTTCAAGAGATGGAGAGAGCGGCCACAGCGCCCTGTGAAGGTGTGGGCGTTTGATGTATCGAAACAAGTTTTCGGATCAAGCATGCTTCATATGCTGAATTTGCTTCTGTCGATGTTCTCGGCGGGCCAGCTGGAGATTCGGAATTCATATAAGCCGAATCCGTGCTCTTTCTATCTACTCAATCTCGGCATCGATGTGAGTTTTGGATGCGACGAATTATCACCGGAGAGAACTAGCTGCTGACTTTTCTCAACAGACCACACTCGGAATCCCCATTCTGATCCTTTTGCTTCGGGTCCTGAACTTCTTGGCTTCCTACACTGTTCTTGCAAACCCTCCCGAGTCAATCGAGTCAGGAAACTATGGACATCCGCCACATGCAACATGGTGGCTCAAGCAGGCAATTATCTATTTCATGGGATTGCTCGGCATGAAGATATGCGTCTTCTTCTTGATTCAATTATTGCCTTTCATCATCAAGATCGGTGACTGGGCTCTGCAATGGACAGAAGGGAACACAGCCGTCCAGATCTTCTTTGTGATGCTGCTCTTCCCTGTCATCATGAACGCCATTCAATATTATATCATCGACATATTCATCAAGAAGCCAATCTTCCCATACACTGCAGAAGATCTTAACGACGATTCTGCCACGGGAGACGACGTTCATCACCGGGAGGCTCTTCTTAACGGCCTAGATGAGTCTTATTCCACTGATTCAGATGAAGAATCCCCGAGAAAGCCACAGATTCCCCATTCTAATCCAAAGGACACATCTGCTCTCCGTGAATCAGAACAACTGCTTCCCGAAGATCACTCTCCGGTGCCTCCATATGAGCCTCCTAGCTCGAGCAGTAGCCACGACGAGCATGGCACCAAGCCCCGCTCATCTCGCCATTAAACACGCTCGTGCAACTTGAAGCTGGTGCTTGATCATTTGGTCTTCTATTTCAGCTGGATATTTTATGACTCTGAACGTGTACACGATTATCGCTCATGCTACTGACTATTTTTCTTCGCAATTCATATCCAAGTTGAAAGAAATGTTCAATACAGATATCCCTGGACAGTCCACCCCTGAACATATGAATCTAGTTCCTGTAAAATCTCGAAGACTGAAATGCGGCGCCCGAGCAGAACTTTGTTCGGAGTCTTGTGAATGGTGCTCTACCTTCCAAGCCTGGTAGACAGGCGCTGGGGCGGGCACCCTGGGACAGCACACAGCATTCCTAATTCTGAAAATCATCCGTGGACCTACACATTCATGGATGCGGGCATTGAACCTTGGAAGGCGGATAAAGTTGCTGCCATGATCTACAGGCATACAATCACGCATCTAGACCCACTTTCCCAATTGGTGACTACAGGACTTGCTGTTCTCCGTACTCGAAGACGACTCATTTCCTGAGCAGCAGAGGTCTCAGTGACGATGATTCAATCTATCAAGCAGAATGCATTGGTTACCGTACCCAAACCGCCTCCGGAGTCTTGGCCTACGAGTGAATTAACTGGTTGACAGGTACAAGCATAACCGGACGGGGCAACCTCTTCTCCGTTGTCTTTCTCTCTGAACGTATTGAACCTTACTGTCTATTCTTCTTGCTGCCCCAGGTCTTCTCCACGTACTCCACCTTCAATATAAGATCATGGAGCCAAGCACCCCGGAGCCCTTTCGTCTCAATAGTTGGAACGCTTCTACTCACCGCCAAACCCACCGCCCTAAATTGCCGGTCCTGGAAAAATCAAAGAAGAAAAATATTCTAGCTCCGCCCGAGAAATTGCGGCTACGATTGGATCATTGCCTGCCAATTCTTCTTTGGCAGTCAGATTTGAACGCTCTGTCGTCAGGCTTTAAGACACCAGTTACCACACGGCATGCCCAACGTCGGGTTGAAAGAAAAGTCCAAGCGGACGACCGCGCGGTCTCCGCTTGAGAACAATGCAGCCAACGCCCGCCCAGAGGACTCCGACGTCGAGATGGGTGACGAAACTAGCTCGGACGAGGAGGATGTCCCCGAGAAGGATGAGGCGGAAAAGAACCTTGAGCGCATGCTCTTTGGCGACGACGAGGGGTTCATGGGCGCATTGAAAAAGCAACAAGACCGCGAAGCTGGAATGGCTCTCACTTTGAACAGTGATGAAAGCGACGCCGAGGAAGATTCTGAGGGCGAAGGCGAAGATCTGGCAGGCATGGCCGACTCAGACGTATGCAATCCTAGCCCTTTCCTCATACTCAGGTTCGATCTGACACAGTCTTCTCGTATAGCTCTTTTTCCTCGACTCAGGTGCTCCTGCTACCACCGACTTACTCCCTTCACCGGAAAACCCTTCAGATGCCGAGGATGACGAACAAGATGGAGAAGCCGCAGTCTGGTACGATAGCGATGACGACCGTCTCGCCGTGTCGCTCGCAAGCCAAGCCAAATTGCGCAAATTGCGCGATACCGAAGCGGAAGATGTGGTCAGCGGCAAGGAATATATTCGACGACTGCGCAAGCAATTCACTCGCCTACACCCTACACCCGAATGGGCCAACCCAGAGCAGAAGCGCCGCAAGACCGACTCTGACGACGAGCAGGAAGTTGACTCCGATGATGAGAACGAGCATCTCAGCATGCAGCCACTGGCCAAGCTTCTTCAAAACGCCTCGGACCTCACCCGGATAGAAGACAACTCGCGCTCTGGAAAGCGCAAGTTGCGCCAGGAGGTTATCGATATTCAGAGACTGAAAGATGTCGGCAAAGCGCAGCCCTCCTCCGTCGACTCCCTCAACTTCCACCCGCACTACCCTCTTCTGCTCTCTTCTGGTCCTGCATCAACCCTCTTCATGCACCACATCTCCCCCTCCGCGCCAGCCCCCAATCCTCTCCTCACCTCTCTGCACATCAAGCGCACCCCCATTCACACTTCTGCATTTGCTCCGCCGACAGGAAACAAGATCTTTGCCTCTGGTCGCCGGCGTTACTTCCACATCTGGGACATGGACACCGGCAAGATCGACAAGGTCAACGGCTCCGCCGACAGAAAAGAAGAGCAGAAGTCCATGGAGCGCTTCAAGCTTTCGCCCTGTGGCCGCTTCGTCGGTCTGGTCGGTACGTCCCGCAAGGGTGGTGGTCTGATCAACATCCTTGACGCCAATACCGCACAATGGATCTCGCAAGTCCGCGTCGACGGACGAGGTGGTGTCGCCGATTTCGCGTGGTGGTCTGACGGCGAGGGAATGACAGTTGCCTCTAAGAACGGAGAAGTCTCCGAGTGGGACGGACGTGTTGGGCGCGTTGTCGCCCGCTGGGTCGATGCCGGTGCTGTCGGTACTACTGTGCTCAGCCTGGGTGGGCGGTCCGGTCGTACCCAGCTCGGTGGGGATCGCTGGATCGCAATTGGCTCCTCTAGTGGTATCGTTAACGTTTACGATCGCCGCGAGTGGGCTGCTGCGTACGCCAAAGCTTCTGCTTCTGATAAGGAATCCTCGGTTCAGGCTAGCATTCCGCGCAGCCCTACACCTGTGCGTGTCTTGGATCAACTCACCACCCCTATCAGCCATTTGGTGTTTGCGCCTGATGGCCAGATGATGGTTATGGCGAGTCGCTGGAAGCGTGATGCTTTGCGTCTTGGTATGTTGTCGCACTTGTCTCTTCTTTTTCCATCACTAACTGTTTGCTTCCAGTTCATCTTCCTACCTGCACAGTGTTCCGCAACTGGCCCACTTCGAACACACCACTGGGTCGGATCTCCTCTGTGGCTATTTCGCCAAACTCGGAGCAGTTGGCTGTTGGTAATGAACAAGGTAACATTCGCATGTGGGAGATCCGGGGATAAGCTATATATTTCACACAAAATACTCAATTCTCTTGTTATTATTCAACCTTGAAGCAAATCAAGTGCTACATATGCATCCTCCGTATGTCCACACACTTCCAAAGTTGGAAACTTCCAAGTTGATGATGGACCTACTGATTGTCGAAGAATCCACCTGGGCATGGATTGTACGAGGTCGACCTTTGGGGGATCTAGTGGAAGCATCGATTGAACACCCGAGTTCGGTTTACTACCCGTTGACCCCAAAGACTTGGAACAGGCCTTGAAAACCTACCTAGTACCCACCTGGCATTACCTAGGTAATAACCTTGCAAACTTTCCAAGGTTAGGAGCATCGGTAGCTAATTACTCTAAGAGGAATGGTGATATGTCTTTGCAAGGCCAAAATTTGTTAACCTCCCGTATGTTGGTGGAATTCTAGGTAGCAAAACAGACACGCCGGACGCCAAGATCAGGAGAGTAGTGCCATTTGGAACTAGGTCCTGGCGATGAAGAGAGGTATAAAGCAAGAAAAAATAACATGTCAGCTGCGTCAATCAAGTTAAGTTCGTGGTATCATTCGTGAGGAAGGGTCTATACTGCTGGCCTTTTGGATCAAGGTGTTCAGTAACAGGGGTATATGGGGTAAGTTGGAAGGAAATTGTGGGGAATTGAAGATGTCAGCGAGGGGTCCCGAAGATGCTTTGAAGATCTGGGTCGGATATAGGTTGGTGAACGTTGAGGAAATGATGGAAGAAGCAAGGTAAGGGGTAGGACTACTCTCCAGGCCCACTGGATCCCCAGCGCTGAGGCCGCTTCCCTTGTTCAATGTAGTTTTTGATAACGCAAGGAGCACGATCAGGACCCTGGCAAACCTTATGGCGGTTGAGATGTTTGAACTTCGGGCCAAGAGGCCCGTTGACGTAGTGATACTGGCCGGCAAATCGATACTGCCGTTCATCGCCCAATGGATAAAACTTGTCACCCCATTTGCCCCTGAAATGAAACCATTCTGTGGGAGCAGATGGGTTCAATGTGGAGGCCCGCAGATTTTGACTGTCGAAGTCATATGTGTAGGTCTGTGAGTTGAGCAGAGGATCCCATAGTGGGCCACGGTCTGTGACATCGTGCAGCAAGCCCCAAGGGAGAATGTACTCATGCACCCCAGTCGTGGCGTACATAGCGTGGCTTCCCTCGGCGGAGTAAATGACAGGCTTGGCAAGGTGTCAGCTCGACAAAGCTATTGACTGATAGACCAGAGACTTACTCGCTGTCCAATCTTCTCAACCGCCTCATAACTATAAGCCTCTCCACCTTGATGGGCGCTGAAAAACAGTGCTTTCGGGATACCATTGTGGAATCGCATCAAGCAGTGCTCCCAATCACCGACATGGTTTCCGAATCGCACATTGATGACGGTGTTGCCGAGATTGAAGCTATAGAAGTAGAACCAGTACGCATCAATGATTCCATTGCCTTTGTCCATCACCACCAAAATGGCTGGCGCGTCACTCCGGCCACCCCGGCCATCATCGTGGATTGGTTTCCCGCTGTAGCGCTTGCGCAATTCCTCTTTCAAAATTTCCCGGGCCTCCTCGTGCTCAGAGTAGCTCGACTCGGGAGCAGGGATGGCCTCTTGCTGCAATTGACGGAAGTCGTACCACTTCGCGCGATTCTCTTCAGTGTCGCCGGGGATATCGCCATCGACCCGGCCGTCCCAGTCTGCCCATGACTCTTCTGTACGGCTAGCTCCACCTCGAGGAATGTTTCTTTCGCCCTCCAGCCAAGGTGGGCGCTTCTGCACATCATCGTTGCTGGTCAAAAAGACGTGCCGGCCCCTTTCCCACTCGTTCAAACCATCCAGGTCACGCAGCGATGGATGATCCCATTGGGCTTGGATGGGCGTGTAATTGAGGGCGGGGGTGGTGTGGTACAAGTGTTCAGCGATATCCCCCGGCCAAAATTGTTCGCCAGAATAAAGGTGGACGAGTGGGGCGTACTTGAGTACATAGTCGGGGATCTGCCGCCGAGCCCGCTCTTCGGCATCCCACTCGGCGTCGCTAGCCCCGCTAAGCCAAAAAGACCGCCAGGGCTCTTTTGGATCCGCAATTTGTGCATCTGTCCACTGTGCCGGATCTCGCTGCCCGAATTTTTCCTGTGCAATCTGTAGATGAGCCGCGCCGCAGATGCTGAGCCATCGACAAGATTTACGGTCGAACCACGAGCGCGAGCTCGCAATCCAAGACCGCTCCTCCCGGTCCTCCACACACCAGACAAAGGCGTTCGGTCTGACTATGTGGATGATGCTGTTGATGGATACATATGCGATCAGGGATGAGAGGACGGCAATGGTTGCCTTGGCCTTGCGGGTCATCTGCTGGAGCGAATGCGCATAAATTGTCAGGGATGAAGACCGTGGAGGTTCATACACCTTCAGCTCAGGAACACCAGATGATATAGATGCCCGATCAGTGCAGTGGGAGTCGAGTAGGGCTGCAGCCGTTGGGCAGTTCCCAGGGTCTATGGTGGGACGAGAGATAACGAGCGGGATAAGAAGGGCACACAACAGAACCGCGGGGTCACCTATATAACCACCGAGAGCATTGTTAGCGATACCGGCTTTCCGTGTCTAGTCTCCACCGGGGTGAAAAGAAATGGGAAGAAAAAATAGGGCAAAATGGATCTCAAACTAGTCAGAGACCGGGAGCGTGCGGAAATGCTGAGAAATAGCCAAGGCGGATGAGATCGCCACACGCCCCGAGCCATTGCAGTAGGCTTATCCGTCCAGAGCCGGAGGCGGGATAGACTTACGAAGAAAAGGCCCCATGGTTGTTGCGGTGAAGAGCGAAGTGGGTTTAGCTGTAAGGCTGAAGGACCACGATCTCTACTGGTCCCAGAGTCTACCATGCAGAGACTAAGAAGACCAAGAAGACCAAGGAAATTAAGCGGAGAATTACTGGTATCAAAAGAACAGGGCCTGTAAGATCAACGGCATAATTATCCCGATTTTGCCACCCTTGCTAGACTTTATTTGTTGATCTGATACTCGTATAGTCGTGCCTGTCCAGGTCCAGGCCGAGAGGGGAAGCCCTCACCGCCCGGCGAATTGCCAGTTCATGTTATCTTATCGTTTCGTTTCTTTTCGGAGCTCTCGAGTCTCGACTGTGCACTTCCTGACTTAAGATGGATATGGCCACTGCAGACTCCGATGGAGAATACGAGTATGAGTATGGATCAGAAACAGAGGTGAGGAGTCTCTGGCGGCTTCAGTGTTTGCCTCTTGCTAATTGACGTCAATGACTAGACCTTTTACCTCAACCTGGACTTAACCTCCCACCACGGTGCAGTGCGTCCACCGCGCCGTCGAAAGAGCCATGCAGCTTCCATAGATACCTCTCAAGTCACCCAGGGCAATGGCAGCAGCGGTCGTCCGAGCGAAGCTTTCGCCCCAATCGAAAGCACCGAGAGAGGCGGTCTCTCAAATGAGCGAATCCAGGTCCTCGGTCTCCACACGTGCAACCCAATCGTCTCGTATCAGAATCAAATGTTCTCCTGCTCATGGGCCGATCATATCGGTACTGAGTTGGTCTTTTCTAAACCAAATGCCGTACCAGACCCCGCCAACAAAGTCGAGCCATTACATCGCGGCCCCTCGTTCGAGCTCGTGGCCGCCAACAGTGTGAAAATCCTCGGTCGCAAAGCACACATCACTTCGAGCTCTGGGCAGAGACGGGCTCTCAACACTGAGGCGGGGACACCGGCCGCAAACCATACTTCCGACGCCACCTCTCAGGAACCCGCACAGGCGGGCGTGCCCCGACGTCCGATCGCGCCCTCGCACCAAGCGCACTTCCTCAATCGACTGCAAGATCTAAAAGCTTCCAGAGGGGAGTCAGATACCGTGCGCATGGTTACGGGTGGCCGACGAGGTGGCAATGGTGCAGACAATCTTGACCGACTACAGGGCTGGGCAAGAACAGAAGCCCACCTTACTGAAATTCGTCGACTTCACGAACGTGCAGCGAGAGGAGATGTAGAGGCACAGGTGGCCCTCGACCTGCTGATTGCGGGACTGCAATCCGGGTCTGAATCTGAATACGAATCGGGCAGTGACAATCTCGCACTTTGAATGTAATCCTCATCATTCCGGTGCTTGATACCGAACCAAATCGTCGGCCTCGGACCCGTGCTGTCAAGCCGAGTCTTCCGGGGCTGGTTAGACCGCCGGCTCCCGGCAACTCAATAGTCCACGGGTGTCAACGCGCTATTATCTCATAGCCGACTACTGTCACGTGGAGGCGAGCCGCATGCTCGGCACCGAGGACCGGCACTAAGCTGATGATATAGATACTATCCTGGAACAATCCTTGGGTTATATGGCCTGCTATCATCACAGGGATTCAGTGATGCGTTGTTTCCCTTGCAGTCTTGGTTCGTTATCAGCTCAGCCTAGGATGCGGCCCCGGGGAATACCCAACACAGCAGTTCCGTTGACCCTGTCAGCCGAGAAATCAGCGGGCTCGAAATCGCCCCCGATTCAATGACGAACTTCACGGCAATTGGGCGCTGAAAGAAGTTCCAAATGAACCCTGATCCTCGGGTACTGTATAACGGGTAACGTCATTCTCCGAACTCACCTGGGCAATGCTGGGATGATATCCTCATTTTTCAAACCCCAACAAATGCATTATGATACCGTTAAGAATTTACGTGCAACATAGACATTTCCATTGGGAGCAAATAGTAATGTGTCTTCTATACTCCCCCTATCATGTTGTGTGACATTCATGAAAAGAGTGGAGTTGTCTTAGGTCGATTATAGTGACTATAGTTTCCAACCTTAGAAGGCTGCTTCCCTGCCACGAGGAAAGTGACGTCGTGATCGACATGTCCTCACATCCATGGATGCAGCCTACACTCCATGATATTTTACATCGTTCTGAATATGTAAATAAGCTGTACTAAAAAGTATATGGTACCTCACCCGTTACGGGCGAGAAAGTCTTGGTCTGTCAGCATAAACACGAGGCGCCATCACAGCGCCAACTCGGTTTCTCGAGTCTAGATGCAGCTGTGGAGTTACTCCGCACATTCAATAGTATCACTCGACGAGTAGACTATCGAAATCCCGAAACGGGTGGCAGAGGACGGAGTGCATGATTCAGCAATCGCTCGACCACAATGCTGAACTCCCGAGGTCGAGATTAAATAGATATTTTACTGTCAACGTTTTGTAATCAATGTATAAATTGTTTTCACGAGCTCAGGAAATAGAAGATAACACCATCATTCCCGACCTTTTGAGTTGACCCCTTCCAAACTTCCAAGAGATAATTAAGATGAAAAGCACGCCGCCATGCACACGCTAAATCCAACGGGCGACAAGTAAGAGCAGAAAGCAAAGAGGACTGGTAAAAAGACAGGAGAAAACGCATCAGGCTGGAAACATTGCAGAATCGAAAACATTAAAGGGGCAGGACGATGGGTCTGGCATAAGCAGAGCACATAGGGTGAAGTCCCACGAAGCCGATTATCGAGATATCGTTGAGTGTTGATACAGGACCTGGTAACAGATCCATGGATAAGAGGCGAGGCTGGGGTCGAAAGTTGATAACAGCCGAGTTACTCCAGACACAGACTGGGGATGTCGTCGTATGAGCCCTTAGACTTAAAGGTGACGGGTGATGGAGGAGGCGCAGGGGGCATGCCGTCGATAAGAGTTGAGCGGGTCTTCTCTGCCTTCTGAGTAGAGGCGGTCATGATTGCATGGGAGATGTCCTGAGACATGGTGAAGGAAGGAGGCATGACGGGGGTTGCAGACTTGGTTGAGACGGTGGCCATTTTATTGTATGTGTGGGGGAAAGAGATATTATGGCGAGATTGTGAATGATAAAACAATCTGACTGGTGCCCAGGTGACAGTATAGTTTGGAAGTCGAAAGGACGAGAGGTTGCGAGGTCGATGATTTTATAGATGCACGAAAGTACGATGTGATCGATTGCCTCGGTTGAGGGTGGGTTTGACGTATTTTTGCTTCAAGGACTTTGGTTTCACTGACAAGTTAGCTTTTGGTGTGCAAACTGCTTGTGCTTTGTACTCTGATCTGGCATATGCTTATTCCTATAGATGGAGCCTGCGGTTCCGAGGTTGCCCGAGGACCCGACTTCGGTGGATCGGATCGGAGGAAGCAATGGGATGTGGCAAGTACTGACGGGTAAACACTCACATGGAAGCTGGGGCTGAATCCGGAGAGTTCGTCGTCTGCGTTGGTGTGAATTACCGGCACCGTTGTTGTGGAATTTTGGAACCTTGGAAGTAGTGAAGCCGATGGGGGTAATGGGATGTCCGTGTTTTGTTCAGATGATAATCGCAGTGCTGTCCAGGTATATAACAACTGCAGACAACTAGCGAATGGCAATAGCGGTTTAAAATGCTAAGTATGATGGTAAAAATATATATGAAGGTGAGTGAACAAAGACAGAAATGAGACGAAACGACGACGGAATCGAGTGTTAGTTATATCTCAGTCAAAAATAATAAACATAAAAAAAAAGACATGAGACAATCAGAAAAAGTAATTATTGTGTTTTTCGAAAAAGAAAATCTCAAAAAAGATTTCCCCGTAAAAGTGTGGAGGAATACATTCCCTGGGGAAGAGTGGAAGTACCCTGTACTCCGTCCACGCATGCCTCTGGCCAGGCCCAAAGCTTACTGGAGATCCCGCCAAGTCTCGCCTCATTCTAAAGCATCCAATAACCCAACCATCAAGGTAGGGATGGGGAACATTCCCCATCGGAACAGCGGGAGCCCAACCCGGGAAGCCTGTCGGGGAGATAACAAAGGAGGAAACGGGGCTCGACGCGTTAGTGTGGGGAGAGATTGATTTCCAGGGGTGAGAATCGATGAATCGATCATCTTTGGATTATCATTTGCCCGGACGTGTAGACTACACACGAAACACGAAAGAGGGCTTGGGGATAATTTCAATGATGTCAAACGAGAGTTTCTACTATGGAGCGAAGGATTTCGTACGGAGTAGAAGCTGTCGATACGGATCATTCTACGCCTTCTAGCGTTCGCCGGAGAAAAGCCGCTTAAATCGCACCTCGGCACCAAAGCGGATACGGCGATCCTCCTTCGAGAACAAATGGGGCCCAAAGACCACACTGTCGGGGTTCTTCCTTTTCCGTTGCGGTGTGGAAGATCGGTGGCGAAAGAACATTGGTTTTTCATTTTCTCGTTTCTCGTTTCAAATTGAGTACAAGATGGGGGGGAAATCGATCTTCAGGGAAGAGGTATCATCCCACGCCGGCATGAGGGGACAACATTGCAGCCTTGCACCGGGATTGCGCAATAGTATGAAAGAAAAATTCTCTTCTGTCAAGCTCACCGATTTGATTCACATGGCTGATCAGGACGATCATCCAAATTTTGAGACAGCTCAAAGATGCCCCATCTCGCAGTCTTACGTTGTGTACATACTCCGTCAGACCCGGCAATTGTACCGCTACATCCGCCGATAGTACACTCCACACGCCTCACACAATGTCTGACTAGCACGAAATCTCTTTCATGAAACCTATCATAGCGCAGACCCCGATCTCATCACATTAGGCCTCGCTTATGGAGGTGCAACAAAAAGGGACCAGTACCCGCCAGGGGCCGAGACACTCCAGGGCGCGTACCAAAACTTCCTTTGTTAAGATGCTGCATCAGGGTAGTGGTAGGGATGTGAATCACAGTCCGGGGTTAGCTTTCCCAACGTTTTCTTGAACGTCGCCATAGTCACCGCTCAGGGGTACACAATATTGGCCTGAACAAAAGTACGAAAGGTAGGTCGTTGATCGACGTTCAAATAAAGAGCTCCACAATTCTTCTCCCCCGGATTCAAGGGGCGGCAGGCTCGATGTACGGAGTCTTCGTACAGTGTTCTATTTTTTCCAATTTCTGCAATGCACTCCACTGCCACCTACGTAGTCTCGAAATAGCATATATCTGGGGGAAAGGGGCAGATTGACTCCAGAATGCCCCATGCCACCCTCTGGATTTCCTGGATGTCGGGTCTCCGACTGTCAGGGCGCATTTTTTGTGGGAATGCCTTCCGATCGCACAGCCTCCTCGGTATCTGCCCAAATGGGAGGTTTCACTTTACGACGCGATCTTGTCGAGATCAAAATGTACCTAGGTATCTATGGTCCTGAGTCATGTTCAAACGCGGTATACTCAGGTCCGGAGTACAAACTTTGAAAGCAACCTGGACTCAATCTTGGAGGGTACATAATACCTGCAGATTGTTGTGCATGTTGTACTCCGTACCCCAGGATGGTTTCCAGGTAGTAAACATTCCAAGGTACTCCGTACTTTGCGCGTACGAGGGATAGACTCTTCACATGACTGGTGACTTGTCTTCTTCACCGCTCGTTCAAATATACCTTTGACCAGATTGCAACAAACCTTGGGGGCGTTGGGACAGATTGGACTGGGGAGAAAGTGATGAGTTGGCTGTGATAGGAGCCCGTCCGAGCTTACTATCATCAGCCATAACGCCAGAGATGGAATGGATTCGTCAGGTACAACCTGTACAACACACCCTCATGCATGATTATCAATGGGCTGACGACTTGATGGGGGCCTGGGATGCATAACCTACCGAGAGGTGGGTGTGAAGCCTATGTATTGGGTGATCTGAATCCTTGAACATACATAAGACGGATGTTGGTCTACCCGACGGTTCATGTCGCCGTCGAGGTGCCTCATGGGTGCCTATCGGTTGGTGTTTATATTTGTGTAGGCGCCGAGCTCTGTCAAAGACCTTGAACGAACGAATGGTGTGCTTGGGCACACAGACTCGAGGAACACCTCACAGTTGGCTCTTTCAAGCCCAGCCACATTGTGCAGGGCTACATCAGTGGATTTATACATTTACGCAGGGGATATCTGGATCGAGGTGATCCAGATCCAGTAATCGACTCCTATCTAAGAGCTGTCCATCGGGGAGCCCGATCGACGGGTTGACACTGCAGAATGTCAGATATGGAAATCGCTTATCTATGATTATCGTAGCCCTTGCGATCCCAATACCTACGGTGGAGCTTGGAGTGCTCGCCAGGTAAGGGCCATATCCCTTGT